GGGGGGGAGCGCACAAGAACACAAGGCATCGTTTCGCCCAGGGGCAGAGAAGAACAAGAAAACGTCGCAAGTGGAGCGAGTCACGGGCGTTGGGCCAACAAGGGGAAACACGAAGACGGGGGCCACGGGGCTCATCGGGCATTGACGTTGATCAGGCTGAGAAACTCGTTGCGCGTCTTGTCCCTGCGCTCGAAGCAGCCGAGCATGCAGCTCGTGACGGTGGTGCTGCTCGTCTTTTGCACGCCGCGCATCACCATGCACAGGTGGCTCGACTCGACGACGACGGCGACGCCCTGGGGCCGCAGCACCTCGAAGATGGCGTTGGCCACCTCCTTGGTCAGGCGCTCCTGGATCTGCAGGCGGCGCGCGAACATCTCGGCGATGCGGGGCAGCTTGGAGATGCCGATGACGGCGTTGTTGGGGATGTAGCCGATGTGCATCTTGCCGGTGAAGGGCACCAGGTGGTGCTCGCAGACGGAGTAGATGTCGACGTCCTTGACAATCACCATCTCCGAGTGGCCCTCCTGGAAGATGGCGCCGTTGACAATGTCGAGCACGTTTTGCTCGTACCCGCGCGTGAACTCGAGCATGGCCTTGGCGTAGCGCTCCGGCGTCGCCAGGAGGCCCTCGCGGTCCGCGTTCTCGCCCACGCACTCGAGGATGGTGCGCACGGCGCCCTTGAGCCGGTCGAGCCGCGCCGCCGCCGCGAGACCGCGACCGCGACCCCGGCCCCGACGCCGCGCCGTCGTCTCGCTTGCCGTTGTTGCCGTCGTCGCCGTCGGGCTGGCGGCGCTTGTCGCGCTTCTCCCTCTTCTGGCGCTTCGTCGTCGGCTCCTCGCGGCGGTCGCGGCCGGGCTTGCTGATGCTCGAGCGGCGCAGGCCGTCGCCGCGAGGGCCATTCGCGAGCGTCGTGGCGATGCTCTCGCCGGCCGCCCCGACCCCGGGCTTGCTCGTGCTGCTGCTGCCGCCGCCCTCGCCGTTCCTGCTTCTGCGCCTCTTGCCTCCGGTGCCTGCGTCTGCAGGAGAGCCGGGCTTGTCTCGGCCGTCGGCGGGTTCCGACTGGGGCATGGTGACGAGCCGAGCTGACGACGGATCGCGGTTTCAGGATGGTCCAGACGTCAGTCGCGTCGGGTCTGGGTCTGGGTCTGGCTCTCTGGAGGGCGACGGGACCCAGCAGAGCTTGGTTGCGGGAGCAGTGTTGGCTCCTACTGGTGATTGTCGGATCTCATGGACCTGATGGGCCAAGGTCTCGGCCGAGGTCTGGAGGTGAGCGTGGAATGCGAGAGTGCGGGTGCAATGGGAAGAAAATTTTGAGGCGTTTCACGGGTTCCCATCTCTCGGCGCGACAGAAGTTCCGGCGGCGGATCAATCAATTGAGGGCGGGCGGTTCGCAATGTTTGCCGTCGGCCAGCCGTCAGCCGTCAGCCGTCAGCCGCCATCGCCATTCCGGGCAACGTGGGCATTTGACAGGGACGCATTGGCTTCATTCATCCTGGTGGTACCGTGTAACTCGCGAGTGCGGCGTGCTGCCTTGATTATTCCGTGGCTCCTCCCGATCGCATGCATGCACAATGTGCTCTCAAGTTTGCAAGTTGCTGGTGAGCGACTGCCCATCGATTGATGCGCCGACATCGCCGCGGGGCACCAGCAGGCTCAGCCACTCGAGTGCCTCGCCCGAGCCACCTCGCAGTTGGCCGGGTACCTGCGGAGAACCGAGGTACCGAGTACTCGACCGGCAACTTATTCAGACGTGGCATCTGTCAACCGCCGGCTTACCATCCTGCAAAGTCAATGCGACACGGCGGCTCGCGTCGGCCGCATCTCGGCACCTCGCGGCCGCGTCAACAGCCACCGCACATGTTTCACGGTGACCGCTGGCATCAATCGGCTATCAATTGATAACTTATCTACCTTTTTTTTTCCTTTCTTCCCTCTCATCATCATCTCAACCGGCACAAAGCGAGGCAACCTATCAGAACTAGACTACCGCCGTCGCACTTCTCAGAAACCCAAACCTCAACCTTGACCCTTTCCCTCATAACAACCGACCACCGAAAAAGACGGTCCCATGTTGGAATATATCCTCGTTGCTTGCGTTTCCAATCTTTGAGTATCCTCGACAGCCTGCTCCTCCTCCTCCCAATCTGCAGGAGAATGAGGACAATGGCGTCCGTGTTGTACACGACGCGGGTCCCGTGGGTCGTGGCCTGCATGTTGGCCGACGTCACGGTCCACGGATTCGCAAACGCGGAGAGGGCGGCTGGGTCGTTGGGCGGCATCGTTGACAGCGTGCCCGTGCCGTTGAGGGCTACGTAGGACATGCGGGCTGCGCTGGATAGAGCCACCGTGCTGCTGGATACGGAGCTGTCCATGACGGCCGGGTATCTGGCCTCGTTCCAGATGTACAAGAGCACGTCTGACCGGTTGTACTGCGACGTGTTTACTCCGGCGACGGCGAGGCCTAGGTGGACGGGGGATCCTGCCGCCGTGTACAGCGCCGCCCAGCAGTCGGAATTGCACACGGCCTCGTGGAGGGAGTCCGCCGACGTGTATTTCGAGACGGGCCGGGCAAGCAACGCGGGGGAGTTTTCGGATTCCAACGGCGCGTAGGCGGCACCGACTGCTTGCAAGTGGCCGGATGACGCCGCCGTCGTGGACTACCCACGGCACGCCTCGGGAGCGGGTGTGCTGCGTCTGCTGGTACAGCGCGCCGAAGAGGTGGCAGAAGAGGGCGAAGAGTAGCAGTTGAATGAGGATCGAGTTGACTATGCCCGCCTTGATGAGCTTGGGGCGGGTGGCCCGGAGGACGGGGTGCAAGGAATGCAGCCGGCGGTCCCAGGCGCGAGGGTAGCATTTCTCGACAATGGATAGCGGAAAGGTCCGTCCGGACCGGCTTGGCCGGGCTTTGTCCTCGTCCATCCTGAGAGCTCAGGGCATCGCGTGTCCGGTGGAAGGCGGCGGGGTCCAAAGGTTCCCGGATTTTTGTCAACCACGGCTGGCGAGCGTTTCGAGCAGCACGATGGTGCGGAATAATCTCTGGCGTCTAGTGCCAAACGCCAGGACCCACAAGTTCGCTCCGTCGCTTGTCGAAAGTTGAAACGTCCCCATCGGATAAACACTTGGCCGGCTCGCCATCCGTGCCAAACCATCCCACCTCCGCCTGCCTTTCAACCGCCATGATGACCATCACCAACCGCAACGTAATAGACGCGTGCCACACATGGATCCCGGCTGCGCAAGACCGGAACACCCATGGCTCGCCGTGCCTACCCGACATGCCACCCTACCACGATATGACAAACCACCCGGCCGCTATCAAGAAAACAACAGCCCCCGAGCCAATTGCAGCCCTTTGTCTCGTCCAGTTTGAACGGCCCAGGGACCAGCACGTCCATCTGAAGTAGTTGACGTGATTACAAAAATGCCTCGCACATCGCCCCTGCCCTCTGTACAGGCGGCCCCGACGGCAACACTGACAGAAGCACGGAGTACGATTTCCGCACTCGCACCAACCCACAATGGCTATCCAGACAATACGTCTCACTAGTGCAACATGGACACGCGCAGTCCGCTGCGTACGAGACTGAAACAGAACCATACTCGTGCGCCATGTGCCATGTGCGACACCACTAGGCGCCTTTGATGCACATCCAACGTTGTGCCCTGACCTGCTCGCAGGACGTAGCACCTTCATCTCACATCTCCCTGCATGAGGATCGACGTTTGAATGACACCCCCTTGGCCCAGATGCGGTAGCATCCATCTGGCGTAACGGCGCTACCGCCCAGCCACTCCCTACTCTAATTCGACGACACCGTCTCCAGACGCTTGTTTTTATCAATTTGACCTTGTTCGCAAGACGCAAGACGCAGGCAAAAAAGGGCTCGCTTTTAATATTGGAAATTAAAACGTCTCTAGTATGGATTGACCTGACTCCTTTTTCGACTCGCTATCGTACAGTAAATTGCATGAAAACACTCGTTGCCCCGAGGCTCCGTGATCCCGAATAAAGACAGATATGTAAAGACTAATAGAAGCGACAATTGGCCTAAACAAAAGCCAGGATATTTTAAAAAGAGAGAGAGAAAGAGAGAAAGGCGAGGAGGAAGGACAACAAGTAGCCAGTGGACGCAAAGTGAATATTAGCCAAGAATCAATCGCAACCGCCCCCCAATGCTAGTAGCCTTCTACCGACGTTGAATGATACTAACATGGTGGTGGTTTTGTGGCATGAGAGGGGGAGGGGGGGAGAGAGACGGAGAGGGGCGGGATACGGAGAAAGAGGAAGAAAAGAATATTGAGGCCATGTCCAAGTTGCTTTATAATAATCAGGGGGTATAACGCCATCGCTTTGCATTTTCATCAACCCACCACCTCGTCATGAATGAAGCTTGCTCGGCCCATCTCGCTGCATCCGCTCCGTACTTCTTTTCCACGCTGTCAAGAAAGGTGACAAAGTCAAATGAAACAACCCCATCTTTTTCGTACGGATCCTTTTTGAGATTGGTAAATATCCATTCAATGTCCTTGATCACGGGGACAACCAAGCGCCAGTCGGGCTCTCGCGCACTGCGCGTCGCAACCTGAGCTCGACCGGTGTTCATGACGGTGAATTGCCAGTCGGCTTGGCCGGTATGCTTCGACGACGTCTGAAGTGGTCGGATGAGTGACTGGCCTTCGTAGTTGCGCACCAGGTCAGACGCAGCTTGACGCTCAGACTGGGAGAGCGAGCCCGTCTCGACGAGCAGGTCTAGGATCGTGGGCAGAATAGAGATGGAATTTACTGGGGTGTTGATGTCGATGGGAGGAAGCTTTGGGTGTGACATGACCAAAGGGACGTGGAAATTGCCCACGTTAGGCTGGTAATAGGGTGTGACAGCTCCGGTCTCGGGAACCGACAGCCCGTGGTCACCCACCATGACTACCAGAGTGTTGTTGGTAGAGCCCTCCTCCTCGATGATGTCCAGAATCTTTCCCAGCCATCGGTCAACAAATCCAACAGTGTTGACGTAGTGTGAAAGGTCCTCGAGCTTGCCTTCGGGGGCCAGGGGCACATATGTCTCCTCATCTGGCATCTTGAAAGGATGGTGAGCGGTACTAGTTAGGTGGGAGAGGAACAGTCGCTCGTTTTTCTCGTTGGCCGTCCGAAAAGCATCACGAATGTATTCCTCAACGGCAGACTCCGCCATGCCGTAGTAGTTGATCTCGGGCATAGTATTCTTGCCAAACTTGGCGTCATCTCCTTGCAGATACTCCTTGTTGACAAGCTCCTCCCCCTTGTATCCCAGCTTGGGCATTAAAAGATCCTGCTTATCGTAGAAGTTCGTTACCGACATCATAAAAGCGTTGCTCCACTTGTACTTGGTATACTCATCAGTGTGCACGGCAGAGTCGTTGGAGTGGTCGAGGGCATTGAACACGTTGAAAATATGCGGCAGGCAAGGCTGGTAGATGTGGTGATCATACTCGACGTTGAAATCGGCAACCAGAGGTGTGATTCCGCAGAGGGTGCCCGGAAGACTCTTGAGAGTGTATGTACCCGTTGTATGGTCGTTGTTTACATTGAGACCACCCCGTCGCCTAGTCGTGTCATGTTGGAATCCGTCGTCGTAATCGCCCGTCAGGAAATTTGCGTTTTGCGTCAGAGTTGACAGTCGGTCTTGCACCTCTTTGGGTAAGGTACCATTGTCCCAAGCCTCTGCGAACTTTGTCCAAATCTGACCATGTTTCTTGATGGGAAACACATCCTTGCGGGTACTCTCTAGCTTGATTAGCACGACGTGCCGAATGTCGACATCACCCAGCCTGCCTCGAAGCGGTGCTAGCACGTCATGTTCCAAGTTTGAAATCTTGAGGGGGTCACGGGCAGCGCTGTAGTGGTCCATTTCAGCTTCATACCAGTCCTCAAATCCAGGAATCGGGGTGTCGCTTTCGGGGAGCCAGGTCCAGCGAATCGATTCGGCCAGGGCAGTCTCATTGTCCCAGCCCCAGCCAATGCTCTGGCTATAGTAGGGGAGCAGACCGGCCAGAGTCGGCGAAGAATGAGCGAAGTCGATAAAGGGCAGCAAAATTGGTGTCCAGGACATGAATATGAGTGAGCTTTCAACGGGACGAACAATGGCTAAGACGGCCTGCGTAACCAAAAGTATTCCAATTACTGTATAAAGCAGCCATATCAGCTTGTTCTCCCGCAAGTGGGCTGGATCAGGAGCCCTGCGGGTTCCGCTCGTAGTGAAATCCCCATCGCTGTCGGATCCATCCTCAGGGTCAAGCTCCTTTTGTGGTACGTAGTCATACCTGGCTCTCGCAGTCGGGCCCCGGCAGCAGTAGGGAATCTTGCTGAACAGGAAAGTGAGAGGTAGCTTGACTATGTCGAGCGCCATGCCGGCAACAGCAAAACTGAAGTCCTGGAGAAGCCAACCAGCCACAAGGATGGCAACAAAGGCAATGCAACAGGACACGAGCCCGGTCAGGAGCACAGACCAGGACGATGAGTCTCCAGCCAGGCCGATGTTGCGCCAGTGAAGCTCGGAACCAGCCAGGACAAAGAATGAGATGTTGATTGAGGCAAGAGCATGCTGAAAAAAGGTGATGACGCAAGCCAAACTGGTAGCCAAGAAGCGTAAGCACCCAACAGCCACGAACAGAGGCAGCTCAGCGTCGAGCAGCAGGCGGAGCATCAACAACAAGGCTGTATCCTGTGCGAAGAACGACAGCCCCCAGCGGGCCATTTCTTCCGGCGGGAGGGCCGCAACATGCGCGTATATGTGAACACATTTGGCGCCGAGTACAGAAATGGCAGCAATGGCGAAGACGAGACGCCGGTTGGCGAAAAGGGAAGCAAAGGCCAGGCATAGGCGTCTGTTGGTAAAGATACATCGTCGCGCGTTCCAGCAGGAGGCGAGAGAGCCGGCGATGCGGCGGGGTGAGTCGATCATGACGGCGAGACAGCAGATCTAGAGTGGGCGAGATATCTCATACTCGAAAGAGGCAAGGAGAGGCAAGCTTGGAACATGCAAAGGAGGCGCCGGTGAATGCTGGCTGGCACGGTCAGTTGATCGGGGCGCCAACTCGACTGCGGGAGCTCTCTTCGGCTCCCCTCTGGCCTGCCGCTTGCCAGTGCAGAAGACGGAGGTGCAGAGAAGAGAAGAGCAGGAATACGCAGAGGTAGCCGGCAGATGGACAAGACGTCGACGTGCCATGGGCCAGCGAACCACAATAGCGAACGGGGGGCGCAGCAACAGGGGAGAGAAGGAGATGGACGGCCTCGGCAAAGCGAGACAAGAGGAGGATAGGGAGTGTGTGAATGATTGAATGGGGGAGGGGGAGACGAGGGAAGGGGGACGAATAAAGAGGTCGAGGGTGAGAGAAAGGTGACGAGGGGAACGAGAGGTCACGATGGGCGTGTGTCAGCTGGTGAAGGACCAGGCGACTAGACGAGAGACTAGAATCAACAGCGTCATTCAGCTGTGCAGAGTGCACCAGGCGAGAGCGGCCAGCAGCATCGTGCTAGAAAGGGCACATTGAGCTTCCATCTCCACGATCTTGCTCAAGCCACGTCCAGCCGACGGTCCCAACGAAGGAAGCCTTTTTTTTTTTTTTTTAATTACCAGCACGCCTCGCTGGCCCGCGGGAGGGGGGAAGGCAACGGCTCGGTCAGCACAGTAGGGAGGGAGTACTCGGTACCGGATAGAACAAAAGGGTTTGGCGCATCCTCGGGTACATGAGCTGGGCTGACATGGCGTTGGCATCAAATTTGCGACGACTAACCTACTCTAGGTAGGTACTTACCTTAAGTACTTAACTCAAGTACCTAAAGCAAGTACTTGGTAGGCACTCAAGGGCCTGGGTGCTTGAGCTGAGCAGGCAGGCACGTACGGAGTACCTCCCCAGCCCTCAAAGTCCAGATGTCATCCATGATGGCACGTCAAAAAGTGCAATCAATCGACATCATTAGGCCGAAGCCAGGGCTACGTTAACCATAGGCTACTCGAGTACTCCGTAGTTGACAAGCACTACGGAGAACGTGAGTGCGCTTCGTCCAGCAACCACGCAACGACTTGCACGCAAGTACCGATCGGGACCAGGCCGACAGAGGAAGCACTACCAGTACGAAACCACCTGAAGCAAATTACGGAGTATGGGTACCGAAGTACGGAGTACCTCGTAAGTACGTAGCGTGTACGGAGTATGCACCCTGCCGTATTCACACAACGTCGCGTGAGGACATGAAAGCTCAAATGGTCAACCGAGTGCCGAAACAGAACCTAGGAGCGCGGGCAATTTCCCCTCAAGCTCCCACACGTCAGGCGTCATCAAATATCCTCCGAGCACCCGTTGACCCTGCACACACAGCCTTGTTGGGTTCCGGGGACCCCAGAGCACCGGCCAGAGAAGGCCGAAGGACGATGAACTGTTGACTGGGCCTGGGGGGTTCGCTTGTTGGCAGACCCGGTCTTGGCGCTCTGCATCACAAGTGCGTTGTGTGTATGATGAGTCTGGGTCAAAGGTTTGCACTAGTCCGCACTTGGCAGTCAGGCCCTAAGGCGGGAGCACCATGGAAAGGGGGAGTGGAGAACACCGAGCACCAAGCCCTGAAAATGGACCCAGGGGTCTTTTGATCAATCCTGGCCCGCAGCTCGTATTATTTGATCTTTTCTTTTTTTTACATCCCCCGTCGGTCGGCTTGTTCCTTTTGGTCACGGATGCGCATCTTTGCTTGATGCTACTCGTGTCGACAAGACCACAAAAGGGGGATTCCAGCCCAGGTGCTCCGTAAACATATACATAGCTACTCAAGTACTGAGTACGGAGTACATACAGAACACATGGCGGCTATCGCTGTCAGCCAAATGGATCTGCAAATCTGCCATCGTCTGGGCCATGGCCCGGGGAGCCCCCGCGAGAGCCCCACCTTGCCACGCGGGTACAATGGCATGGTGCCTCCCATCTCCACAGAGCGCCTTCTGCCTGTTCTCCTCTGATTTGTTGGCTTGGCGCCGCTCGACCCAGTGCCACGGCCAGCTAACCAACCGCCAACCAACCCGTCTACTGGTACGGCCAGCCAGCAGCCGCAGCTTGTCAACATTGAAGCGGCTCGCTCCTTCCCACGGTGAGGAGTCCACAGCTCACCCGATACTCGCACGCAGTGCCGAGTCCAAAATGCGTGCTACGAAATTGCCCATTGCTCAAGGTCGTCGCGACTCACGACACCACGCCCGTCAATGTTGACAGGTATGGATGGTTCCTTACATGGTACGTCGTGAGTCCATTGGCTTGTACGGAGTATGATTCATTGCGCCCCCACGTTGAGTGCCTAGTTCTTACTCTCCCCAGGACGCGTCACGTGACCTCTTGCTAATTTAGCTCGCCCGCCGCCGGGACGAGGAGGCCAGCACATGGACCGTGATTGCCTGCCTATTCACCACTCCGTAGCAGCAGACGTCGACTCGCCGCGATCCCACGCTGACAGACTCCAATCGTCATGGTGCCCCGAAGTAACAAAGCCCGTATCAGCAGCTCCAAAGGCTGCGACGTCATCAATGATGGAATCTTACCGAAGCGCCCACTGCGGCTGGCTAGGCATGTACTCCGTACCCAATATCTGGGGTACCGCCCCAGGCTCGAGCCTCCAAGTGTGCATGCACATGTATGTACGGATATAATCGCCGGTCTACGGAATACTTTGGAGAAATGGTGTTGGTCATGTTGTCTTGACCCAAATTCCGCACGCCACATCTCACCGTGCTATTGAACAGCGCCTGTCACTTGACACACCGGGATTCCGGCCCAAGTACTCCGTACTCCGTAAGTCTGGGGTCAGCCAGGGTGCCCCGGGGTGCCGGTCGCCATGCTTTGCCCAGTTGATTGCATATCGAAAATGTTGAAGTGGTTTTTTTTCAACTCGTTCCTCATGACAATATGCGGAATACAAAGCACCACGTGCCATATTGTGGCGAGGAATGTGTCTAGGTGAGGCCCATAATTTTATGCACCTGTTGTTGACCCATTTCCCAGATGGGCCGTTCAGTCACTGTCTTCCTTCGTGCCCAACACTTGCACAACATCCACAATGGACCCTTGCGCCTTGCGGCTTCGCTGTTGCTGCCATCGAGTTGCTCCATTGGCTCTGTCGGCGCGGCTTGATTGGTGTCCTGAAGCGGGCCGTCTTGCAAGTGATGCTGACCGCGGCGTGTTCCTGGCTCCCGGTCCAAGTATTCAACGTAGCATTGATTCACTTCATGCTGCGACCATGTTGACTATGCAGTTCAAAGCCCCGTTGCTGCGGAGCACTGAGCCCACGAAAACTGCACTTTGGCACCTCATTTGTCTAACATCGTTCAGCCGCCTGCGGCTCCGCAAGCGGGAAAGAGCCAGCAGGAAATAGTGCATGGAGCGCCAAGGAGTGAGTATACGAGGACCCTCATTGTCTTTTTTACGATTTGAGAGATGTCTTTACAGGGTAATTGTATTATTTCGAGGTTGCTAGTTCTTCTGCCTATTTGTGTGGTGAAAATGCTATCTTGTAAGAATAATCAAAATAATTATTCGCAGACAGACCCCTCTCTATTACTTTGATCGGCCTCGAGTCAACTCAAACTTCAACTTATAAGGGTCCGATTGTGTATCTCCTGACATGGTCCATCAGCCAGCAGCCCTCGAAAGTCAGTCCCAGTGAGGGAGCCCTTGAATTCTTTCATGTATCAAGATGGAAGACAGGGTCAGAAAGGCAGTCGGTTATCCATGGCATTGATTACGGTTACCTGCCGCTGGATCTACCGCTCATTTAACAAAGTGTGCAGCCAAATGACCATTTTCTCCACCACTACTCCGTACATCATCATCATGTATAGTTAACTCCATGGCAAGCAGCGCTACTATGTAGGGTAGCTCGTATAAATCCTGCAGCAATGCCGCCATGCAACGTTGTGGAAAACCATTGTGCTTGAATTATTCCTTGGTACTCCGTACAGGACAGTCCTTCACGCCACAAGTGCTGCTTGCTGGCCGGGGGACACTCTCACCATGAATATGTAAATACATGCGCGAGGCGAGGCCCCTGTGTCCACGCCTCTTCCAGCACGGTCGAAATTTACCGCCCAGATACCCCACGATGTCTTAGAGTCAGTAGAAACGGGATGAATTTGTCTGTCGTCGACCGGCTGTTGGAAGAGTGGAAGTCTTTTTCTTCTTTTTCATTTCTTTCTAAATCACATCTCCTTCAAGATTGTGCCGGGGCGACCCACTTATTGTGTCAAACCGCCATCCATTGGCGGCGGGGACGCGGGGCTGGAGGTCCACTGGTTGCTTGCCCAACGTCATGATTACACCAACCTCCCAGGGAGTCAGGGACAGAAATGCCACTCCAGTTCACCTCCCGTTCAACTTGACCCTCATCAATAATCAATCTCTGTGCTCGCGCATCCCCATGTTTTTTGACTCGTGCCGCGGCGGCAGCCCGATACTACGGTGATAGCACGCGCACTGACAGCTCGTACCGTCAATTGGTAACTCTGCTCTGCCATCAGCTCGACGATTGTGAGGTTTCAACCTTTCACCGTCGCCCCTCGTCACCCGCGACCGCAGCCAGCCACGGCACCATGGCCCCAGACACACACGCCGACAAGCAGGAGCCCTCGCCGGACCCTTCGCGACCCCGGACGTCATCCGACTCCCGCGTAGCATCCAGCAGTGTCGGTCTCGACGCGGCCCGCCTTTCTCCCCAAGGTGCCCGAGCACGGCAGCGCTCAGCTCGCTCCGACCCCGAAGTCTACCGCGACGCCTTGTCGCCTGTGCTCTTCCGCCGCCGCAGCTCGCGCGGCAGCACCTTCAAGACCATCGGCGAGGGCCATGACTTTGACACCTACGGCTCCCTGCCGGGCTGGCAGCCTGGATCCGAGCCGGGCTACGATCCGGAGCTGCCTGATGGTGGACACGCCTCCATGCCCACGCTGAGTGCCGAGTGCGACATTACCGTTGTGGATTTCGCCCTGGAGCGCATGGTGAAGCGTCATTTTAACAATGATGGCTTTATCGCCTTCTTGGAGAAGCCCAAGGAGGCCTGGGCCAAGTGTCGCTGGATCAATGTCAACGGCTTGAGCTGGGACGTTATTCAGGCCGTTGGCAACCACAAGGGGCTGCACAAGCTTGCCCTCGAGGACATTATGAATCTGCGCAACAGAACCAAAGCCGACTGGTCAGTCTCTTGTCCTTGTCCTGGCCCTTGCCTGCCAGGACTGCCAGCCCGCGCGGGAATGCTGGCCTGGAACGTCTGCTAATTTGTTTGGCGCCGTCGCCGCAGGTACCCCAACCATGCCTGCATCATCATGACACTCCAGAAACTAGTCCACCTTGTTGACGACGACGACAGCGTGTCCTCCTCGAGCAGCACGCGATCCCAATCCACCCTCAAGCGCTGGCTAAGCTGCCTGGGCCACAATCTGTCAAAGCACGGCGAGGCTGAAAAGGACCCCGAGCACCACACCCACACACCTACCCGTGATGCCAACGGCGGACCGATCCTGTCGGATGGCTCGACGCTACGGCAGACGTCCATGATTCGCTCGCTTCAGCGGTACCACGCGTCGGGAAACGACGCCCGCACCGAGTACATGGAGCAGAACTCGTCCCTGGCGCCCTACCACATGGCCATCTCTGCCGAGCAAGTCTCCATCTTCCTCACCAACGACAACACCGTGATATCCTTCTTCGAGGTGTCCGCCGACGACGTGCAGCGGCCCATCGTCACCCGCCTGTCCACGCCGGGCACCAGCCTCCGCGAATCTTGCGACGCCTCGCTCCTCGTCCAGGCCATCATCGACGCCATCATCGACCTTGCCCTCCCCCTGACCGCCGTCTACACCGACCTCCTCGGCGACCTGGAGCTCGACGTGCTCACGTCGCCCAGCATCAAGCAGTGCCGCCGCCTGTACATTTGCATCAGCGAGATCAACAAGATGCTGCGCTTCCTCAACCCCATCGACAACCTGGTCAACGTCCTCCGCGACCACCGCACCCACATGACGCAGGAACAAGCAAACCGTGAGCTGGAAAACCCCTCCAGCGGCGTCGTCGTCACTCCCATGACCCATACGTACCTGGGCGACGTGCTGGATCACTGCATCCTCATCACAGAGGCCATGGGCCAGCTGAAGCAGAGCTCGGAAAACCTAATCAATCTCATCTTCAACACCATCTCGGCCAACCAGAGTGCTTCCATGCAGCAGCTGACCATGGTGACAATCATTTTTCTTCCACTGACCTTTATCACGGGCTTTTTTGGGCAAAATTTTGCACCGGACGGGTTTCCAGAAATTCACAACGGGATATGGTACTTGTGAGTTTTTTTTTTTTCAATAAATCTCATCCTTTATTTTCTTGGTTCACTCTAGTTTTTTCCCTCTCCTATTCGCGCCCATGATTTGGTTCGGGCAATGAATATTTACTAATCGACCCAGTTGGGTGTGTGCCGTGCCGACGGCGTTTGCGACGATTGTCATTCTCATGCGGGACATGATCTACGCCTGGGTCGTGAGGCTGGTGCAGCGGAAGCAGATTCTGTCCTTGCGCAAGAAGAAGCAGAGGAGGCCGAGGAGGGGGTAAGTCCTTGCCAGCACAAAACACCGGCGGATACCAGACCTTTTGGACGCCCGGCGAAAGCTTTCCAAGAGAGGCAAATTAAGTAAGGTACGACTGCACAGCGGAAGCTGGTTCACGTTAGACCCGACGTGTCTGCGATATAGTTACATGACCCGACACCCCTGGCGCGCGGGCTCCATCAAGCACCGTTTCTGCAGTCCGTCAGGATGCCCTCCCACTCGGCGCAGCGCGCGTCGTCCACGCCCAGCGCCTTCATCAGCCGTGTTCTGTGGCACGCTGTTTCAACACCACCCGTGCGACCAATGCGGTTGATCTCGTCCATCTCCGCCACGAGGCTTCTGAATGGCTCGGACGTGAGGCTCATTGCCCTCCCGAACGCGAGCACCAGGTCTGTCCACTGGGGCGACACGTCGAGCCCCAGGCGTGGATGCCACAATGCGCAGCGGAACGACGCGACGGCGCAGCGCGAGGTGCTGCTGTCCTCGGCCTCGTCGTCGTCGTGTACGTACAGCGCGAATGCTAGCGCGCTGTGGTGCCGGTCGCGAAGCGCGCGCGAGAGATGGGCGAGGTCGGGACATGCCCACAGTTTCTGCAGGCAGCCTTGAGCGACGGCGTCCTTCAGCCCTGTCGGCAGGTGGGACTTCATGATGCCCTCCAGCAGGGGGTCTAGAGTCTTTCCGACGTCCGTCTGGCCGTGGCGAGACACCGCAGTGAGGGACGTGGTCGTTACCGGCCGAGGGCAGACGACGACGGCGTCGCCGCTCAGGTGTCGCAGCGGAACGAGCAGGTCCCTTTCTGTGAGCCAGACCAGAGTTGCGAGTTTCTTGGCCTGCACGAGGGTGAAGCCGCCGCGCGGCCGGAGTGAGATGCTGAACCTGCAGGTCGAATTGACGTGGATGAGGACGGCGCTGCGGAGCGCTTCCACGCACCGACCCACGGGAAGTGATGATGGATCGCCGCCCTTGAGGCGAGGTTCGTGGATAAGCGGGCTGCGGAGCTTGACGCCGCTCCAGTCGTATTGTTTCGGGCTGCTGGACGAAGCGAATGAGCTGTGGGAGGGCTGGACGATCCAGGAATCGAAACGGGCGGACTGCCAGGACCTCTCCGTCAGGTGCGCTTCGTTGTGTCGGATAATGACGCTGTTGTTGTCCCTGGAGAGAACAGCCTTGCATTGGTGAAGAACCTCTATGGATGGGTCGTCTGCTTGGGACGGACATGCCCATTTCTGCCTTTGCGACGAGGTGTTTTGCGTGTCGATTTCCGAAGCCGTGGCGTTGTAGCTGTGACCTTCCTTCTCCACGGCCACGAGGAACTCGACTTCGGTGATGATGCTGAGCGGCGTGGGATGGATCGGAGCGTAAGCCATGGCGGCTGAGAGGGATGAAAGGTCTGGGAAAATCTGGTTCGAGTTTTTCTTGCCCCTTGTTCTAGAGACGTGGGTTCCTCGGCCTGGATCGTACCATGTTTCTATATAGCTAGTACATGCTGGATAACGGAGTACATGGTGGTCAGGTGGCTTGAAACAGCATTTCGAAGCCAAGTTGTCCGGTGGCGGATTGTGTATTCTCGGAAGCCGTAGCATCTCACGCAATTACGCAAGCATCCACGCGAGGTGGCTGAAGGATTTACACTAAGAAAGTCTTGATTTGTCTGTCCAATTTGCAGCCTGGGCGTGGACGGGTGGTCATTGATTCAACAAGTTCCCTATGGCTGTGCTGGCCACCTCTCAAACGGCAGCAACAACATGCCACGGTCGAGTCTAACGAAATCATATAAACTAGCTTGACCTGCTTGTCGACCAGAAAAGAATCGACATGACAGCCGGGCAACTTTCAAATTGGCTCGGTCTGATCCCGAGGGAGAAAAAAAAAAAGGGGCGGGTGGCCGCCTGGGCCGACGCAAAAATGCATTTGTTGTTGAAGCCATCTCCTACACGGACACACAGGGTGGGTGGCACAATCCCCGATCGTGCACAGCTGGTGAAGCGAAAGGCCAGCTTGGATGCGGTACGACGACATCAGGAGAGGTCATTGGCGATCGATCGTGTCCCAGACAACATGGCTTTCGTGGTCACTTGAGGAATCTGCGGTGCAGGAGACGGATCGTGGACGTGGACATGGCGGCTGAAATTGTGCAACCGAGCCGGCGCATGACATGAGAGTACGAAGTGCTGGTGGCGGAGGGTGGACGCTCGCTTTCCACGACTTCGCAGAGGCACGCTTTGAGATACGACGTTGGGGTGAGACAGGGCTGCGTTGTCCGTGTCAAGGCCACAAGGGGCGGCCCGATGAGGCGCGCAGCGAAAGCTTCTTCGGATCGGCTGGCTCCATCTGGCTTTTAGACACGGGAGAATGAAGTGCAAGGCAGCAGCAGCAGCAGCAGACAAGAAGCAGGAGCAAGAGCAAAAGTCATCGATGGGCAGGACGGTGCATCCATCGCGAGTCGCAGACGGAGGAGGAGGAGGGGCATGCGCTAGGGCTGGTGCTGATTGATTGGTTTCGGCTTATCGATATTGCGAACTCCAATGTTCATACTCCGTAGTCCACGAAGCCTTGGATGCTGACCCCACATCGACGCTTCTGCCTGCTCACGCATCCTTAGTTGAGCACTTGAAGTGGCAACTAATATACGGCCAGGAAACCTTGCGCGCAATTTGCGCCATGATACTATTCGGCTTCTTTGAACCGTCATAGCACGTCGCTTGACTGCGACGACCGACAAACAGCACACGCACAATGAGCGGCTACACCAGGACCAAGTCGCCAGATGCCGATGCTCAGCGTGAGGAGGAAATGCAGTATGGCACCATAGGTTTGACCAAGGAAGAGCTTGAGGGAAAGTAAACAATGAACACTCATTGAAAACGTTGCCATGTTTTTCGTCATGGGTGCCCGGCTGAGAATCCTACAGGTATCCAAAAAGGCCGCGTAATCATTCCAAAACCCTGCTTTTTTCTGAGCTGTTCCTCCAGCTCTTCAACCCGCTTAATGAGAACAAGACGCAGCCCGCGGCTGGCCCGGCACGCAAAAGGGGCCCTCACGGCGCGGCGACGCTCTCGCCACAGGAACAGAGGCGCCACATCGTCGAGAGGTTCATCAGCAGATGGCGCAAGGAAGTCGGCAATGATTTTTATCCCGCCCTGCGCCTGATTCTGCCCGACAAGGACCGCGACCGTGGCGTCTACGGACTCAAGGAGAATGCCATCGGCAAGCTACTCGTCAAGCTCCTCAAGATTGACAAAAACTCTGAAGACGGGTACAACCTCCTGCATTGGAAGCTGCCCGGCCAGACAATGGCTGCCCGTCTGGCAGGCGACTTTGCCGGGCGATGCTACGAGGTCATTTCCAAGCGGCCGATGCGCACCCAAGTGGGGGACATGACCATCGCCGAGGTGAATGCGCAGCTGGACAAGTTGGCCGCATCGGTCGGAGAGGCAGAGAATCTGAGGGTGTTTGAGACGTTTTACAATCGCATGAACGCCGAGGAGATGCTCTGGCTGATCCGCATCATCCTCAAGCAAATGAAAGTCGGCGCCACGGAGAAGACGTTCCTCTACCTGTGGCACCCGGACGGCGAGACGCTATTCAGCGTGTCATCCAGCCTCAGACGCGTGTGCTGGGAGCTCTACGACCCCGACGTCAGGCTGGAGCAGGAAGAAGCCGGCATATCGCTGATGCAGTGCTTCCAGCCGCAGCTGGCCCAGTTCCAGATGCCCGCCTCGTTTCAAAAGATGACGGAGCTGCTGCGGCCGACAGAGGACGACCCCGAGTTCTGGATCGAGGAGAAGCTGGACGGCGAGCGGATGCAGATGCACATGGTGTCCGATGCCGCTCATCCGGGAGGGAAACGGTTTTGTTTCTGGTCGCGAAAGGCAAAGGACTACACGTATCTGTACGGCGACGGCGTGCTCGACCAAAACTCCAGCCTGACGCGCCATCTCAAGGACGCCTTCGCCCCGGGCGTGCGGAACCTCATCTTGGACGGAGAGATGGTCACGTGGGACATGGCAGTCGACAAGATTGTCCCATTTGGAACCTTGAAAACCGCCGCCATTGCAGAACAGCAGAACAAGTCCGGCTCGGACTCATCCGGCCACCGGCCTCTGTTCCGCGTCTTTGACATACTATACCTCAACGACAAGCCCCTCACGCAGTACACCCTCCGCGACCGCCACCACGCCCTGGAAAAGGCAATCAGGCCCGTTCACCGCCGCCTGGAAATCCACAGCTACAAGAGCGCCACGACGGCGGATGCCATCGAGCCCATGCTTCGGGACGTCGTGGCCAACGCCTCGGAGGGCCTGGTCCTGAAGAACCCACGCTCCATGTACAGGCTCAACAGCCGCAATGACGACTGGCTCAAGGTGAAGCCGGAATACATGTCCGAGTTTGGCGAATTGCTAGACTGCGTCGTGATAGGCGGGTACTACGGCTCCGGCAAGCGGGGGGGCACCCTTTCCAGCTTCTTGTGCGGCCTCCGCGTGTCCCGGAACCACATCCAGGCGGGCGACAGTCCGGAAAAGTGCTACAGCTTCTTCAAGGTCGGCGGCGGGTTCCGGGGCGAAGACTACGCCGAGATACGGCACCGCACCGAGGGAAAATGGGTCGACTGGGACAGGAAGAACCCCCCGACCGCGTACATTGCGCTCGGCGGCGGGGAGAGCAAGCAGTTCGAACGGCCGGACGTGTGGATCCGGCCGAGCGACTCGCTCGTCATTTCGGCAAAGGCGGCCAGCGTCGGGCCATCCGACAGCTTTGCCACGGGGTACACGCTGCGGTTTCCCCGGTTCCGCCGGCTCCGTCTCGACCGCGCCTGGGACTCGGCACTGTCGGTGGACGAGTTTGAGGAGCTCAGGAAACAGATCGACCAGGAGGCCAAGGAGAACGCCATGACGGTGGAGGACAGGAAGCGCAGAAACCCCAGGCGCGCAAAGCGAGCCGTGGTGATTGCGGGCCAGGACGCGGCGCCCGCCGGCGGGTCCCGGGGTCAGAGGTCGCACGTCTTCGAGGGCCTAGAGTTTTGCGTGCTCTCCGAGTCGCCGAAGCCGTACAAGATGACCAAGGCGCAGCTGGAAGCTGTGATTAAGGAAAACGGCGGCACGATTTCGCAGCGCGCAGTCGCGGACGCGCACATGGTTCTCGTCGCGGACAAGAGGGTCGTCAAGGTGGCGAGCTTGATCAAGGGCGGCAATGCCAACATTATTCGTGCAAAGTGGATAAGGGACTGCGTCGAGCAGGGTGGCGATTTTCTGCTGCCCTACGAGGAGGGCCACTTGCTCCATGCGACGGAGGAGTTGGCGACTATTGCAGCCGAGAACACGGACAGGCACGGGGACAGCTATGCGCGCGATGTCGGGGTGGATGAACTGAGGGAGATACTGGGCCGCATGGCCAAGGTGGAAGACGACGGCTTTGACGTGACGCGCTTTCTGGGCGAGTTGGAAGAGCGGGGGGAGGGGATTGCGGACCTGCGGGGGTTCATGATGAGGCGGTGTGTGGTGCATTTGCGAGCAGCAGTGGGCGGTGTCGAGGAACTGATGGGCAAGTTGGTCCGCCATGTGGAGTACGCGGGCGGGACGGTGGTGGACAGCTTGGGAGAGGGCGTCACGCATGTGGTGGTGGTAGGGGACGATGCCGTGCAAGTTGGAGAGGTGGCGGACGGGGCCAGGAGGGAGGTGAGTTCCTGGGCAAAGGTGCCGCGTGTTGTGGGACACGGGTGGGTTTTGGATTGCTGGAAGGAGGGGACGTTGGTAGACGAGGACGGGTATGCGATTCCATGAATTTGGCGTCTCGACGGGCGCAGCATGGCATGCATCACGAGATAACTTAGCAATGGCGGAATCAAGAATCCATCTATTCGTCTACGAGTGCTTGGCATTGGTCAGAAACAGTCTATCGCCGATATCGCCCAGGCCGGGCTTGAGCATGCCGCCGGGCGTCAACTCGGCGTCCACGCCGGCAATCCACAGCTCTGTGCCCTCGGGCCACTCCTCAGCAGCCCTCTTGACGCCGTCCTCGGCGCCGATGATGGACATGACAAGGACCTTCTTTGCACCCCATTCCTTGAGCGTCTGGATGGCTGCGGCGCACGTACCGCCCGTAGCGATGACGGGATCAACCAGGATGACGAGGCTGCTGGCGGTGCTGTTCTCGGCCGACGACTGCGGGACGTGGTGCGGCAGGTTGTTGTAGTACTCGACGGGGTCGAGGGTGGATGGCTCGCGGTACATGCCGAGGTGATGGACGGGGACGGGGACGGGGAGAACGGTCTGGACGGCTGCGCGTCTTGCGTCAACGCGGCCGATTCTGTGCTTGGAATTCATGGCTGAGGACTTGGCTATTTACCGTCCACCATGCCCAGACCGGATCGGAGAATGGGCACGATGCAAATCGTCTGAGGGTGCGCCACCGTCGTGGCGTAGTCGAAGCCAAGCGGCGTTGCGTCCTGGGTAGTCGTCACTGTCAGTGGCCGGGGCAGACAATGGTTGGAGCCAAGAGCGGGATCGGATGAAATGTAACGTACCTTGGGTCCGGGGGCGGTGGCGAGATTCTTGGCCAGGGCCTCGCAGGCCAGGATGAGTGAGATGTCGTTGACGAGGGCTTTTACTCGTTTCGAGTCGGACGTTTTGGAGCGCAGCTGGCTCAGTTTGGTGCGCAGGGACGGGTGCGTCGAGATGTGGACATTGGGGAGGGACGACATGGTGAACGGGAATCAGGAATCGGGGGCTTGGTAGTTCGAGTCAAGACCAGAGGAGATGCAATTGCGACGACAAGAGACTGGATGAGGGTGGTGTGAAGTGTGGTTGAGGTTGACACGAGCGTGTGCTGGTCCGTCACGGAACGTCTTAAGTAAGGTCTGGTACTCCGTACGTACTCCGGAGTACTCCCTACTTGAGTGGTACTTACCTACCAGGTAGCTACCTTAAGTACCTGGTAGGTACTTATTGGGCACCTGCCCAAGTGCTTATGAAGTTGGGTGACTTGCCCGGATAGTGCTGCACATGAACCGAGTACACATCACGTCGGAGCTATGGAGCCACCGGGCTGCACATGCGGGTTGATGGATTGTCACGCCTGGTCTGGTCCATGGGGCCACTTGGGACAATACGGGGCCCCAGGCCCCACTAAGCCGCTAACGTTATATCCGTCATGGGTCCGGTCACCCGTCAAGGTTCTCAACGCTTGAACTGGCCCTGCGCTGGTCAACTCCCCCGGGGCCCTCAACCTCACACGTCAAGATACCCCAGCCAGTTGACCTTGGTGATGCGCTGCCCTGTACGGTGTCAACTCAGGCTGGGCTCCTGAGTCGCGTTGGACGGCGACACGGATCAGGTGCGCGAAACGAACTGATGCCAACAGCCGCCATGGCCAACCCTCCCCACGCGACCAGCACAAATGTTACAAGTCCAAGAAGCGACGAGGACAACAGCTCTCCGTCAGAGACAACGGCAAAGGGCGTCAGCCATGCCGAATCTGCGCGCCCAAGACCCTCTGCCGTAGACGAAGAGCTCTACTCTGTCCCAGACGAGTATAGCAACCTCGACGAAGTCGCAGCTCCTTGGCCTGTTGAAAACGTCGCCGATGGTCCCGTCTACCGTCATTCAAGCCTCGAGGCCGTGCGCAGCCACGAGCAACAATGGCGTGCAAGACGCTCACAGGAGTTGCCCGAACCGCCATCAGAAGCGGAAGCTCGCAAGGAAATTGTGTCCAAATTTCTCACCAAACTATACACCCTATCATACTTGGTCTTCTTCGCGTTGATGGGCACGCTGGCGCGACTAGGTCTGACGGCTCTAACACATTACGTCGGTACGCCCGTAATTTTTCCCACCATCTGGGCAAACTTTGGCGGTAGCCTCGTCATGGGTTTCCTCGCCGAGGATCGAATGTTGTTCCGGCATGAATGGGGGACGCCGACGTACGATCGGGCTCTTGCCCGTGCCAAGGCGCAGAATCATGAGCAGAGCGCGTCGTCCACATCGGACTCAATGCCGGCGCCTGATATTGCCAGCGCAAAGAAGCAACATGTCGCGACCAAAAAGACGATTCCCCTGTACATTGGGTTGGCGACTGGGTTTTGTGGAAGTTTTACCAGTTTCTCAGCTTTTATCCGCGATGTGTTTCTGGCCATGTCGAATGACCTGGTGACGCCGGCATCTGGGACGGAGACTCAAAGTCGGAACGGGGGATACTCCTTCATGGCCATGTTGGCGGTCATCATCACGACCGTGGGACTGTCGTTGGCAGCGCTGGTCTTTGGCGCGCACCTGGCCATCGCCACGGAGCGAATCGTCCCTTCGATACCCTTCCCAATTACGCGAAGACTCCTGGATCCCTTGTTCGTCCTGCTGGGATGGGGATGCTGGCTTGGTGCCGTCTTCATGTGCATCTTTCCTCCGCACGATCGGTGGCGGGGACAAGCCACGTTTTCCCTGGTATTTGCGCCTCTTGGGTGCCTGGCCAGGTTCTATCTCTCCATCTATTTGAATGGTAAAGTCGCCGCGTTTCCCCTGGGAACGTTTGCCGCCAACGTCATCGGTACTGCTGTGCTTGGCATAGCGTGGGATATTGCGCACGTTCAGATCGGCGGCATCGTTGGATGTCAGGTGCTGCAGGGCGTAGAGGATGGATTCTGCGGCTGCTTGACGACGGTGTCTACGTGGGTTGCGGAGCTGAATAGTTTGCGGAGGAGAAACGCGTATACATATGGCGCGACGAGTATTGTGGTCTCGTTTGCCATCATGGTGCTCGTTCTTGGAGGCTTGAGGTGGACTGACGGCTGGTCTGCCCTGGTCTGCTAGCTTGCTTGCTGTGTAGACGTCATGGCGAGAGCGTCAAGGCATCACCACACATGACGGACCAGCAAAGAAGCGAAACTGGCGACCCGGGCGGGAGTCTTGGGCGCAGAAACCAGCCAAGGTGCGTGATCCCGTCGGATGGTGACTGGCAACTGCCTCCAAGCTGGCAACTCATGAATAACAACAGGGAGGCACGAGCGCCAACCAACAATCTGGCCTGATGAGCCCTCTCGTACTTGCAAGGTCGTTGCCGGGCAGAGACGTCTCTGACGATGGGTGCTCTGAGCTGTTGTTGCCAAGCATACTTTCTGCCCGTCCACCATTGCATCATTCCCTCGATCCATCGGGAACGAATATCCATTCTTTGCGCCGCCCGCTTGTCGGCTTCTCATTCCAGGTCGCAGCCGTCTGATGTTTGATACAATGTCGCCATGACCTCACCAGAGCCGCCGAGCATGGCGTATGCCATCACGAAGCAAACGTGCGCCGGCACGGATGAGCTTGGCGTCTCTTGCGACGGTGAGCCGACTATACCTTGCCCGCACTGTCTGCTCGTTGCCGTAGGTACGACGAGAAATAATTGGAAGCTCCAGTTGGATTGATGATGCCCAGTACTGCGAGAACGCATGCCGCATCGCGCATTGGCCCGATCACAAACGAGACTGCAAGAACAAGCACTACTCTCGGGGCTTGGCCACGGCCATTGCCATCGGCCCTCAGAGAGATTCGCAAAGCTACCTTAGTTTTTGGTCAAACTACGCTGCAACAGACGTGCTAAACCTCGAGAAGAACGAAGGACGCTTCTTCAACGGAACCTTGTCTATATTCCTCTCTGGACGTGCGTTGGTTGGATCTGTCGCACCCGAGATTCCCACGATGACTGACAAGCGCTTAGAGTCTTCACTTCGACACTTCATATACTCGCTTCTCAAGATACCAAAGACGGCCACACCATGTCTAGCAGTATCCATTAACCATCACTCTCCAGCCCATCTTTGCCGGGACTTCTTTGCTTTACACCTGCTTTTCGACCGACGCCACGATCCCTACATCAATGCCGAGGCAACGATCCACCTTTGGTACTCGGCAAGAATGCCACACGCTCTCTGGCGCCATGTGGTTGTTGTCATGAGAGATTACTTTGAGGATTGCGAAATGTGCCCCATGACCTGCAGGGAAGATGAGGACGACGAGGCCTCTGACGAGAGCGAGGACGACACGACGCTCAAGCTGAGGTGGACCCGCGGCAATGTCAAGTTTTCGGGCGACTTGTATGAGCGCCAATGGCGCCTAATAAAGAAGGTTCTGCTGCCGAAGAGACAAGCGACGTTTGAGCAGGCCGTGGTCGCTCGGGTTCGGGATGTTGCGAGAAGTTGCGAGCCTATCAAATTGGCGGCTTCCCGGATGACGCCCGCGAGGACGTCGGGCGTGATGAAGTGGCGGAGCGAGGGCCTGCTGCTGCCGTTTGGACACGCGGCGCGGGGGTTCGACATGTTCAATCCGCAAGTTCCCCCGGTCCCTTCAAGCTCGACTCGGCTCGTTGGCACTAACCCGCGGGCTTGATGTAGAATATTCTTTCACGGGCCCAACTCGTTCCCCCCCGGAGCCACTGCGGAGCCGGTTGGAGAGTGGCCCATGGAGTTTCTTGACTTCCCCGGCTGCCTGGCACAGAATGATGTCTATGGCAAGTTGTTCTACTACCTGCGCGACATGTTGGTGAGGTTTCAAGAGGAGAACAAAAGATTTGCCGTGTCGCTGGGCATTACCGCAATGGACATGGATCACCTGCTTCACCGACGACCACAGTCCCTCTTGTATGACCGTATTCACGTGAGTTTGTTTGTCCTCGACGTCTGTCCGTCTCAGCAGACGTGCTGAGGCTCTCCAGATGGGAGAATTATGGGATTACAGCCCCGCGTGCAATTTGACGTTTGCGGCCGGCTGCCTGCAACACAAAGACCAGAACCCGTTCGCCACCATGCTTGCAATCTCTCGACTGTCAGTCACGGGGATCGACAAGGAGCTCGAAGACGATCTCTGCGAGGAAGGCTTCAAGACGTTTGAGCCGTCGGCCACCATTCTTGACGAGCACGCGCCGCCCATTACCGAAGAACAAGGCTTTGGCATGGAGACGGTCCTCCGACGGCGGATCGGTCTCTTGATGTGGCGCAACTGGGAGAAGTTTTCAGAGCGGTAAGAGGGCAACTCTGTCCGGCCCGTGTGTCGTCTGCCGAGCGCGGCTAACCCGCAGCGAACGGCGCAGCTTCATCAACAGTGCCAAGCTGTTTGCATTCCACCTCGCCATTGACGAAGAGACGGCAAACAACAGGAGCGTCTTCAAGACGGGGTTCATGGGCATGGAATACAAGGAGAAGAATACGGTAACCCGGAGGTGGCCCAACCGTCTGGTGCACAGCAAAGGGGACAAGCCCAGCCTCCGAGACTTTAACCGGCACGTCGGTTGGCTCGACAGCATGCCGCAGAGGTGGATGGAGTGGAGGCGCGTCGGCGATGTCAGCTCACACGAGTGGGAATTGTCGAGGGAGTGTATTTTGGACAGCTCCTGGCTGGACATGAGTGCGCTGATGCAGGCGACCATCGACATGGAGCGAGAGGACAGCAAGTTAAAGTCGGAGCAGGAACAGAAGGAGGCTGATGGCAAAGTAGCCTCGGACAAGCGGACTGAGCAGGTGACTCGGGACGAGGCCGGTGCCGGACACGAGTCCGAAAAGGCCGAAAAGCCGGCGCCGGCGGCGGCGGCGAAACCAAAGAAGCGGAAGAAGGCTAAAAAGAGGTAGCTGGGATGTTGGTTTGGTTTGACGGCATGTACGTGAGTAAGCTTTTTGGTAGCAGCGCTTGAGTTATTGCAACAGCGTGTCTCGGCGTGGGAGGTGTCAGCCTAGGATGCGTTTGCGCTTGATGTCGAGTAACTGGTTTTTGCCAAGACGGCGTCATTCCCACTCTCGGATGAGCTTTATCACGAGCCTCATGGCGCTTGATGTCAAAGGACTGTATTTATGCCGTGACGAGGCCATTCCCACTCTCGGATGAGCTTTGTCACGAGCCTCATGGCGCTTGATGTCAAAGGACTACTGTATTTATGCCGTGACGAGGCCATTCCTACTCTCGGATGGAGCCTCATGGCGCTGTTGCGTCGCCGCCGTTTGGAGCACATGGGCACAAAGTGGCCTACTCGTCTTGGCCGCCGTCCTTGTCGGGCAGCTTTTCGTACACGTCGTCTGTCACGCTTGTCAGGTACGTGTGTGCGGTGGCGAAACGAGGCCGTTGAGATGGAAACCCATGGTGCCCCTCGGCATGCTTGGATGGTAACGTTACTACGTTTCCAGAATGGCACGACCTGGAAAGCAGGCTCGGTACCAACTAGTCTTGGACGAAAAGCAGGAGTGGGACAGTGGGACAGACGGGACCCAGCTACTTGGATTCTTGGAACTTGTTGGACGGCAGTACAGACATTGAGAAGTACGGCCCAAGACGGCCATCACACCGGCACGCCGTGTACGTGGTCTGCCGTCACGCCTCGCGAGCACGATGCAGATACGACACCGGGGCCGGGCACTGCCGCCTCACGTCACGCATGTCTGTTGCACCTGCGGCACGGTATAATGATTGCATCAGCCGGCATGCCGTGGTCGAGGCTTCGGCGCAAAAGGACGACACGGCAAGGTCAACAAAGCTTGTTCAGTGCACACTATAGCCCTAAAGGAACGGCCTGCTATGCCTTGGGACTCCCACGATACCGCTCGCCTGTGGCTCGTCTGGGCCCTTGGAAAAAGCGACCGTCACCCAGGGGCCTCTGACATTACTGTACTCGACAGGATTACAAGGCAGATCAGGCGAGCCACGTCTCGAGCCCAACACTGCCGGGACTCTCCGGCACAGCCCGCGCTCTCCTCGGCAGACACCCGTGCTCCTGCTCCTGCTCCTCGCGCTGCGCCATCATCAAAGGTCCTGAGTCGAGACGTCCTGGGCCGGAAGCATCGGCCAGTCTCTCCCGCCGGCGTCGGGCAAGAGCGTGACGGTAATCTTGCCGAGGCTCTTGTTCAGCTCGTCAATGTTGCCGTACCAAGCCGGGTCGAGGCGGTAGATGCGCTTCAGCAGCTCCCGTACGGAGAAGCCATCCGGGGACTTGAACGTCCACCAGGCCAGGCTGACGGGGAGGACCTCGGTGATCTTGGAGTCGCGGATCTTGGTGTACTTTTGCAGGCCGCGGAAGAAGGTCTTCATGTCGTCGCGCGAGGCGGCGGCCACGAGCCAACGGTGCCAGTCGCCGGCGCCGTTGCCCTTGTCCGTCTGGATGAGGTAGGCGTAGTAGGGCCTGCTGTAGTGGCGGTAGTCTGCGTCTGCGTCGGACATGATGAGCGGGACTTGGTTGACGCGCGTCTTGTGGTGCTGCCGAAACGGGGGGTCAGGTCAAGGGGTCAAGGTTGCGAGGAAGCGGGCGTCCTTGCGGGCGAGACGAGACGGTCGTTTATATACCCACCGCTGTGGCCATGACGAGGGCGCCGGCCTCCTGTGATGAGCCGTGGACGCAGCGTCGTGCGGCGGGCAGAGGGAAACGGCCGTGGATCCTGCGTTTGTTGCGGATCAGTCTGTGCCGGGCGCGGATTAGGATTGCGTGTGGAACGTGGTCGATTATGATATAATGTAGTTTGATGGAGGTGCTGGAAGTTGTAATTCTTAGTCATTGAAGCCTATCTCGTACACTGTTCAGGGTACGTGTCTTACTTAACGTGGGTAGGTTTCGTTGAGAGCCGTTCCAAGCTTACAAGTACATGATTTATAACATTTAGGACATGTACAACAAAGCACAGCCGCTACATGTCCCTTCTGGCACTGTACATTTCCAGCTGCGAGAGACCCGGGGCACTGAAAAAGGCAGGGAACCTTGAGCAGGCTTGATCGATGGTTACGCGAGGAGCAAACCTGCTCGGATGCGCCGGAGGGCATCTGTCTGGATGCGGCCTCGCACTGCAGCATGCTACCTGCTTGAGGCTTTTGGCCTCGAACTCCAGTCTCAAGCAGAGCTTCGCGGTAAAGCTGCTCTTTAAGCTTTGAAACGTAAAGCCGCTCCGAGATGTACCATCTCCCTCACCTCCAGTCATCTGCAAGGCACTGCGCATGCTCACACCAACTCTGTCTGGTGCTTTAAAGTAAAGCCACGCTTACAACTTGCCACAAAGGCAGAGCTGCCCTCGATCTGCTGCCCTCTGCCCATATCCCCTCTGGCCGTCGACGACGTCGCTTATCAATCTGCCACGCCGTGGCATGGTTGGACCAGCGTACAGTGGTCGACGTGCGCCAGGGGCTTCGGAGCCTCGCGGTGACACTGGCACCAGCACCGTCTGAATGTTTCGAGGCTCCGGGCAGTCAGTCTCCTTGAGCCCGTGGCATATCCCATGACGTTGCGGGCTTACATGCATTCCGGCGCAAACTTTGTCGCCCGCCACCCGAAGTGTACGCTTTGAAATTCCGATTCATCATCCGGGCTCATGTCGTTGCTGCACGCCTCGACTGAATGGGATCCGGGGTTATATGCCAACTCTCTTCAAAGAAAGAGGGCAAGATGGCGTGTCCTCCCCCGGACGAGAGGTCCGTTTTCGGAGGGTGTAGAGCAGAGCAGAGAGAAGTTTAACTTGTGAGTTTGACGAGTGGCCTGGCATTACCTCACAGAGGGCGCCATCCCAGCGCCACACATGGGAAGTCAGCATGGACGGCATGTCTCATCACGTCGCTCCGGGGACAATTGCACACTGAGGGCTGCTCATCGAGCATCGCAAGAAACCTGACTTCTGTTGCTGGGCTCACGGACTGCGTTGGTGCGAGCAGCCCGTTGACGTGGGCGTGGGCCGGCCGTCTTGGCTGCTCCTTGTCCGGTGAGCAGGAGCAGTTGGTCGCGCGGTCCCCAAGCATCTAGTCTAGACGCGGTAGGACTCGTGGAATAAAACCTGTTTGCTTCTGTGCTCACCGCGCTCAGGGCTACGAGCTGCCCATCCCCATGCCCAAGCTTGCTTCCCTTTGGCAACAGTCCCGCGTTGCCCACGACGTCGTCATGGCCCTGAACGACGGCAACGGTAACATGCCAATACGGCCTTTTGAGGCGGATCAACTTGGGGGCCCGTAGCTACCGGGAAGAGGAAAGACACCAACCAGCGCAGCATCATAATCGAACAGGTCAAGGCATGCGTTCGACACACCCGCCTCGAAACAAGTAATTTGTCCGTCGCTCAACGCGCCCGCTCTCGTGCCCTGGACCGCCGCGGCCCGGACCGTTCCTGCGAGCCGACGAACAAGACTCTCATCTACGCCATCGGCTGGTGTTTGTGTATGTGTCTGGTGCGTGAATCAGGGAGGGTACGCCGGCGGGGGGGGGGGGCACCCGCTCCGACTCGGCGTCCTGCGAGCACGACACTTGGACGAGCCGGCAAAGACGTGCTTCACGAGAGCCACGAGCTGCAGCGTGCGACACGAGTCGGCCTCGCTCCTCAGCGAGCTGGGGGGCGGCTCGCTCATGTCCAGGGGGCCGTCGTCGGACCGCAGCACCGGGTCCATGACGGAACTCTCAAAAAAGGCCACGGACCTGAGGCGGTCGGAGCCGGCGTGTTTTGCGTCGGCAATGTTGGAGTTGGAGACGTCCACGTCGAGCGTAAAGGGAGGCGTGTGCCAGGACAGGGCGTCGTTCAAGCCCGGGATCTGCATGGGCATCAAGTCGTCCGACGAGACGGCGTGAGAGCTTGATGCCCCGGACAGAGAAGTGTCCTCGATGGACATGGTGTTGTCGGGCGTGAACCACGTGTCGAGCCGGCTGAGGGTGCTGCTCGGCCGGTCCAGACAGGTCGGACGGCTTGGCGCTTTTCCCGCCCTTTCTCCTGGTGGCTACGTGTCTGCAACCGCGAGGCACCGTCAAGACTCGAGAATCAAGATGACACGGAGGGGAGTCCGGAAGTCGGGACCAACCAGCCTAGGTAAGGAGCTGAGGCGAGGCCACCCACCATTCCTATTACAGGCATTTACCCGCCCCCGGCTAGCGCGCGGAACATGCCGGACCGGGGGGGTGTGTGATGATGCATTAAATACTCCAATGTCGACAAAAAGAGGGGGAAAACCACGGTTCCTGGCTTGTCAGAGCCGCCGTAGTCGTTCCCACAACGTCATCTCTTGACCTCCTGTAGCTGGCCACTTGTCGTGCTGGCCCGATTCGTCCTCTCTTTCAAACCAGACTCGATGTCTAGACTGATTCTCCGTCAGCCCGCCGTAAAAGCTGACATGAAAAATGCCAAGAAATCGCAGGTAATCGCCTCCAGAGCGCGGCAAGTTCCCTGCGAGCGGCGTCGTATCTGGCGGTATATGGACGGAAAGAGGTTGACAAGGCATGAAGAAACAGAAGTAAATGTTGCGTAACGCCAATATATCAGGCAAGCGTTTACCTAAAAGATACACCACTAGAGAAGGATTATACAATCTCAATTCAGTACAGTAGCTTATCGCCAAGAAATACAGTATCTCTTACGTAAAGCTACCATATCATCATGATGGACATGTTACAATTCAAGATAAAGAATATATACTTATGTAACTACTACGTAATAACACTAAGAGACGACAGTAAAAGATGAAAAGGTACCAAAGGTACAGCAGCAACTACCTGCAAAGAGGAGGTTTTTTTTATTCAGTATAAAAGCTCTATTTCTGGAACTGCATGTAAGGCGCTGCGCGCTGGACCGGTCACCCGGGCAGGAGAAGGAGAGGCTTCATCTACCAACGTGGCATGTACCAGCATTCGCATAAAATGCAAAGCATTCCCCGACTCATTCGAACCTTTAGCCGCTGTCCATCTGTGCATTATTCATCCTGCCCTACAACACTCTACGACTCGAGATGAAGTACATCGGCATTCTGCTCGCTGCCTCTGTGACGCTGGCCAATCTGGCAAAACGACCACTAAACAGCCACGAACTCGATGATTTCGCCGACAAGATATGCCTCTATCTCAGCGACGTTGACCCGGAGCAATGCGAGAGAAGAAGGAAGGACTGCGCTTCAAGCTATGCGCCTCAAGACGCGGGAGCGAAAAACTCCATGGTCGAGTGTACCATGTTCTTTTTCCCAGAATCAGCCTTCTGTTACATGGCAAGTATCTGTCGCGGTGCTCACCCAAGCTGTCTGTCCAGCATGACGATTAACCTGGCGACAGCCGCAAGATTACCTCGTGGGGATGTTGATGCGAGACGGCTATACGCACTTTTCGTGCGAGGAACCGACGGCAAGTGACAAGCTCGGAGTGGTTTCTTTACCGCTGCTACTGACACGCCGTCTAGGATGACTTGTACTGCGAGGCCTACAGTGGGAAAAGCATAGTCGGCGCGTTAGAGGGACCTGTTCACAAGCTAGACGAGTTTCATGAACGCTTCTCAGAGGTAAGCTGGTCCGTTCGCAAGGATAACAGCAAGCGTACAAGCTCACGCGACCTGCCGCGCTAGTTCTACTGTCAAGGGGGCAGCCAACGGGGTCCACCTGGGGTTGTGAGTGACAAGGCCCTGCCGCCTGCGTTGCAATTTTACTCACACTTGACCCTAGACGGATTTCAACTGCGTTAGAAAGCGACCGATGACGGACGGACGACTCGTACAAGGACTATTTCACTTGAGTGAGTGATGGCGGGGCTTGGAGCCGACAAGCTTGATTTACACACGAGGCTGGAAGACGCGGAAGAATGCTGGAATGCAAAGAGACGACGCTGGCTACCAACTGACTGGGTAAATTTCAAGTCTTGACGTGGCAGCCTTGACATGTACTTTTGTCTTCTGTAGATGAACACTGCAGATAAAAAAGTCCATCTGGTTTAAAGAGCACTGAGCCGTCCGAGGCGCCATTGGGAGCGGAAGCTCGCAAGCAAATTGTGTCCAAATTTCTCACGCTGTCTTGTAAAATATTCGGCTTCAACATCTCGTATCCACTTGAAGGGCTTTTTATACCAAAGAAAGTAGAGTAAAGGCTTTCAAGCTTTTGATCTATTAGAGCTACATGTGTCAATCTCTTATGTAGAGTTATATAGGTGTACATGTTGTGCAGTATGCGCCAGTATAGTCTCTACTATACAGCCCAGCCGAGGTGACTGCGGTCAGCCATGGAAACCGAACAATCTAGCACTACACAGGTTCGCCGCGCGCCATCTACTGCAACCATTGACAGGCGTAGCCTGGATCTTGACACCTGCAGCTACTTACTTGTATCACTGTGAATACTGCAAATCTACCCGTTTACGTTTTAGTCTCTGGTCGAGCACTGCCGCGCTGTGATTTTGCGCCTCGAAATCTCTATATTACAGTTGTGGACGCTATTCAGGCTGTGCATATTTTATATCCTTTTCTCATTAAATTATCCCATGCTAATGCAAAAGACGAAACGGCATTCCGTGGCATAGACCTGTTCGTGGTCACAGAGGCCTTTGAAATCACATCTTGAGCGGCAACCTAAACTGCAATCAAGACAACACTGACGAGTCGCCGGATTCAAGGTCACAGCGATGCCGGCGTGGTTTCTTTGAAACATGCGCTTAAGTGGAGGCTTTTTGAACAATCAACCCCCCTTGATCCAAGTCTTCATCCTTTCCCCCAGGGCCTGGTGTTTGACGGAGGACATGACCCATGATGGGACGTAGGCAACGTAACCGTCCGACGCCAGAGACTGGAATCTTTGCCATCGCCGACGCAATCTCAAACTGTACGACCTGGCGTCACGCCGCGGATACCTCGAAAGGAACGACAGGCCGCGGCCGGCAGCTCACTAATTCGCTGAGGCGCCATTGAACATACAGTAGTCAATGTTGACGTTGTTGTTGGTGCCTCCGTTGTTGAGCGCATAAGTGGGAAATTTATATTCGCGGCCACCGGCACCCAGGACAGCAAAGCTGAGCAGAAAGACCATGACCTGGGTGCCGCCGTCCAGCGCCGCAGAGAGCAGGTAGTTGTACTTGATGAAGGCGGCCGGGTGGAGGCGGCGGAGATACCATTGAGCAAAGATGCCGAGGCCAAAGTACATGAGCAGAGACGAGTTGACGCCCACATAGAGCAGCGCGCAGTTCCAGACGACTATGGACGTGTCCACGGCACGAAACACGGCACGCCTGGTAGACTTCCACGCCAGCCAGAACGGAACAGGCGCCAGGAATCCGAGCAGGTACGAGAGGGTGACCCATTGATAGCGGCTTCCCACCGAGAACATGTCCTTTGCCATGGACCACGCCACGGCGAGAGTGCTGTACGCCTGCACGTTCTGGCCGGACCAGACGTTGGTGCCGTTGGTGGACAGGAGCGCCGGCGCCTGGTTGTCCACGATGCTGACCATGATGACGTAGTCCATGACGGCGCCCACGACTGTGCCCAGCATTTGCGCCGTAAACGTCGCCCTGGGCGGCAGGTGGGAGAACTGGGCGAGCTTGAGGTCCCTCAGGAGCCACTGGCCCTGCTGGATGCCGTTGAAGCCAAAGACGGCAAAGTACATGTTTGCGAGCGGCTTCCGGGGCAGCAGGTAGCCGCCCAGCATCAGGATGACGGGCTGCTGGTCGAACTGGAACCCCGTCAGGCCCATTTGCGCGCCGAAAAAGAGGATGAAGAGGGCGGCGAACAGGTTGGCCACGATGAAGGCCCACCACGGCAGCGTCGAGCCGACCTTGTAGAGCGTGACGATGCCAATCACAAGGGAGAGCACGAGGACGAGCCCGTACCACCAGTCGGGCACCTCCGTGTAGCCGTTCTGCATCATCAGCCTGTAGTGCGGATCCGTCTCCCTGTCGCCAATCACTCGTCGTCGCCTCGCCGCTTCGCTCCCGGAGTCGTGTCCCGGCCGGGCCAGGTACGTCGACACGCTGAAGATGCTTCTCAGGCGAGACGGCCGGAGGAACGCCCAGCCGTCCTTGAGGTCGTCGTAGTTCCACAGCAGCAGGTGCACCATGGCAGCGGTGACGCCCACGTTGGTCGTGATGAGGCGGATCACGTACGATCCCGACAGGTAGGGAAGCCCCTGGTCGGCAGCCAGCGTGCCGTTGATGGTCCTGTCCGGGTTCAGAACGGCGCTGAGGTTGTACTGGACAAAGTTGGTCGCGTTTGACGAGCCGTGGTAGAGCAGCTGCGACAGAAAGGGAAAGTTGATGGACTCCCAGACGTTTCCGTAGTAGACGCCCATGAACAGGACAACGCAGAGCAAGTATCCCACCGCGCTGTTGACGAGCGTGTGCAACGGGTACCACAGCGGCGAGCTCAGGCCGGCAATGTAGTTCCAGTCGAAGCAGAGGCCGAGGAGTCCGAGACCCTCGTTGTTCTGCGCCCCCCCGAACAGGTTGGTGAAGAGGAGGCTGTCCCGGCGCGCGAGGCACGGGATCGCGATGCCCTGGAAGATGGGCGCAATCCACAGCGGAACAGCCTCCCAAAGAAAGGCGCCGCCGAAGATGGCCGTGAAGCAACGCAGTCGCTTGCGCGTCTCGCCGCGGTCCCGGTGCAGCGTTTCCAGGAGCGTGTTGACGGGGATGTTGACCGGCCACAGCATCTTGGCCGGCCGCACCAGGACCGGGCGAAGCAGGCCCGCGATTCCGTACGACAGGAACTGGGACGCGATGACGAGAAAGATGGCGGCCCCTTTGCCGGGGCTCGATCCGTAGTACAGGCGCTGGGCTGCGAGGATCTGCGTTGCCACCGCCGAGGTCGAGCCTGCCGATCCCATGATGACCACGAAGGTGTGCTCCTTGGAGTTGAAGTCGGCTGGGTTCAGGAAGCGACAAGCCCGAGCTGCGAAGCCGTCGCCGTCCAGCCGGGGGACTAGCTGGAATGGCAGAGCGAGGACGTAGCCGACGACGGTGAGAAACACCACGGACACTAATATGATTTGGGGCTTGAAGTAGAAGATTTCCTGCAGCACCGACGCAAAGACACACAGAACCAGGCCTGGACGTGAGTTGGGCCACGAGTTAGCGATACTCTGAGCCCGACCTCGTGAATATATCGAAACACTTGCCAATGAACACGGCACGAAAGGTCCACGGAGACTCGGCCGGGTCGTCGTCGACATGAAGCATGCGTAACCAGGTCCTTTGCGTTGTCGATGACCGCCACCTCACCAAAGTGGTTTTCCTTGCGGACGTCGTAGTCACCTCCCGCCTCATCCAGAGTGCTCGCAGCCTTGACATTTTCGGGGTCCGCGCTCTCTGTTCCTTGCCTGCCCCCATCATCAGGGCCAACTGTGTCCTTCTCCCGCCCAGGCTCAGTCGTCTGCTCGATACTGTCGCTCCGCCAGCCCCTTGGCTCTTGCGCGGACGGCGGGGTCTGTTTCGAGCGGCTGATCTCGGAGAGATTATCGCCGGTGCTGTCCATGGAATCGACGATTAAGGCTCTACGCGTGTTCAAGTTGGCAGGACAGGAGGCGCAAGACTACAGAGTCATCGAAAACGGCTCCAAAGATTCAAACATTGACTCCGAGAGGGGCATCATCCTCTGAGACATGGCGGACCGCGAGCGCGGCGCGGATCTGACATGCAAGGCGCCGCGGCTGATTCCGGGGTCGGCATGTCTTGACTTTGTTTCTGTCGTCTCTCTCCCCCCCCCGGCCTCGTTGACCTCTTCCTCTGCAGGGAAAAAAACCAGTGTCTCGCAGACAAACATCCGCCCCCAAACGTGGCGGACGGGCATGAACGTTGCTCCAATGGCAGCTGCAACTCGCCGTGAATTCCGCGCTTCTTGGCGTTTCGACGGCCCAAAAGCTGAAGATTGTGCATCCCAAAAATCCCCGTTTCCATGCTTCACAACCCGAGGATGCAAGGTAAGCCAGCACAGCATGGCATGGTGGTTGGCTGTCGCCACGAGACATGGACCAAGTAAGTTATAGATGCCGTGTAACCCCAAGATCCGGAGCGGAGGTGGCCATAGTCCATGCCATGTGCCCGTGAAGTAGGTAGTCCGGCCGAATACAATACTGTTTACCAAGGAGAATACAACAGGGACAACGGTAATCACTCCACAGGTGTCGAGCAGGAAATGGTTTTGACGACGCCAAACCTTGCCGTGGATGGATGCACGCGTTGGTTTCAAATAGTTATCAGAAAGCAAAATGTAGAATCATCAACTACGTGTCGTATTCGCATTGTAGCTCACCAATCTGCTTCCGAGCCCATTCGACGCCGCAGCCAGCGTCAACCGCTCCAATCCTGAGACGACGAGTGCAATCTTGACAATGAACCGACCCTAGGGCTGCGCTGACCAGCGCGCTGCTCTGCCCCTCAATGCTCATTAGGTTGAAAAGAGTGTTGCAGCTTATCTATGAAAAGCTACTATACTCGCTACCAGCTATAAACGAGAATACCGAAAACCCCACAAGTTAGTCTCGCCAAATGCGCCGTCATCTTCGGCAGGCGGCCCCAGCCGCGGCTAGAATTTGACGTTTTGTCCTTCGCCGAGACGGACAAGTTCTGTTTAGCCCCCGTGTATTTTGGGCACCGTTGCCGGCGGCCTGCCTCGTTTAGGCCTTACGACGCCGGGGTGGTTTGCAAATCAAATATGGCGTTCCGCCAGCCATCTTGGCGATACTCAAAGATGTTCTGCTCCGCGTCACGCGCCTCCTCCTCCCACACCTTGACCAGGCTGCCGGGCGCGTAGCGTCCGCGGAAGACGCCTTTCCCGGGTTCGACGCCGACCCGGGTGTAAACGTCGGGATCGGGTGACGGCATCAGACGCGCAGCCACAGCACGGACAAAGGTCCAAAGATCGCTGGGATTGCATACACGCGTCGCGCGAAGCCGCTCCCGCGCAAACACCAGCTCCCGGTTCAGGGTTCTCAGTCCCTGGTCCATCGCCGAGGATATCTGTGTCTCCAGTGTTTTCCGCAGAAGCGGCCGGAGAAATGGTTTGAGAAACCAGGCAAGACACGAAAACTTGGACTTGCGGAGAGAGTAGTCCAGGTGGTGGACCTTGACGCGCACGCCGCGCAGGGAAACGAGCTCGTCTAGCCGATCTCGGGCGATTTCCACGTCCAGAGTCACGTCTATGCCGCGCTCGTCGAGGCGGAAGCTGGCCAGGCCCTCGTCAACGAATCGAAGGAGGCCCGAATGCAACCGTAGCCAGTATCCGAGATCATCGGCTGCGATGGACATTCCGGCCAGTTTCGTGGTTACAAGGGAAGTCACCGAGGACTTGGTTCCAAATTGATATTTGGTGATGTCAACGTCGTTGCGGGTTGATAACTGCAGCTTGTACGGCAGAAATGAGCTCCGATTGACCGTCTCTCCCGGTTGCATGATCACATTCTCCATCAACAAGTCCATGGCCGGTGTCGAGACTTCCAGTCGTGGAATGGGAACGTACTGCACCGCCTGAACCAGTGACGGGATGAAGGTGTTGATACAATCTCCGACAAGATCCGAGTTGAGCACCTCGCCTGGCGGGAATAATATATGGATGAGGCGTAGCGAGGTCGACGTCATGTTTCTGATGTCCTCGTCCTCGGCCACGGATTCGAGAGCTTGCTGGACGCTTTTCAGGAGATTGCCAGCATCCTCGCCCAACGACGACCCGGACGTGAGCTTTTTCAGTCGCTCACGCAATTCGTCAAGTCTTTCGTCCGCGTTGTCGAAAAACTCGGGCTTGGAGAGCACTTCTTGAACCAGGTTGGCAAACTGATTCACAAACTCATCCAGGTTCCCATCCGTTCTATTGTGCTCTGCAAAGTCGGACAGCGATTTTCTGACCCTGTCCCAGCTTTCGGCGTCCCCAAACGAAGAAAGGAAGAGCCAAAAGTTGTGGAGTGCCTTCTCAACCTGGCTGTTGTCCTGCATGTCGCCTTGTAGCGTATCAACGGCCTCCGACCCCACCGACAAGTATATCGTGAGATATTTCTGCAGAAGCCTGGACAGTGTGGACACAGACTCGGAGTAGTCGGTCCTCTTGCGTAGATTCGTGACCGCGTTCCGAAGGCGGCGCATCAGTATGTCCTTGGCTTCCGCATTCATGTGCTCCGACACGCTTGTATAAGCTTCCTCGCCGACGCTGACGGCTTCTTTGTATGCGGTTTCACCGACGGTCTTTGCCTGGTTCTTGACATGCTCCGAAGATGCAGGCTCCTGCGCCTCCTGATCCGTCTTCTTGAGAGCCTGTATGTCGTCACCTGGATGGTCTAGCTTTTCGCCAACCTCCTTTGACGCGGCTCCCAGCGCCAGCGCCGTGTCTCGAAGCACTTGCCTTGCGATGGTGGCCACGTCGGCGACGAATACCCTAAAGTCGCGGTTCAACATGGCCAGGGACGCGACGGTGCGCAGGCTCTCCACCGTCGCAGAGGCATCCGCCCGCGCCTTGCTCTTGGACATGTTCTCCCTGACGCTCGCCACATGCACATCCAGCTTCGCCTTGGACAGGTACCAGATGAAATCCTGGAGCTGATCCTTTGAATTCTTCCGCTCGGCAAGGTCCATCAGCTGCTGCAGCCACAGACGTGCAGTCCGCACGAGCGCGCGGCCAGAGCTGCTGAGGGCGCCCTGCTCCGGCGGATTCAGGACTGCCGAGCTCAACAAGGCTCGGAGGTGAGTCATGACCTGCGCATTGGACGGCATGTACCCATTCGACATGGCTCGAAGCATCTGATATGTGTGGAGCTTCTCATGGAGCTGAGCTTGCCGCGCCGTGTCCTGATTGTATTGAGGCAGCAACGGCTGCCGCTCACCCTGGTCATCATCATCTGAGCCGCAGAATCCAAAGCAGGACGACATGATGAACGGCCTGCTTCTGAGCGTGTGTTTCTCGGCAGAGGGGAGCTTGTGAAGTTACCGGCAGTGGGACGCAATCACGGCCAGAAGAAATCTTGCCTCGACAGACCTGGTTTGAGCAAACAAACACGCAACCTTGATGCGTTAATAAAGCCATGTCGAGTTCAATCCTGTGCTGACGTCACGCATGTTGGATTTGACGCTTCGCTGACGTGGTGGAGCCATTGTTTACATCACTTCCAAAACGGGCTTAGTTTCAAATGACCACAAATTCCGCCTTTCCACATGGTGGTGGGGGATTCGGTGCGAGCTTGCGTTTTCCGTACGTGCCGGAAAAATCTCATTCAGCTCTTCTTTGTGTATTTACTCAGCAGGTGAGCCATATCTTGGCATAAATCCGACCGACCACGCGGCTTCGACGCGGCGGTTTCCGGCGATCACTCATGGCGGTCCGCACCACAGAGCAAAGGGAGGCCGTGCAACGTTTACAGGAGGAGCTGAATGCCCGAAACGAGTATCAATATTAAACAGATGGGTAGCTAGCCAAGGCGTCACGACGAATCAAGAGGCTCCTGGATGGAGGAGTTTCCGGCCTCGGACTGCGGAGGAATAGCGTCCTGCGTGCAGGGCTGGCTTGTCAATTGTCGTTGATAACGTTCCAGACAGCCTGTGAATGTTTCCATCCGAGTGTCTTTACATGTCAGGGTCGGTGGCGTCTCGAAGTGGTCACGCCATGTTCACGCTTGGCTTTCTTTTTCTGGATCCGCCTACGCCGTGGGCTCGTCAACACGGCATGCAATGGCCTTGGTTGGCCAGCAAAGCGGCGTGGGACAAAAACAGCTCCGAGCTGCCCATGACGGGTTGTGGCTCCCAGACTCTCGATATAGGCCTGCATCGTTGAAGCAAAGCCTGCCTCTGCGAGAGCCTCGCCGCGAGATTCTAGCAGAAGGTGGCTAAAGGGCAACCTCCTGGACTGGCTCCAAGTACAGGTTGCGGACAAAAGCCCCGGAGAGAGGTCGCGCATCCAGGAGATAGCGGCCAAGGCCACGTGTAAGCAGAGCGAAGATGGCTCCGAACACGAAGCGTTTGCGATGCAACCTCGCAGAGGGGGTGTACGCCAGTAAGTCAAGTCAGCAGGGACGACTTGAAGGGGGAGGAGGGCAGCTGTGGTGATTTGTTTTTATTTTCCGCCGTTTATTTTATTTTATTTCTGAGGGGCAAATACATGGCAAGGAAGTGCGACGCAAAAGATCTGCCCTGCATGGGTTTAGAACTTTGCCGACAACGCGTAAGGCGCGCGTTGGCCCAGCATCTCAGTGACATGGCCGACGACTTGGGTGTTGGCATTTGCTAAATGGGCTGTGAAGCTGGTCTCCCTCTATCGAAAGCTTGGCTTTCAAGAAATTGACCGATGCGTTGAACGTGGCTGCAGGAATAAGTGGGAAAGTACAGATGCTGTCGCCTTCATGGCTTATGGCGCAAAGAACCAGTACAATGGCGGAGAGTGATACACAACACGTGGTAGCGCCATTGGTGGTCAAAGATGAGAGTGTCGGGCTTCGAACTACTATTTGAGCTAGTCTCGACCTTCACGTATGGACGATATGCGCCATCTCGCAGCAAGAGGCAGCTAATCCTCCTCCAATTCGGGGTAGTGCCTCCAGATACCGTTGCCGTACTGGCAACGGCGACTGCTGGCAAGGTATTCCTTGATGTTGGGTCGTTCCTTGACAGCCTCGAAGAGCTCAAATACACGGTCGTATTTGCCAGAATCCCTCATATTCTTCATGGTCTTGGGAAAGGCGTATTCCGTTCCGTGAATGCCCTGCCAGCTTGTCAGTCTCTACTGCTAAACCTCTGTGTGTGGGTGATGTGAAAGCAAACCTGGAAAAGCACCAAGTCGGCATATGTCAATTTTCCGCCGTATAACCAAGGGCCATCCCCGCTCGCCTTTCCCTCGAGCACGCGCTCGAGATAGGCTAGGAACTTGGGGAGTCGCTCCTCAATGAACGACTTGGCTCGCCTCTTGGCTTCGGGCTTCTGGTCCTCGTAGTAGTCCTTGGCGGCTACAGGGTGGTGTGTGTCGTGGACCTCATTGCAGAAGCAATCCAAGATGGTCAAGACTAACTGGTTGATGTGGTAGATGCCATTGCCCTCTTTTGGAGCCAGGCCAAGCTGGGGGCCGAGATAAAGGAGAATGTTTGGTGTTTGGAAGAGTCTCAAGTCGCCATGTTTGAGGGCTGGACAAGTACACGTTGGTGGGTTGATCTCATCGCCTTTGTTGTCAGGAGACACGAGGTCGATGACGGTCTGAACAGCATCATTGGCCGACTTGGCCGTGTCATTATAGGGAACCCCAGCCTCCTCAAACAAGAGGCGGACAAATTCGCCGCGACCGGGGATGCCGGGCCAGTAGATGAGCTCATAGGGAGCTCCGTTGGCAGTCTTGACACGCTTGGTATCGGGTTCAGTCATTGTATGTCGTTTGGGGGTCGGCTGATTTCCGCGTGAGTAGGCCAGGCCACCGAGGGCTCTGACGGACAAGTGACGGGCACGGGTCAAACTTGAAGAAACAGGGCCGGTTCAAGAGGCGCATGGCACGGCGGTGAAGTGCGGGGAATCGAAGGCGGAGAAAGCGAGGCGTCTGTGTTAATAAGGACAGCGTCCATCCATTCGATCAGGAGATGGCTGCAGGACGGCCCGCCGGGTGGGATGTCCTGGATATTGAGTTTGACGGTTCACCATATCGACCCGTGGGCCGTCCCATCCACTCTCGGAGAGAAGTCGTCCCAAAATACCTCGAATTCGTGTGGTTGTTGACGAGTCAAGTCGGGCAAAGTAACTTGGTAGCCATGGCCAATTTTTTCGGTCTTGTGTGTAATTCACATTGCTGCAGTGCGCAAAGTTCGAAGCTCTGACCTCTCCAACCAGGCAAGCTACTCTGCGAATCCATTAGTTACCAGGTGCGTGATGCGTTTCGAGGGCTAGGGCTTCGCATTGTGGCATTCGTTAATGTGGGCGCCCTGATGCAATTTCTGCTTGGGCGTCACTGTCGAATCGTTCCAAGTCTGATTAGTTTCGCGTGCAGCCAACCAAACTGTTTTCACATACGTACACTACAGTAAATGAGGCTTTAACGGCTGCCAAAGTCGTTACCTTGCATGGAAGCTCGCAGCGTTGTCAGATGCACATGATGTACGTAATAGTTACGCGGGTGGAAAGTTGCACGTGGGAATGAAACAGGGTGGGCCCTTGGCGTCTCCAACATCGACACGATATATCGACCAATACCAGCGAGCTGGTATCAATGGGGGGCTGGCGCAACGGTAGCGCGTCGGATTCCAGTTAATCCACAGAGTGAGCGTCCCGAAGGTTACCGGTTCAAATCCGGTGTCCCTCATCCTTCTTTTTTCCTTCGTCGGCCTTTCAACGCCCATTTCACATTGCTTTGAGTGCCAATTGTAGCAATAGTTGACGGGCAGAGGCAATTTATTACGTCTAGGTAGAATGGTAACAACGGCGACATGCCGACGGAGGATTAGATTGATGGATGGACCCTCTGCCATAGAGGCTTTATTTCCCACTTGAAACCACAGCGCCTTTTTTGATTATTTTTTCCCACACATGTAAATTACTCGGTAACTAAGTCGTTGTCCAAAATATCGGCAGCTGCGACCAAGGCCCAAACAAGTAATGTGTCAGGAAACGCATTTTGATCAATGGCCTCGACTCGCCAACTCCCGACAAGTACGCTTCCATCGCGCCCGCAGCCCGTCAAACGGTCCCTGCAAGACTGGCGGGCTCGAACAGCAGTTGACCGCCCGTCACCGACGTGTCATGCAGGTCAAGACGTTGCTCGGGCCAGAATTATGTATATTTCGAGTTCAAAGATGGACTGTCCAGTCTGGTGATGTCTTCATCCTAAACGAGTGGGCTTACAACATTGAAAAAACAGCGGCCAACTGCACACATTTCTTGTTCGTAAAGAATGACAACACGTCCGGCACGCGTCTCCGGCAGATGACACACACATAGCTACCTCTCCCGGCTCGACCTGGACCGATGATCTGGCGTAGAAGCAGCCCGTTTCGAGCTCGACATCAAGGGGTGATTCATGACATTACTTTCCGCCAACCCGGCACTCATCCTTGCAGTACACACAGCCATTCCTCAAGTAAGTGCAGTCGGAACGTCGCAAGCAAGCCTTGCAAAAGACACCTTGATTAGAACACCTTGCCCGGTTTCAGCAGAAGCCAAATGCCGCGGTACTTACAACCGGTGGAGGACAGTAGTGCTGAGGCGAGTCTACGACCTCCTCAGCCAAGCACAGGCTGGCAACCATGGTGACGAGGACGGCGACAGCTCGCATTTTGGGAATTATTCGTCGTTGGCGACCGTGTACAGATTGAGCAGGAAGATGTGGTTTGAGCCAGGCAATGCGGGCTCGGTGGAAGAGTTCACGCCTTATTTGTACTTGTCGAACACACCGAGGAGACTAGGCTCGGAGATGTTGGATACCATCCCCCACGGCGGTAGGCAGCTTGTCATAATTGTTCGAATATGACAGGGAACGATTCGCGTCGCTTCGAAGTGACGCTTGACAGCAAAGAGTGGCTGCATGAATTAGTAGAATAATGACTGCTGACGGACATGCGAATGGCCGCTCGTAGAAAGCGCACCAGCGAGTCAGTGACGTTGTCTGACGACACGGCGAGCAAGGCTCGTATAGAGAGGGTCGACGGATCGACTCCCAAAGCTGCCTGGTGCGCCCGCGGCAAAGTCACGCCAGCCTGTCGTGTTCTCTTAGCTCGAGCCTGATGCCGTGGGAATAAAATCATAACATTGAGCGCAGGCCGACTGGCATCGCCAGCTCGACTCTGGGCAATGTTAACCGCCAAATTACGCTCACGTGCCGCTGGACCGCTCTGCCGGACACCTGAGGCCGTCCACAACTCGTCTCACCTCATCATGCATCATGCTCTCCACGTACGGAGTTACCCCGCCCGGGAATCCCCCACACAACCGTGACATGACTCTCCGTCACACTACATGATGGTCATCATGCCCGACTTAGCGACGGATGACAAGCACTGCCTCCCTCCGTACACGCTCTACGCGCCGCACTCGCCCCCGCGAGTCAGGCCCGACTTCCGTCGTCCTCCGGGCAACAATGGTGGCCGGCTCCGGCTCCGACGCGGCCTTCGTCGCAGCCGAGGCATCAAGTTCCTTGTCGCGGCATGCTTGTCGCTCCTGGTCCTCGCTCAGTGGAGGCAGATCTGGCGCTCCAGCCGCCGTTCCGTCAAGCTCAAGCTCTCCGCCCAAAAGTTGCAGGAGAATCTGGCCACGTGCAAGAAGCTCCAGCAGAGGCCTCGGGACCCCATTGGCCTGGGTCGTGACAAGAACGCCCGATTCGTCGACGGCGGCAGGCCTACGCTCATCAAGAACGCCACTATTTGGATTGGCGAACCCGTCGAGGGCACCGGCAACGAGGATGCTCGGGCAGGCAAGGGCTGGCAGTGGATCAAGGCCGATGTCTACCTGGAGCATGGCCTCGTCAACAAGGTCGAGCCGCATATTCCCCTGAGCCGGCTGCCCAAGGACACTCATCTTTACAACGCAGCGGGCCGACTGCTCACCAGTGGCATCATTGACATGCACAGTCATGCCGGCGTCGCCTCCTTGCCTAACCTGAGGGGCAACTCCGACGACAACGAGTCCTCCAGCCCCGTCACTCCCTGGGCCCGTGCCATAGACGCACTCTACGTCCTTGACCCCCAGATTGAGGTGATCAAGTCCGGGGGCGTGACTACTTCGCTCATCCTGCCCGGATCGAGCAATAACATCGCTGGCGAGGCTTACCTGATCAAGCATGCCGTTGGCGGCAAAGCGGGCCGCCGCGAAATCAGTGCCGCAGATGTGCTGGCCGACCCCGACCGTCACTGGCGGTACATGAAGATGGCGTGCGGAGAGAATCCCAAGAGTTCATCCTCTTCCAGTGGTCGCATGGCAAGCCGACTGGGCGAGAGCTTCGAGTTCCGTCGCGCATTTGAGACGGCGCGAAACCTGGTCCAGAAGCAGGATGACTGGTGCGACAAGGCCCAGGCTGTCGGCGTTGACAACATGCACGACTATCTCCCGGAAGACCTCGCTTGGGAGTCTCTGGCTGCTGCCATGCGCGGGCAGGTTCATGTCAACACGCATTGCTACACTGTGCCTGATTTGGAAGCCATGGTCGACCATACCAATGAATTCAAGTTTGCTGTGCGGACCTTTCACCATGCTCACCAGGCTTTTCTTGTTCCCGAGGCAAGTGCATGATTCTGCTTTTGTTGTTCTTTCTCCGTCACCGTCTGGTCGGAGGCAATAGGTGCTTTGCCCCAACTCTGCCTGCTGCAGCCTGGGAACGGTAGCCTTGACCGACTTGAAGCCGGGCAACTACCAACTCCCTACGACGGCATACCAGCTAAAAGGGGGAAAAGAGAAGGGTACTAATTGCCTGACCAGATCCTAAAGCGCACCTGGGGTGGCCGACCACCTGCTTCGGCTCTCTTCGCCGATAACATGTACTACAAGGTGGAGGCATACGTCGGCTCCGAGTCTGCCGGCAAGATCTTGTACGAGCATGGACTGACACCCGTGTATGTGAGCGACCATCCCATCCTAAACGCCCAGCACGTCCTTTTCGAAGCGGCCAAGGCCTACCATTACGGCCTGCCCTATCATGCTGCCCTCGCCAGTGTCACGACAGCCCCGGCCGAAGAACTGGGCATGGGCCAGCGCCTAGGCAAGGTCAAGCCTGGATTCGACGCCGATGTTGTAGTCTGGGACAGCGACCCCCTCAGCGTCGGAGCCACGCCCGTGCAAGTCTGGATTGATGGCACCGCCCAGTTCACGGCCCCCGTGTACCTCGAGAAGCCGATCCAGGGCCCCATTGGTCCGAGCGCCACTCTCGCCGACATTGTGCCCGAGCCGACTAGGATCGCCGATGCCCTCTTTCAAGGCGTCACCAAAGTCCTCCTCTCCGGCGATGACGCGCACAGCATCGACGGCGAGCCACACAACGTCGTCGTGACCAAGGGACACATCACCTGCATTGGATCCTGCGAGTCAGAATTCGAAGTCGCCATCGCTGCTGGCGTCAAGGTCGTCCGACTCAACAACGGCTACCTCACCCACTCCTTCACCGGCGTAGGCGGCACCATTGGCCTCAACGCCATCGATGCCGAAGACTCGACAGACAATGGCGACAATAAAGAAACGTTCACCCGCGCCGTCGACGGTCTCCAGCTGGACAACAAGAAACTTCGCGTCGGCGCAAGATTCGGCGTGACTCGTGCCATCTCGGCACCCAAGTTCAACGGTCTCAAAACACACCACGGCACGAGTGTCGGCTTCGAAACTACTGCGCTCACAAGCCTCGAAAAAGGCGCCGTGTTCGCGGAAGACGCCGCCGTCCACTACACCCTGGACGTCAACGCCCGGATGGCCGCCGACAAGAGCTACAGCGGGGCCTTTGGCAGCTTGCGCAAGAAGCTCCTCGGCGCGGCCAAGGCGGACAAGGAGCCCGACGCATACTCGGAGGAGGCGTACCTGAAAAGGGTCGTTTCTGGAGACCTTGTTCTCGCGCTGACCATCAACTCTGCCGACGGGATCGCCGCCGCCCTCCGCATCAAATCAGAGGTCGAGGGGCTGCTCAAATCCAGAATCCGCATGGCCATCATTGGCGGCGCTGAGTCGTATCTCGTGGCGACAGAGCTGGCGGCCGCGTCCGTGGGCGTCATCCTCCAGCCCTTGCAGCCCCTGCCCCTGACGTGGGATCAGAGGCGCGCCCTCCCCGGCGCGCCGCTTACCAACTGCACTGCGGCGGATTGGCTCGTGACGGCCGGTGTGATGGTCGCCGTGGGCTTGCCGGAAGACTGGTACGTCCGTGATCTGGGTTTCGAAGCGGGCACCGCGTATCGAAACGGCAATGGGAGATTCACCGAGAAGTCGGCATTGGACCTGGTGAGCCGAAACATTTACAAGATTCTGGGCCTCGAGGTGGACGAGGACGAGGACAGGGGGCACTTTGTGATTAGCGAGGGCAGTCCATTGGAGATTGGGACGAGAATCCGAGCGGTGGCAGCTGGCAACGGCAGACTTTCTGTGTTTGCGTAGCCGCAGGAGACGCTTCGACGTCGAGCATGTCGGCATCAAGCTTTGTTGGCTGGGGTAGGGATTTTTCCCTTTCTTTTTGCCCCCCCCTTGGCCCTCCTTTGCCCCCCTTGTTGTCGGGACAGACAAGCTCGACGTGCTGACAAATACATGAGCGGATATACAATTGCACCATGTGGGCCACCCTGGGCGGCGCATCGCCAAAATGCCACCACACGGCCCAATGGTTGCTCACGCATTCACTGTTCGTCCATGCTGATGCTGCGGCATGCCGTCGTTGCGAATTGAGTTTGCGCCACAGCGTCAGAGGCTAGTACCGAAACAGAACACCTTGTTACGACTGATTGATAACTCGGGAAGACGGGTTGGCCACTTGCGGGACGCATACATAACAACCTCGACGACGGCCCCGGTGACAAAAAGCTTTGGCAACCCTCTTCGTCTTCGTCTTCGTCTTCGTCTTCGTCTGGCTCGAGTCAACGTGCACATCATCTACCGAAAGCGACTGATCACGGCTGCTAAAATGCCCGTTGCGCCCGTCATTGCGCTCTCGCACGGAGGAGGTAAGACGGCACACCCGCCGCCCCCAGAAGCACGAGAGTAAGACCCGACGCAGACTGAAAGAAACAAAAAGGCCCCCTCCCCGTCCTCGGCGACGAGGACCACGAGTCCATCATCTACTCCCTCCGCAACCGCATCCCCAAGATCCTCGGCCTGGGCACCCCGTCGGGCCCGCGAGCCATCGTCCTCGTCACGGCGCACTGGTCCACCGACGTGCCGACCGTTTCCTCGTCCGCCCACCACGACCTTTACTACGACTACTACGGCTTCCCGGCCGAGTCCTACTCCCTCAAGTACCCAGCCTCGGGCGATGCAGAGGTTGCCCGCGAGATCAAGTCCCTCCTCGACGCCGAGGGTCTAGCCGGCAAGCTGGACCCCAAGCGCGGCTGGGACCACGGCGTCTTCATCCCCATGCTGCTCATCAACCCGGCCGCCGACGTCCCCATCGTCCAGGTGTCCGTCCTGGAGTCGGAAGACCCCGAGCGCCACCTGCGCATGGGCGCCGCCCTCGCCCGCCTCCGCGAGAAGAACATTGCCATTATCGGCTCGGGCTTCGCCTCGCTGCACAACCTCATGGAGATGCGGAACCTGACGACCCGCGGCCCGGGGTTCGCGCGCGAGTTCAAGGCCCTCTCGGACGAGTGGAACGACGCCCTGACGGGCGCGGCGACCAAGGAGGGCAGGGACGAGCGCTGGAGCGGGCTCAAGGCGTGGCGGACGATGCCGCATGTCGACAGGATGCACCCCCCGCGGGCGGGCGAGCACTTCATGCCGCTGCTGGTGTGTGCCGGCGCGGCCGGGGACGGCGAGAAGGCCCGTCTGTACAAGGACGCGTTTATGGGCGTCGACATCTTCACGTACTACTGGGGCGCCGAAGAGGTGGACTGATTGTCGTGCGTGCGAGCGTCGGCCGCACTCTGTCGGACACGACTGGCTCCCATGTCGAGTGGTGAGAGCAGCCGCAAGCGCGTAATTGGATGCGGAATGACGCGGGACGCAGTCGGCCGCTCCATCCACACTCGTCTCGTCCTGTGTCGGCCGTGATTACAATCGCACGACCCCTTGTCAGTCATGCAAAATCTGCCGCGGGGATCAAAAGAAACAAACGAGAGACTGGCAAAAGACGAATCGTACGGGGGGGGCGGGAATCCCATTGCCCGCAGGCGAATCCGCACGTACTTGCCGCAGAAGCGCCGGCTCGCGAGACACGTCAAGTCATCTGGCCACCAGAGCAGCGAGTAGAAGCAGGGGGGTGCACGGGTGGACTGGAAAAGAAATTCAAAACGTCTATGACAGCTGTAGCTTGTAATTATCTATGTGCGAGTGCGCAAAACGCTTCTAAATCGTGCTTGAATGTACATGAGCGTATATATTTCTACCAGGAATCCATTTTTTTAGCAGCCCATTAGGCTCTGTGCAATTGCAATTTAATGACTCGGGCGGCTCGGCCGTGTCCCTCCTACGACAAAAAAAAAAAACATGGCGTCTGATGGCTGAAGCAGCAGCGTTGTGCGCCAAGATCGAGAGACAGGGGCAGGGGTACGCGGAGGCTAAACATGTTGTTTTTCCCGCTGGCTAAAGATTTCGCGCACGCTGTAGGTGCTCGAGGCGATGGAGCGCCAGCCGGCGCGTGACAGATTCTCCTTGCTGCACAGCGAGTTCCACGACTCGGGCGTCAGGCGGGACGACCAGGTCAAGGGCAGCGAGGTTGGCGTGCTGGAACCCGTCGCGACCATCCGCGTGCGGTGCGACCTGCTGCGGTACTTGCCGATCCACAGCATCTGCTCGTGCTCGCGCAGGTAGCGCTCTGACGAGAAGTTGTTGAGCACGTTCTGGCGGCCGCGCATGCCCAGAGCGCGACGCTGCTCCGTCTTGGCGTAGATGCGCTCCGAGATGCGCTTGACCTGCTCCGGCGTCGGCATCGGGTATCCCAGCACGGGCACCTCGGCGCCGGGCGGGTCGTCGGCGTACTCGGCCCACCGGCCGAGGAGCCCCATGACGCTGATCTGCGCCCGGGCGAGCGACTCGGAGTCGTTGGGCGGGACGACCTCGCTGAAGCGGTCGCCCGTCTCGCGGTCCGTCACCACGCAGTACGAGGCCCCCACGTCGGTGCACACCACGGGCACCCCCGTCAGCGCGGCCTCGCCCATGGCCAGCGGCAGGCCCTCCGAGATGGACGAGTTGAGGAACAGCCAGGCGTCTTGGAGAACCACTGACGGGTTGCCCAGGCCCTTGAGGATGCAGTAGTCCTGGAGGTTCTTGGACGCGATGAGCTCCTGACACTCCGTGGCAATGGATGCCGCCCGCTCCTGGTCGCCGTACACGTGGAGGCGATAGTCCCTGATGCCCCATTTGTTGACGATGATGTCAGTCGCCATGATGGCGTTCTTGATGTCCTTTGCGTACTGGACGTGCGACAACATGACCACCGTGGGCTGGTCCGTCTTGATGGTTTTGATGGGCTCGAATTTCTCCATGTTGCAGATGCCGTTGACGACCGGGTCGATCTTGCGCTCAAACGTCCGGCGGTGCTCGACAACACCCTCGGCGGTGCCGAGCTCCACCTCCCATCCGGGGTTAAAGTAGTCACAGCAGGGCAGCACGACATCGGCGTGGTGCTCAAGCAGAACGCAGCTGAGGTGTGTGAGGGAGATGAGCGAGCTGTTGACAAACGGCGCGTCGTACGAAACGGCCGAGCTCATAAAGGTGCTAAACTCCCTGAAACTGATGCAGTGGTCCCAGATGTGCAAGGTGCAGTTGCGCTTGGCCTTGCAGACGATGCCGTACGTGGCCCCCGTGAAGTGGTGCGACGCTTGAAAGACGTCGGGAATCTCCTCGGGGACAGGCAAGGAAAAGATGAAAAGGTAGCGGCACCACAGGTCCAGCGCCGAATCGAGCTGCTTGAGGCTGGGCTTCTCAAAGTCCCACCACTGGGAAATGTTGAAGGCGCCCTCCAGGGTCTCCGTCAACCACAGCTCGCGCCACTTCTCCTTGACAACAGGGTGCTGCCACACGTCGTTCCAATTACGCGTCTTCTCGAAATAGGTGTTGAGATCCACCAAGGCCCTGGTGGCCTCCTCGATGTGCTGGCGGTTCAGGTCAACCGTGCGCGAGCATTTGACCAGGCTGCTGAGGATGGGCAAGAAGTTCCGTGTTATGTCTGCAGTGCGCGTCATCTGTGATCGCTGCACCACGGCTGAGTCCAGTTTCCCCTCCAAGACCCCATGTGTCGGGTTTAGGAAATCCAATCCCCAGAGCGGCAGAATTGTCAGCGACTGGACGTTTCGCTCAATTTGGAACCGCGGAACGCCGTAATCATTGGCCGACTCGGCGACGACGTGCCATTTGATTGTTTTGAGGTCGTTGACCATGTCCCTTCGACAGGCAGACACACCGCCCGGATCATTCGGCCATGTCGAGGTATCCATGGCGAGAACATGGAGCTCCTCTGGAGTATCGTGGAGCTGCGACTCCAATTTGCGTGTGTTGATCCGAGCATCGCCACCGGGACCAAAGCTATACAGATCAGCAATCTTGTAGGCAATGTGCACCCATGAACTGATGCTCGGGTCAAGATCAACACGGGCCATGATGCTATCGGCCTGGGCGTCAAGGTACTTCTTGGCACCCTCCAGGCGGCCAAAGTCACGCATCCTCCAGTATGGGCGCATGATGTAGTCAGAGCGGAGAAGCTTCTCGTCGAGCCATCGGGCACTGATGGCGTCCACTTCGCGGCCGTCTTTCCACGCCTTCCAGAGCTGGGTACGCGCCACCGAGGTGGGAATCGGGTACCTCTTGACGTTGAATCCAAGAAGTCGGGACAGGGGGTTCGTCTTGATGGAGGAGAAGGAGAGCAGCGGGTTTTCACTCTGGAAGCTGCACTTCTCGGGCTTCTGTAGGACATGGAACCAATCTTCCTTAATCATCGGTGGGGCCACTATAGGATTGCCGTTGAGAGTGACCGACACCTCGGGGTGGGATTTGTGTTCAAACCCCCAAGAGGCGTGATATACATTTTCACCGTGGATAAACGTAGCCTCCGTGACGGTGGAGAATGGGATCCAGTGCTCAAGAAGCTTCTGAGGGTTGCGGGGAGGCATGCTCCAAAGCACCTTGATTGTTATGTGAGGGAAGGTATACTCGGCCCAGAGCAACTCATCCTCGTGCTTGGCATTCTTGCGATACCAGAACTTCCATGTAACGCGGTTGACACCCCTCATGGCGGAGCCAGACGTGATGTATCCCCGACGGTCATATTCGACAACCTCGCCCGTGCGATCGCCCGATAGGCACCGACGTTGAAGAGGTAGTCTGGATTCGCCGTCCCGGTACTCATAGTGGTACGTGCTTGCAACCACCCCTTTGTTGTAGACCTCCCTTTGTTGTAGGACCAGCTTGTCCGTGTATGTGTTGACAGCCACCAGCTTCTGAACGTCGCTGGGCTCTTCATCGTGGCGACCGTTGTATTGAGACACCCTCAAGCTTCCGTCGGCTCCAACAGTCCAGAACCAGGTAGAAGGACCACTCAAGGTTTCGGTGATGACCTTGCGCCTTTCCAGGACAGTGGTCATCCCTTTGATGTGTTTCTGGATCCTGGCCACGGGCTCCCGACCGTGGAATAAAACCAATGGAACTAGGACATTCTGCAAGAATTTACAATATGACCAGATAGCGTTGAGAAAAAAGACCAGTGGCCAGCGGAGCGAGCCGGGCTTGCTCTGAATCACAAAATCCAGCTCTCTCTGGTACTCTGGGTCGGCTGTCAAGGAGAGGACTAAAAACTTTATGCACAGGTTGACCTTCTGCAGGATGCGTGATGAGACGGGCTTGATGAGGGATGGGAGCCTTGTGTTGGAGAGCTCGCCACCAGACGAGACGATAATATCGTGCCCTTCGCTGCCAGCGTGACAACTCTCCGAGTAACCCTCGGCCTCGAGATTGTGGGCGTAGTTGAGGATGGCGTGGGTGAGAGCCACGCCCAGTTTGCAACGAGCGATGTGCCAGTCGATATTTCCAGGAGAGCCGCGCGAGGACGTTCTCTGCTGCAACCAGACTTCCTCATCATTCGACAAGGGTTCAGACGAGCCATCACAACGCCGAAGTAGGAAGCGCCGAATATGCTTGGGAAGCAGGTCCCACTCACGTTCCACGTCCACGCCGAGAAGAACATAGCGAAGCAGCGTCTGGTTGCCCTCACGCATTACCCGAGTTCGCTCCGCGGGCGACGCCTCGAGCTGTCGCTTGACGCCTATGGGAAGGGATATCTCAACATGGTGAAAATGATCAACAACCAGCAACTCGGCAAGGATGGAGTCATGGTACGATAGGCCAAGAAGATGCTGCGCCGTGGCCCTGATAATTGCTTCCGAGATGACCTTCCAGTGACGATAAATTTTCGCCGTACCTTCATCGTGGACATAGTCAGAGTCTAGAATGACAAAAATGTGCAGCACTTGGCCAAGATGACGACTAACGGACCGGATGTCAATGTCCGACGGGGAGAGATGATGGGAGGACACGAGCTCGACGACAATCTTGCCAGACTTCCAATTTTCCACAGCCGCTTGGAGCAGCTCGCCCGCTGCTGGGAAGGCGGCCCTGAGGATTTCAGGAGCTCGGAGCATCCTGTGCGGAGATAAAAGATCAATAACCCTTTGGCCAGGATGTTCAGCTGGATCGAGAAAGTACCGCTCGTCCTCTGGCAGATTGCGACTTGACTCGAATAATTTGCAAACGCTGCTCTGGGACAACTCCGGGAAGGGCTCCAGGGCACTGACAGAGTAGGTAACGTTCGGTGACTCCACGTCGTGCTTTTCAACCGACTTCTCAGACATTAGCCCAGACTTCAAGAAAGTTGGCCAGCCTAGGTTGGTATAAAAGAAGGACCAAAGACAGGACGCCCACGTAGCAACACCCAGACATATGAGGCCGCTGTACCCAAAGCCAGGGCCCGTCTTGTGCAGTACAAGGCCGGTGGGAAGACCAACAAAGGCGCCAACAGCGAGGGCAGCGGCGCTCCTAGTTCCACAGAAGATCTTGTTAAACTGATACCAGAGCAGACCAGAGTAGGCGACGATGTATCCCAGGAACGTAATGGTGTTGTCGCGCGAGGATTGGAACACCCACATAAGAGCCATAAAAACGGCAGCACCCCAGATGTGCAGGAAGAAGAACTTGCAAAGAGACCTCCAGTAGAGACTGCGTCTGGCTTGAGCCTCTTCAATGTTGATCTCTCGAAGGGACTCCAGTGAGGAAATGGGTTTCTTGGATTTTTCGTTGGCAGCTGTCCACAGAGGCTGAGATACGATGTCGAGAGAAACGGCGCCGACGAGGTAGTAGCACAGGCCAAAGCCAATGCCTAGTCGAAATTCCTCGCTGTTGGCAGCAGAAAGGCCGACCAAGCCGCCGCCAGTGAGAAGAGCAACCCATTTATCCAAGAGGGCCACGACGAAATAGAGAAGACCAGACCAGATGTCGCGACCAGTAGCTCGCCAGTGCAGGAAGGCACTGTGTAGCTTGAGTCCTTTCTGCATGTTGGTCAAATTCTCCATGCCGGCTTTCAGAGTCAGGTTCCAGGTGGTGCTGTAGGGCAATGGCAAGGGAGTTCTCCTATGCCTGCAATACCACCGCATGAGGAACATGGTAGACTGGTAGCCTTCAGCCAATTTCCTGACGAGTAGGTCCGGGGAGGCCCTGGAGAGGTAGAAGCGGTTCGACTCTTTGAGGACAGCGGCGTGGATCGCGGCGCGCGCCAGGGGCATCACGTCTTTGTCATCCAGACTGGCGAGATTCGCGGCGGTAGCATTCGTCCCCCTGCGATACCAGCCGATTACTTCGGCGTCGGTCACAAAGGGAATGTTCAAATACCAAGAGCTCCATTGTGAAATAATGTTCCGGGCACCTAGCAGGAGAGCGATCAAGAAGCAGCTGAGAACCGGGAGGTAGACAACGATGTCGCGCCCCGCGAACATGCTAACAACGGGTGAGATGAACATGATGGGCATACAATAGAAGATGACGGTTCGACCTGACAGGAAGCTTGACCCAGGGAGCTGGTAGATGGACAGGGCATTCAGGACCAGCAGATATGTGGACAGCATCACAAAGTAGTACAGAAAGATGAGTGCAGCCTCTAGTCTCTGGACAAACGTGATGACAATGAAGCCGCCGATGGCTGCGACAATTGTGGTGGCGAAGCCGGCGACACATCGGGTGAGCACGAACATGTTCATTGCAGGAAAGGTGTTTGCGTAGAAGTAATAGCTTCCACCTGAGCAGATCCAAGCCCCAAATGAACCGCTCATCAGCAGAGCTAGCATGAGGGCCGTTGTTGCCATAGTCTTCTGCTCCGAAGACATATAGGTGCTTAGGTATAAGCCACGTCCAATGGTGGTGAGCAGCATAACGTCGATAAGCGCAGGCACGGCGAATATGGCAAAGAAAGTGATTTGGTATGCTAAAGCCACCTTTTCCTTGCCGACGTTGGGATCAAGATCAACCTGCATGGAAGCGTACGTTGTCGGGAGCTCTGTAAACATCTCGTCGCGCAACGGCGGCTGATACTTCATATAGTATTCGCGGTATCGGCTGGCAATGATGCGACCGATGGCGCGTGGAGTGGCATCGAAGAAGGAGTCGCAGCGCGAGCCTAGAGCGAAATTCTCGGCGAAGCAACCCGCCTGATCGGCACCGTGGTTGGGGTATACATTGCGATCCAGGACCTCAAGGTAGACTTCGTCAAGCGCAAGCTTGCGAAATGCACAGAAGACGGCGAGAGCAAAGATGTCGACACCAGCATCGACCGGCCCGCTTTGCACGAGTTCCTGGATGCCACGGCTCAGCTCCTCAAGAGCCGAGGTTTCCCTTTGTATCAGAACAGAGTACAGACGATTCTCAACTTCCGCAAAGAGGCTGACGGCCTCGGCACGATCGGGGGTACAGCAGCCTTTCCCAGCGAGCCATGACAGACGAGACTCAACCAGGTTTTCGGCAGAGATGGCGCCGCTCAGGTAGTCAACAGAGCCAAGAGCGCGCTGCTGGGTCAGAGACGGTTTGTCGAGCAGCTGATAGTCGAGGCAGTCACGGATCTTGGCCAGGAACTCTGAGCTGACTGTAGAGGAGTGTAGTTGTCGAGTAAGCAGGAGGGCCTCGGCTGGCGAGAGACGCTCGAGGTCGTTTACGATGCGAGCACCCAGCTGCCACGCCTCGTCTAGTCGACCTGTCCTACGCGCCAAGGTCTGTTCAGCCAGGAGACACTCGGCGCATGTAAGTTGACGACTGGATAGAAATGTATGCAGAATCGTTGCTGTGCGGTCTTTGGCCTTGTTGGACAGATGAAGAGTAATGCAATCCGAGGGTTCGAGGGTGTACAAACCCCAGTACTGCGTCCCGGAGTCGGTCTGGAAGCCGGAGTGCAGGCCCGAGAAGATCTTGATGCGTGCATCTTGCTCATTGTCGGGGGCACATGTACGGAGCAGATGGACGAGATCGTGGACTGCATTGAGCGTCTTTGGGCTGAGGTCGGGGTCGTTGCACAGTGTCTCAATTTGGCTGCACACGGTACCGAGTTCGTCAGGCCCAAGCCTCGTCAACAGGTCAAGATCGGCGAGGCCACTCTGGTTCACGCGAATCTGTGCAAAGTCGGCAAAACCAGCCTTGTGGCCGAGTTGAAAGCAGCCGAGCCCTACGGAGTCGAGATCAAGACCAAGGTCGAGGTCCACGTCGAGGTCGACGCTGCGGTCCCGGGGCTCAACTGACAGGGCACTTGTCTTGGCCGAGGAAGGGTTGAGGAAGGGATCGCGTCGGGCCGAGGGAACCGGCGTGCCCTGCGGCCGAGGCACCGGGACCTGATGGGCGTCGACTATCGGCGGGAGAAGACGAAGGCGTGACGAGAGGCCTGGAAGAAAGGCGGATATGGAGTCACAGATGGCATCCCGACTAGCTGAGGAGGTGATGGCGATCTGAGCCTGTCGGTCAGCAGGCGGGGCCCGACCAGGCGGCTCGGCCTAGGGTTAGGTCTAGGGTTATAACCCTCACTCACCTTGTCGTTGGCACGCCAAGTGTCGTGGGCGCTCATGTTGGCCTCATTCTTCAACCACATGAGGGCTCCCAGAGGCTTGGCCGTCATGGACCGGGTGCGCGCAGACTCGGCATTGAATAGCGCATCGGCGTGCCCTACCCAGCACAGCGCGCTGTTGTACGTGCACCAGTTGTAGGCGCGCACGACAACGGCGAACTGCATTTCCTTGTCGTTGTCGACCGTCTCCCACATGACGAGCGCAGGACCATGGGCCACTCGCTGTGCGGCGACTGCGCGCATCACAGTGCGCATCGCCGCCATCTGGAAGAAGTTCTGCCGGTCACCATCTCGCCGGATCGTGCCGTTGCGGTAGACGATGCCCTTGATGTGCTCCATGTCAATCGCGCGGGCCTCCTCCTCGGCCAGATATTCTGGGCACGACAGCTCGAGCCACACATCGAGCCCGAGCTTTCTGATGTAGCTGGACAGCTCATTCATGACTGCTGTCTGGAAATGCTCGCGGAAGCCGGCGAGCAGCACGCCGCGGTACCCGACGAGCAGATGCCGTTCCAACGCCTCCGTGACCACGTTCAACTTTTCGATGGTATTCTCTGCTTTGCCGCCCGAGTGACAGTGCTTGGTCAGCACATCCACATTGATACGACCAAGCACATGCTTGGAAATGGGCTGGCATGTCTTCAATGCGTCTGTGACGCCGTCCTGAAAAGGATCGAGAACGAGTATGTCCCATTGAGAGAGGAGACGATGCTGGGCCGCGGTCGGGGGGTTGGCTAGGCTTCCAAGGAAGACGCCAAAGGAGTTGAGCTCTTCCTTGGCTATCTTTTGTGAAGTGTCTCTCGTCTGGGGACTTGCCGATTTTCGCCGTAAGCTCGCAAAGTGACGAGCTACTTGACGCGGGAGTGAGGATTTCGGACGTCTTGTCTGGATGAATCAACGTTATCATATGAGTTCAGCTTCCGTAAGCAGCAGCCATGCCTAGGCTTCATACCTGACAGCGCCTAATGAATGATCGACAGGCTCCGTGTAATATATATGACGCTCCCAGAACAATACTGAGGAGTAGGAAACCCGCGAGAAGCTATAGATATCGGGCCCCCCTGGCGTCAGTATCAATGCTGCTCAGTGTCGGCCATGCACCCAAGTTAACGAGATGTTCTTACTAGGTCCCACCAAGAGTCGATCATCAAGTGCCAACCAACGGCCGACAACCCAAGATGGCTAATCGCCATTGTGCGTTTGCGAGGGGCTTGCGGAAAATCAATCAAACAAAGGGGTAAAGACAGGCGGAGGGAGTGAGTACGAAGGCGGTCTCATGCCATGTTCAAGGCGGAGTCTTGGATATAATTTTGTATACAGGTAGCACCAGGCACGCGGGCACGCAGGAACAAGCGAGTGGTATAACAGAAAAGTCCTCGGCATCCAGTTGTATTGAAAGAAAAGCTGAAAACGAGGAATCTTTATGTCGGCACCGTGGTCACAAATGAGAATACTCTACGGAGTGAACGAGGGCCAGTACTCCACCAGCACAGACTTGCAAGCCCTTCGCGTTAGCTTTTCCAGTGCCCTGAAGCAACGGATCCCGTGTACGAGATGCCATGTCCCGCTTGTCACTTTATGGCGTTGGACTAACGCCCCTGCCATTTCATCTCTCAGCTCCGTCGGTGGCCAGACTAACAATAGGACCATGGAGTACGCAGTAGTGCCGTAATCAAGGACAAGTGTGCATGGGCAGGCAAAAGCTAGTACTCCGTATCTGGATGGTGCAGAATGCAACACGTCTGTCCAGGACTCCAGGCAGGCATGTCGGTGGCGTCGAGGCGAGAGAAGACAAGACGTACGTGCGCGGCTGAATATACGGAGTACAATGGCATATGAATGTTCAGCCCTACTGCTCACCGACTTGCAGGCCTCCCCCTCCCCTGATAGGAGAAGACGTGATAATCCCAGTCAACCATGACAAATTAGACCATGTGCTCGTTCAACCCAGGCTGACACGGTAGTCATAACTTATCATCTCGTGCTTGTCTTGACTCCTGGGATCCCAAGCGGGTGCGTATGAGGCTCTTTTCGTCCACCCCAGGCCGTCAGTGATGCCTTATTACTGCACGGAAGGGTGCTTTGTTCCCTCGTGGGTCGTAGGCGCAAACTTGAGCAGACACTTGGGGCGCAAAATTTGGTGGTCGTCAATTTGCAAGGGGGCCGCACGAAGCATATCGGACGCCGACAGCAAGGGCTATCCCGGCAATTTGCGAATCTTCCACAAGCTCGTCCGTATGCGCGACGGGGCATGGGTCACGGAACCTACTCGTAACCGCCTGATTGACGGTTCGTCGGCGACTCTGGCTCCAGGGATCCGAGACGATACCTGGATTTCGGGCCAACACAGAAAGGGATCGACGAGGCCTTTGCGCTATCGATGTGCCCGGTTACGCCATGGTTGATGGATGGGCTCGGAGTGTAGAATTTCGCCTCTGAAATTGTCTCTTGTCTTTTTTTTTTTTCCCTTTACTCCGCGGTCGGTGGTTGAATGCAATTTGCCCACGAAGAAGGAAAGCATAAGCCCAACGTCTCTGCCACTGTGTGCTCGCCACGGCCCATGAGGCTAAGTACTGAGTACTTACCTAGGTAAGTACCTAGGTACCTACCTGGTTTGAAAATGGTCCATCTGACGTGCCAATCACCAATCACCAATCACCTCTCTCAACTCCGAAACCTTGGCCAAGCAGGCAAAGTTTACCATGTATAAGAGCGAGCAAAGCAGCATCCTTGGATTTACCTCGAAACCTTTTTTTCATGCCGGGTTGTCAAAGAAAAAATTAAAAAATTCTAATCCAGCCGAGATCGCACCTGATTGGCCTTGATGAATCTCGAACGGCATCTCCCCCGGCCCTGGCACCGCACCAAGTGGTTCTGAGCGACAAGCGCGGCCGTTGCCGTCGCCGTCGTGGTTGTCATCGTCGTCGTCCCTTTGGCCGTTCTCCTCCCACGCAGGAACCCGCGCTACCGTCCGGGCACCAACGTCATCGTCCCTCTGTACATCTACCCCCTTGTCGACTCGTCCTGGTCTCCGCTGTACGACGCGTGAGTGTGCAAATCCCAGCAGCGTCCGCGGCTGGCAATCATGGTGACAGACAGAATGGCAGCGTTCATCGTCGACCCGACGTCAACTTCACCGTCATTGTGAATCCCAACAGCGGCCCGGGGGAGACGCCCTACCCGGACGCCCGGTACGACGCGGCCATACGGCGGCTCAACTCGTACCCAAACGTAGAAACCGTGGGCTACGTTCGGACGGGCTATGCCACGCGCAAGCTGGGCGACGTCACTCGCGACGTGAGCGTCTACTCGGGGTGGTCTAGCAACGCCAGCTCGCTCGCCATGCACGGCATCTTCTTTGACGAATCTCCGCACCAGTACTCTGCCGACGCCGTCGACTTTATGCGCGCCGCCGACAGCTTCGTCCGGCAGACGCCGGGACTGCAGGGCCGCAGGATGGTGAGTCGAGTCCGCAAGATGCGGGCATCAACATGCCGCCCGCTTTAGTCCTTTCCTCTGGCCTCTGGCGAGCCGACCAGTTAACCAGTTACGCTACTCTGGCGTGTTTTCAGGTCATCCACAACCCTGGCGTCATCCCAGACGCCCGCTTCAACAGCAGCGACGTGGGCGTGACCGTCGTCTTCGAGGAGACATTTGCCAGGTGGCAGGACCAGAACACGCGCCTGGCCGCGCTGCCCAAGACCAGGGCCGCGTACAGCATCATGATCAGTGCGGCGCCGGCAATGACCAATGGCACCATGAGCGAGTTTGTCAGCACGCTGTCGGACTTGGCAAAGTACATCTTCGTGACCAGCCTCGGCGAGGACATGTACAAGTCGTTCGCCGGCGACTGGCTCGACTTTGTCGGCCAGGTGCCGCCCACCTGAGCACTCGACGATGCTGCGCACAAATCATCAGCGCTAGCTGGCTGCGCCATGGCCCACGGGATGCCGAGATGCGGATACCGACGCTGATGCTGCCGGCAGAATGGCCATGGGCAAACGTGACTGGTCGGACCTGCGGTTGTCATAATACAAAGAGCCTCTCGCAGACGCATCAACCAGACTCGACTACGGAGTGGTCGGTAGGCTTGGCGCGAGCTGAACGGGGGTGCTGGCCACTGGCGTACGGGAGGACGGAGCACCCTGAACCGAAGCGGATAGAACAGAGGAATCATCAGTCGATAGATCAAGACAAGTTGAAAGATTTACTTTTTTACCCTTTTCTCCGAAACGTCATAGCGTTGCGGCCTCCGGGATGTGGCAAGTGGGGGCCAGGGGGTTGGGCAGGGGCCCCTGGTCAATTGCTCGGGGCGCTCACCATTTTTGCTTGGGGCGCTCAATACCCCACCACAACCCACTTTTTATGCGGCAAGCCCTGCTGCCATGCCCTATAGTATATTCTTAGTATAGATATATAGCAGCTTTACTTAGTACTAAAAAAACTTTATTAAAAATTAATACATTTTTAATAATACTATAGCTATATTAATAGGCAGCAGCTTTTTCCTTTAATAATATTATAATGCTTAATAAAGGCTCTTTTAACCTCTTAAATCTGCCCTTAAATTTATGGCTCTTACTAAGCTACAGCAGCTTTAATAACTTCTATAAAGCTGTATAAGAGTTTAGCTAGTAAAAAAGTTATGCCTTTAGTAAGAGCTTTATAAGGCTAAAGACTCTATAAACAGCATTTAATAATTGCAGGCAGGCTGGCTTAATTGTAATTACAGCGGCCGTTAAAGAGGGCCTTAAGGCGCTGCTAAGAAATTTATATAAATTACTCCGTACATAAGCACCTTTTTAATTAATTGAGGGCAGCCCATATATTTGTAACCAAGAATGTACTGTATGGCAGCAGGGCCGCTAGACCAAAAATAGGGCGTTGTGGGGTATTGAGCGCCCCGACCAAAAATGGTGAGCGCCCCGAGCAAATTGACGGGCAGGGGGCGGTTCTTTTCTTTTCCATTCCGTTTCTTCCTTCCTTTTTCATTTTGCGTGCGTGGCGGCGCCTGGCTGCTCGGGCGTGGCGTTGAGACAAGAGCCGAGACAAGTCCAGCTGCATGCACCTGGCAGCTTGGACGTGCGCGCCGTGGCATCCGCATCATCCATCCATCCATCATCCATCATCCATCATCAATCACATCCATCATTCGACAACGCCGCCGCCGCGCTCACTGCCGCCACGAAATCGAGCCAGCTGGGCCCGAAGCTCTCGTAAAAGTCTTCGGGCAGGTCCGTGGCAAAGACGTACTGGCCTCGCCTGCACAGCTCGCGCACCGCTCCCCCCAGCTTGTCCGGCGGAATGCCCGAGATCTGATAGATACACCGCTCGTGCTCGGGCGACAGGTCCCTCAGGCGCTCCTGCAGCTCCGTCTTCAGGTAGCGCTCGTACGGCTCTTCGCAGATGCACACCAGGTCAGGGCTCCCAAAGGACGCGAGGTCGCCCTCGGGGGGCGTGCCTGGGTTGTGAACGACCTGACGCCTGATTAGAAGGAAACGACGAGAATATGGACCCGCCAATCCAATATAAGATGGGAACCGAACCGAACCCATGCATCATGGTCCATGGATGGCCCTTACCGTACGCGTCCCGGCCAGCCCGGGGTTGGTCTTGATGAAGTGCCCCAGCCGCTCCAGATACTGCGCCCTGCCGGCCGAGTAGTGGTTGGGCGTCTCGTCGACGTAGATGCCTTGGACATGGAGCCCGGGGATGTGCTGGTGCCGGCTCCAGCTCGCGTACCTCTCGATTTCGGCGCACGCCTCGGCCAGCGCCTTCTCGCAGTAGTGAATGCGCACGTAGCCCACCGTGTGGACGTTGGCAAAGGCATTCAGCCTGGGCACCTCGCGGACGTAGTCGTTGCCCGGCAACGGATCCGACCCGGGGCCGCTGTTTGGGTTGACCACAACTAGGAAATTCACCTCGGGGTAGGCGGCAATCCTGCGCAGCATCGTCGTCATTCTTTAGTCCTCTGGTCTGGAGTCTCGACGCTGCGGTCCTGGGAATCGGAATCGACCCATGAGTCATGACCTACGCATCATACAGCGGTTTCCACGTGGCTTCGCTGAGTGGATAGTAGTAGAGTGGCATCACCACCCATGGTTTTTTGGCCATGGTTGACGCGAGTGCCGGGCAAGGCAATTCGGCAATGTCGAGAGGAAAATCCCAACGTCGAGCAGGGGTGTTTGCGGGATGGCACTAACTAATAAGACACAGGCTGAAAACTCCCGTATTTATAGCATCACGCTAGCAAACACGTACAGTGAACTCCTGAACCGCGTGGCTCTCGACGCTGGCACCTCTGGGGGCCAATAATTCCTCACAAGTGGGTACGAAGGCTTGCAGCTCGCAACCTGCCTTATCAACGGTTTGCGAGTCTGACATGGAGGGCCACTAAAGACGCATATGCGGAAAAGCGATGATGCATATACCATTAGTCTGGAATTTAGTGTGGCTTGCGTCTGGTCAACTTCACAGGCTTGTTGGTGCCCGCCTTGTTGTGTGTGTGTGTGTGTGTGTGTGTGTGTGTGTGTGTGTGTGGTTTACAGTTGAATGTGCGTTGTTTGAAGCTATTAGCGCCGCCGTGCCGGCGGCTTGTATAAGTAAATTAAAGTTGACTAGTCGTTTCTTTGCCCAGCACGAGTCGAATAACTGCCGCAAGATTGAACCGTCATAAATCTCTTGCTTGCGGTTAGGTTGCAATAGCGTTGATGGCCTCTTCTGTAGTTGTATGAAATGCTTCAAGTTTGCAGGAAAATACGGAAGGGCAGAAGTTGAAGAGTTTAAAAGAGGTTTGCTGTGCAGCGCCGTGCGTCGTCGTGATGTCGTTGAACGGGTTGAAAAGGTTAAATTCAAGCAGCTTGTGAGTGGTGGTTGTTTTTTTTTTTTTTCGTTGGGCGTTTTTAGGCAGCAGCCGTGCGGCAGTAGGAGCGGTGTGGCTGAAAAAAAACCCACTAGTACCTTTACTGCAACAAACATACGTAACAGGACTTTCCCTGATTTGGATCAGCTCCATCGTCTATGCAAAAAGTATCGGACTTTCCGTATCGTGTGCCTGTGAAATGGCCCTGGCATCGACTCCCAGAGCCATGCCATGCCGGCAGCGAATAACAGAACCCTGAGCTGGTTGTCAAGCTCACCAGACAAGAAGACAACTTCAGCTCCAAACGCCACCGGTAGGTGCCCCGGCCCCCGCTGACACTGACGACGCCTCTGGCACCCGAGTCCTGACTCCTGACTCCTGACTCTTGATGGCATCACACACTCGTCCAGCTCATGCTTGACTTGTCCGTGGGCCATGGCTCTGCACGCAGGCCGTGGCGCTCTACAAACATTTGAGCGGCTGAGTGGTGAATGTGAGGCGCTCCCGTCCCAAAATATAATCCCTGGATACTCAGGCCGCGTGTGCCCCTGATATTCGGAGCAGCCTCGAATCCTGACGAGCAGTTACGCGCCACAACTGGGCACGCACCGAATCCTGGGAGCGACAGTGTCCACAGAGTGCTTCAGCACATACACGCGCTTATCTATGGCCTCATGGCAGCAGGCACTCCGCGTCGCTGATACCGAGTACGTGCGCAGGGAGCACTGAGCACTTGGGCTTCGCTTCGTATCTCAAGTCTCGAGTCTCGAGTGTCAACCCCTTGCCAATATTTCGCCGCCCTAGCAGGCACGAAGTCGAGCTGCGGCCCGCCATGGTCCACGGAGCCATGCGCCGAGACGGCGACTGCGAGCGTTTGCCTTGCCCAAGAGATTGCGGGAGTGCCTGTGACTGTTTCCACCGGGCTTGGTCCTGACTCCTCACCGTATGTATCCTCAACTCGCCATGGATCCCATCACCAGTGAGCGCGGAGAGGCTTCCCGGGGATCAAATGCGCAAGACTCGGTCCCGGGACAAGCTTGTAGTAGCTACGACCACGCCACGTTGTCGTTCTTATTATACAGCCGGTCATGCTGCCAGACGGGCTGCAGGATCGGATCTGCATCGTCTTTGCTGCCGGCTGTGTCGTACTTTGTCTTGTTTGATTCCTTTTCACTTTGCATAGTAATGAGCCGGCAGTGCGACGTCTCGGTACTCTTCCGGTTGCCTGCTTTCTCTGCCTCCTCCTCCACGCTCTTGCCGTCGGCCGCATGTTCATTGCTTTGCTCCCATGGACCTGGAAGATTCGTGCGAACTCTCCCCCGGGACCTTGTCTCGGCAGTCAGCAGATAGCACACCGACCGTCGCAACGTGGACCACAGAGCCTGACGACTCGGTCCCCGATGTGACTGCCGACGACGGCTCTGCAGTCTCGTCGGCGTCCCTGTCCGCTCGGCGCGAGCAGTACGTCTTGGTGACGGGGGGGCTGGGCTTCATCGGGAGCCACACGGCCGTGGAGCTCCTCAAGTCCGGCTTCAACGTCATCATCGTGGACGACTTGAGCAACAGCTTCCGCAGCGTCCTCGACGGCATCCTGGAGATAGGGCGGCGCTACTACTGCGAAGCCAGCGGTCCCCGTGGACACGGCACCTGTCCCATGGTCGAGATGCACCAGATAAGCTACCGCGACCTGCCGGCCATGCGCTCCATCCTCGAACTTCACTCCTTTCCCAGCCCGACGGGAGAGATTGTGCGCTCCAACATCGTCGGCGTCGTCCACCTGGCGGCGTACAAGGCCGTGGAGGAGAGTGTCCGCCACCCCCTGCGATACTACCAGAACAACGTCAACGGCCTCGTCGACCTCATGGCGCTGCTCGACGAGTTCGGCGTCAAGACCTTCATCTTCTCCTCCTCCGCCGCCGTCTACGGCTCGCTGTCGCACCGGGCCCGCCCCCTCCGCGAGGAGAACTGCATCCACCCGTGCGAGATGGCGCGGGAGCCGGCCGGCGCGGAGCAGCCGCCGCCGCCGCCGCCGCAGTCGTCGTGCGCCGTCATCGCCAACCCCTACGGGCGCACCAAGCTCTTCGCCGAGGCCATCCTGTCCGACCTGGTGGCGTCGGACCCGTCGTGGAACGTCGTCGTCCTGCGCTACTTCAACCCCGTCGGGTGCGACGACTCGGGCCTCCTCGCCGACAACCCGCGCGGCACGCCGTCCAGCCTGGTCCCCGTCGTCACGCAGGTCATGACGGGACAGCGGCCCCGTGTCCAAGTCTACGGCGGCGACTGGGACACCGCCGACGGCACCGCCGTCCGCGACTTCATCCACGTCAGCGACCTTGCGCGCGGCCACACCGCCGCCCTGCTTGCCTGCCGCGACGGCCGCGTCGCCGGCAGCTACCGCACCTACAACCTCGGAACCGGCGCCGGCCACTCCGTTCTCGACGTCGTCCGGGCCATGGAGGCCGTGTCTGGCCGGCCCATTCCGCGCGCCGTCGTTGCCCGCCGCCCGGGGGACGTTGCGAGCTCCGTTGCCGCCGTGGACCGCGCGCGCCGCGAGCTGTGCTGGGAGACGAAGAGGACGCTGCTTGACGCCTGCCAAAGCGTCTGTGGTCGCCTGAAGCTGCTCCGGGCCGGCAGTGCGGCGTAACGTCGCGCCGTCGAAAGGGTGTACGAAACGCAGCATAGTAACTGGCGTTGCATGGATTCGCGTGGACGGCATATAGACAGATGGTGGTTTTTGTACTTGGTAATATTTTGGCATGAATACCGTGCTTGTCTTCGATGAAGTGGTCTAGGGTGAGCGCAACTTGGGCTCGCAGCTTTGGCAAGCTGATGCCCGCTGTTTTTGGGAGAGTCTAGTCTCGAAAAAGTACTTCTACTTATTCTAGTTATAATTCGTTGTTCTTGGTGCGTTTTATGTATTCCAAGTGGTCTGTTTGCGTGTTTCAACATCTGGACGCACCATTTATTACATTACAAGACGTCAACGTTGGTGCAAGTCGTTGCCGTAGATGCCGTCTGTAGTGCTTAGCTAAAAGCAGCAACTGGACAGAAAGGGCGCCATAGGCGAGGTTGTAAAGATCTTTGTGTACTTGAATAGTTAATATTTCGGGCACAAATACAAGTGCGAGAGGTTTCGATCAAACTACTCTAGGGTGGGCGCAGCTTGGTTGGCAGCTTCTTGGAGCAAGCTGCTGCCAGGTGCTCTTTTTTTTTAGAGAGAGAATCTAGTCTGGAACAAGTACTTCTAATAGTACTCTAGCTATGATTTCTTATCCTTGGCATAGTTTTATATTTTGGGTATCCTAAGCAGCCTGTTTGCTGGACACGTGTGTATAGTGTGGTATATGCAAGTGCGTTGCTGCAGACGTGCCCTTGTGCCCAGCCATAAGCGATTAGACAGAAAGCTGGTTACAAGGTGGCCGAGAATAACAGCAAAATCCGGCAATCGGGACACCTGCAGTGAGTGTAGCGGAATCGCGTGACGAGCTCTGGTTTCTGTGTGTTCCCCAGCAGATGTGCAGTCACGTGATGAGCTTGACGTGATTCGACTCAACGAGCCTCGCAGGCTTGCAACTCAGTCCATCACCTTCTTGGCCAGAAACCGTCTGTCATAGATAGCTGAAGACATCTTAACAGGGTACTGTGTTCGCACATCTTTCCTCTTCCGCTAGGCAGTTTACACACATCCCGGTGCCTCCATGGGTCGCAGTTGCGGGCCAAGTCCTCGTTCAGCTAGCATCTGGTAAGCGCACCGAGAGTGTTTGAGATCCGGAACTGAGTCGAGGATCAGAGCATGGCAGGTATGCTAGCATCGGGTGATGCCCACCGCACCTGTTGACGTGTTTTCAAAAGCCTGCAAGGCGGCTTCGTCGCAGTAGTATCCCTTCAAGCCTATGCTGACCCAACGTCCGCCGCTCATACGCAGCGAATGCATAATCCTGCTGTATTATATCAAATCCTCTTCATCCTGTAATTGATTGGGCTCGTCAGTAATACGCCTCCATCACCGCGGCGAGACGGAATCATCGCCGCTCTGCAGTGTCTGCACCAGTAAGGTGCGGTCTGGAGTCAACGTACATCACACCACTGATGCTTTGTTCGAGCAGGTCATATCGCCAATACTATCGGACTTGGGGGTCAACCCCTGGTCCCTGGCCCAACGGATATCCCAGTTCAACGTCAGGCAGCCCGAGGCACAGCCGCCAATGCCTGTTATACACGTCTGCCGCTCAGTGACAAAGACATGACTGCTCATTTTTGTGCGACGCTCCAACTTGGGTTGAGCAGACTCTGGTGTCTCGGGGATGGTTGTCAGCACCGGAATCTGTTTCTTGCAGATGGCCATAATCGGTCAGCCGTCGCTGTGTAAGCGACGAAGCAGTCCCCTCGGGATAAATCATCACCAGGACAGAATCCCACTCCAGCAGTGGACAACAAATACCACGTTGTTATAGCTTATTGAAACGGCCACGAAAGCTTATGTCAAGACCGTCAACAGCGACCAAGTTGAAGCAAGATGCATATCCCAATGCGTGTATACCATGACAACCACCGGCCCAAGTTGCACATGCAACTCTTTTGATGCCGGCATAAGTGTTACATGAGCAGCATCGACAATTCGTTTGCCCGCTCTCCGTATACGTCACAACTCCAGGTTGCTGCGGCTGTCCATTGCCGTGACCGAAGACGCCATCTGTCCCCTGGTTGAAACGAGAACAGATCAGATTGCAGCTGAGCCCGAAAGCATGCGCAAAGACACACGTCATGCCTCCGTCCTCCACACGTGCCAGCCAGCCTGCTCCATTACGCGTCTCCTTTCATATTTACCCGCTGACAGACCACCTGGTGTCGTCTAATATCTTAGTCAAGTCCTCCCCCCTCCGTTTGCCGTCACAAGTCTTGTTGATCGGCCGCAGGATGGCAAGCGTGCTCATCGCCGGCGTCGGCGTCACCATCGTCACCTACTTCATCTACCTTGTCCTCTTTCGAAAGCGCCGCGTCCATGACCTCCCGCCCGGCCCCAAGCCAGTGCCGCTCCTGGGCAACGTCAGAGACCTTCCGCCCGGCGGCGTGAGCGAGTTCCGGCACTGGCTTCCCCATAAAGACTTGTACGGCCCAATAAGTTCCGTCAGGGTGCTCAGCCAGACGATTGTCATTCTCCACGATCGTGATGCGGCACACGAGCTGCTGACAAAGATGTCCTCCAAATCTTCGGATCGTCCGACGTCAGAGTTCGCCAACAACCTCTGCGGCTATGGACGCTTGTTTGTGCTCGGAGGAGACGACGAGCGCTTTCGACGTTGTCGAAAAATGGTACACCAACACATTGGTACGAAAGCCTCGGCTGCTCGGTTCGACGACACCCAGAACCTGGCGACGCACGAGTTTCTGCTGCGGGTGTTGCTTGAGCCCTCTGACTTGTTCAAGCACCTAGACGAGTAAGTTGACCTCGTGGCACGGCACGGCATAGCGAGAGCCCGGGGGTTCCCGGACCCCAGCTGACGATTATCGCGCGCATCTCGTAGCCTCGCCGGCGCTTCCGTGTTGAGAATCACCTACGGCTACACGATCAGTAAAGGCCCGAAAGACCCCCTCGTCGAGCTCATTCAGCTGTCGTCAAGCCAGCTTGGTCTAGCCGGGAGTCCAGGGGCTTGGGCCGTGGATGCTGTCCCGGCCCTCAAATACCTGCCGGACTGGTTCCCAGGGACCGGCTTCAAGCAGACTGCGCGGCAGTTCAGAAAAGTGGCCGAGCAAATGGCCCAGGTCCCGTACGAGTTTGTCCTGCGGCAAATGGCCGCCGGGACGCACAAGACCTCGTTTGTGTCAAGGCTCGTCCAAGAACATGACGAGAAATCCAACAGCACAGCGCTGACTCCGAGAGACGAGGACGAGATCAAGAACACGGCCGCGGTCATGTACCTCGGAGGCTCGGAGACCATAGCCACTGCCATGCGCGTCTTCGTCCTATGCATGATACTGTTCCCACAGGTCCAGCGCAAGGCTCAGAAGGAGATGGATGAGGTCCTGGGGCCATGCCGGCTCCCGAGTCCGTCGGATCGCCAACGCCTGCCCTACATGGACGCCTTGGTCAAGGAGGCCTACCGGTGGTCGCCGGCAATCCCGCTGGGCCTGGCGCACGCCACGTCGGAAGAGGTCGTGTGCAGTGGGTATTTCGTCCCCAAAGGCTCCATCATACTGCCTTGCGTGTGGTGGTTTTTCCACGATCCCAGCGTCTATCGAAATCCAGACGACTTCGAGCCGGAACGATATCTTGAGCCCCGGAACGAGCGCGACCCGCGTCTGGATGCCTTTGGCTACGGCCGCCGCATGTGTCCTGGCAGGTATCTTGCTGACACTCTTCTTTTCCTCACGTTCGCGCAGCTCCTCGCTTCCTTTACTATCCGCGAAGCCGTCGACGAGCAGGGCAAGGGCGTCCGCCCAGAACTGGCACTCGGCTCTGGAATTGCCTGCTTCCCAAAGGAGTTTCCGTATGCGATTACGCCGAGGAGCGCGGCCCACGCGGACACGATTCGGCGCCTGGATGCGAATCGGTTGGGAAAGACGGCTGATTCTGACCGTCTTGAGATTGAAGCACTCATGCGTAGATGGGATGGATGAGCGCCACCCAAAGTTCTTCACGGCACGTGGCACTTGTGAGCTGGGACACCTCTGCATCGTTGAGCTTGTTTTCCCGCTCAAATCGTGCGGCGTCACACATCTTGACTCTCCGGGTGCTGGTACCAGGAAACGAAGGGAGACGTTCCCCTGAGTAGCTCGCTTTGGGAACAGGCAGATGCTGTAGATTGCAACTTTCGACATCTGAATCTGACCATGTGGCATTACGCGGTCCCACAGGCCGTGATGAATTGGCCTCAAATTGTGCCGTGCTTTGCATTGTTCCACGGACAAGCCTGCTTGCGGCTGCCTCGTACGCGCTCAATGCCTCATGATCCTGATCCAGGTCAAGTCACGACATGTCTCGACGACCCGGCTCGCATGCAGTCAAACTGAATCATCCCATGTTGACTCGACGAGCCGGAGTTGTCGGGCGCGAGACAAGTGTGTCCGACACGAGACGACAGACGAGGCTAGGGCAGCAACCTCCCAGCCCTACCAAAAAGAAGAAAATGAATCGAGATGCTGAGACAGCACGCACATGTCATGTGTTTCTCGTCAATAAGGCGGCCATCTCGCGCCTGTTGGCTTGACAACGCCCGGATTCCGCACCCAGCTCGCATCTTGGTTCAGCTGTCCGCGTGGACACTTTTGGAGACGTTCAGCCGCCAGTCCGGATAGGCGGCAACGAGGTGCATGATATAGTGTCGAGAAACGATGGGCAATCTGACCGGGGTCACGGAAGCAGGCTGCGTTTCGTCTAGACACGTCGCGAGAGTTGCGGACGCGTGACACCAGAGCGTCAGAGACGATGGGCACACATTCACTGCGCAACTGAGCTTTGATTCTCTGAGAACCGGATTACTTTTACTTCGGCGAAGCCTCGTCTCCAAGGACCAAGACTATTGGATGTCGCCGAGCACTAGGATTCCGCATTGGTTTTGCACAACACCACACCGCTGGTGGCCGAAGCTCCCGTGATGGCGAAAGCTCCGTGCAGCGCTGCGGCCAGGTGGTTAGTCCAATACGGAGCTCGAGCTCGCAAGGGGCGCGGAATCAAGGCGCGGCCATTGATTCTAATCTAGGCCAAGTGCAGATCATGCCATGGGGAAACCCGCGGCGCAAGTTGCCATCTCAACGCCGCCGGTCAACACTCCCAGCGGCCCTGGTGGCGTTCCAGGTGAGTCGCCCTGCCCGAGTTCCATGGATGCGGTGAGCCCGGCATCACGAGGCGCTCCGCCGGTGCATCCTGGAACGGCAGAGCTGGCTGGGGGCGGTTGGCAACAGCGGCAACAAACGGACTGGAATCCGCCGTCACAAGGCACCGCCGGACTTGGCCCTCGAAACCGTCCACAAGCATGTCATCAAGTCCACGGACGGGGTGGCTCATGTCCTGGACAGCAGGACATGTTTCCCGATGCCATTACGAGAAATGAGTTGCATCACCAGCCCAGTGGCAGTGCCATGTACGAGATGCCGGGCAAACAAGATAGCTGAGAACGTGAGGGCATCGGGGGCGGGTGAATTCCACACCATCTGCCCAGGTGCCTCGCTTGTGAAAAGTACAGTTATGGGTTGAAATTGTTGAATCAAGCTTGCCTGCCACACTATGACCCAAACTATGCTGAGGTTATGTTGCTTCCCCATACTCCTTTACGCGGATGGAGGGAGCATGGGCTCACTCCAGGGCTGGAGATGAGACCAAGTGGGAAAAGGCCGTGCTGAATGTGTCCTTGGGCTTACGCAGACGATGACAACTCGATGCTTCTCAGCTCGTTGCGGCATGACCATTCCACACTGTCAAGGTGCGAATTGGAGCGGCGTCAAAACACGACTGGTTGAAACTCAGATAAGCCCATAGCACCTCTTGATTAAATTTATATTTTCGCACAAGCGATCCGCCGACTCTAGATGCTGTCTCCAACTAATATTCAACATTAGACGTATTAGATCCACGGCCTCTTTGCTCAGGGCCTCAGGCCCAGCCAATCGTTCGCGCTCATCTCCTTGCTCCTCCGCTTATGCCAACATGACAGCCGCAACCGAGAGGCCAATGATGCCTCCGAGGCCAGCAACAGCCCGGCCGTTGGCGGCGCTGGTCGGCGGCAACGTCGAGGATGGGACGGTTCCGTTGCCACCCGGAACGACGGCCCGGGTCGGCTCCGTCGAGGTAGTCACGACGCTGGGCATCGGGAAATCGTCTTCAACCTCACAGGCCTCTGTTTGGGCGAGGACGCTGTGGGTGCCGGCAAGGACTGCAAACAAGCACTGGTTAGAGACTGGACGTCCCCGGGGTCCAGCGACAGCTGCTGCGGTGCGTACCTAGAAGCCCGACGGATAGGAACGCCTTCATGGTTGCCTGTTTCGAAGAGTTGAGTCGATGCGAGCAGGAGCCGCCAGGAGCCTCGTCAGGAAGATGGGATTTGACTTGGACGGTCTTGACGAAGGAGCCCTCCCTGACGCGAAAGCGAAGCCCATGGCCAGCATTTATAGCGCGGAGGAGAGGAAACAATGACTAGTCATGGCAAAACAGGGCCGGGGAGAACAACTGCCGCGGACCTGGTCGTCTAGATGGACAGTGACACGAACTAGCACGTTGGACTCGTCCCACTCGGATGCCCCATGCCATTCGAGCCCAGGGCCCGTTGCCACGATGGCCAAGTGCCGTGCCCGTGCCCGGTCCCGGTCTCCGAGCCGGGACTTGGGCTCTTAATCATCATTCGAGGGCTAAAACTCTCCGAAACATGCTGACTAGTCCACGTCCAGCTAGCTCGCAAGGGACATTCTGACTCGCGCGCCGCACGCGAGACTAAAACGTAATGGGGGAGAGCCCACGTGGAAATGGATTGCTTGTTCCCGAGCGAGCAGAATGGGCGCTGCCGTTGCCGTGCCGGGCGGGATATTGAGCCTTGGGCCTTGGGCCTCGTACAAGTCGGCCTGGCGAAGTGGGCTTCGTCAAGGCGTCGGCTTGGTTCCCCTTGCCTCGAGTCGAGTCAGTGGCGATAGCAGACGGCTTTTAAGTCCGGTAATTATGGTGGCATCTGGAATCAAATAGAAGCGCGAGCCGACTGGCTGTGATTGCATGTCGTCCCGTTAGCATCTTGGGGATGCTCTCCACTGCGTGCGTCGAGCCGGGTTCGCTGAGCAGGATTCGGCTGCCGTGGGCTTCTATCCTTCATGTTATTCCAACATGAAGAAACTTCCAGAGGAGACTCAGTGGTCTTCTCCCGCGGAGGATATGGACTTGTACCGTGTCTCGTCGTATGTCCATGTTGCGGGCGTGACGGATGAGTTTCCAGCCTTTGGCGTTGCGCCGGCCGTTGAATGCAAATACAGTTTTAGTTGTAAGCGTGGCGAGTCCTTTACTGCAGTCTCTTGCGTTCCCCGAGACGCGGGCGCACGGGTCTTGTTGGATCGATCTTGGAGATGCAGCTGCAGAATGGAACTCCCCTTGTCCCGATCAAAGGCATACAGGCCGCGGCTAGTAGTCGCGAGGAATGAAGTTTTGAAACACGTGTCTACGACGTGTGTGAATCGGGCAACGAGATTTGCTATAGGAAAGAGCGGAATCATACGGGGCTGAATACTTTGCACAAGATAGCGTGATAGTTGCCGTTGCCTGCTCTTGCGTTGGATGACGGACTTGATATTCCTGATGGCTCAAGGGCTCAACACGGAGTCGGCAGCCACCAAGACCCGAGGGAATAACTGGTAGCCCTCGGCTATCGACAACGGCAGCATTGGCGGTGACAGCGCCGGCGATTGCGTATAGCCGGAGGTGAGACGGAGGGGAGCAAATTCTGTCGGGGGGTTTCTTCCAGACGGTCTGGCTGATTTCAAGGCCTATTATTTAGTAGAAAAACAGGCATGTTTTGGGTTCACAAGGCGATCGGTATAGCATACTGCAGGGTAGAAATGCCTGTATGAAACCTGGACTGGCTAGATCGGAAGAAAAGGTGTTGCCAACACCGTTGTGTGTGACGACATTCATATCAGTTCGCCGCGGGTGGCCCGAGGTTGCTTTTGGGCGATCTAGAGCCCGCCTGGCGTGGTGTTGTATGAAATTTAATGCGTTCAACTTGATAAGCCTGGATCTGGACTCGATTGGAAAGCTATCGCGACTATCAAATGGCGTGGCCACTCCCGTTTTTACACTCATTCAACGAATTTGTCCTTGCCTGCAGTAGGATCAAAGCGGTAGTTGTTTAGACGGGTCTGCAAGACAAGCAACGCCAGGCCGAGTGACTGTTCCTACAAGTTACGACCACCAATCGGCCTCCGCCGAGCGACAGCAGTCGAGCTTGGCCGAGAGGTATATGTGAGTTCTGGGCCGCTTCAAAAGTCTGTACATCCTAGCCGGGCATCTCACGGTCAACGCAGTGCATACATTAGTCCATGCCCCATCATCCACGCGGCTGAGGCCCTTCCTTTGCGCGGCCTGGAAACACGGAGACGCGGTTCCAACTTCCTGGCACTGCCAGCCTTTGTCGGCCGCGACGAGGTAGAGAAGGACAAAAACCCTGGACATCAGGCACTGGACGAGTCCATCCGACGTTTCTTCTCAGCTACTGGTCATTGTGTCGCCATCTGGCTCCTTGACCTGGTGCCGCCAGCTCGTTTGCCGGGGCCATGTCTCCGTACACGGTTCGAGCCCATGTGAAGTTGGACTCGTGGTGCGGGATTGCACAAGTCTATCGTGCGTGTTCGGAATTCCAGACAGGCCGTGTGCTCCAGCGTGGTTGCCCCCGTCACGGTCATGACGCATGTCTGATTTTATCCTGATTGCTATTCCTCAGATGGCTCGACGTCGTACTCAATGTCTGTCCTGATGATGTACTTGGCTCCCTTGCGTACACTCGTCCCCTCATGCAATAATGCCCCTTTGGTCTCGCCATGAGGGAAAACGGCGACACCTCCCATGACCGGCCGCACAGGGTAGGCGTTGAGTGTTCCCTCGCGTTGTGCCGGCATGTAAAACGTTGTTTCTCCGCCTCCAAACTCGTCATTGAGATACAGCAGGAAAGTGAATAGCGAGCTTTGCTTCTTCTCCGCGGGTGAGTCGTCGTATACGTATGTGTCGTCGGGGCGAATTCCTGAGGGCGGCCAGGCCCCGTCGATATGGCATCGATACTCGGCCCCGGGGACGTAGCGATAGACCCGGAACCGTCTGTTCACACCGCGGCACCGGCGACCATTGAGCGACGCGGGCACAAAGGGAGCCATGCGTGCCCAGAGCTTGTCGTGAAACGCGGCATCTACGACCCAGTAGAAGTTGTGGGCCAGCACGCTGGCATCTCCGCCCTCGCGCACGGGGACGTCGGGCAGGAAACCGACGCTCTCTGCCGTGGCGACGATGGCCTTGCATTCCTCCGGTGAGAGGACGCCCGTCGCGAGACCGAGATGGGGAACGCTGGGGTGCTTGTGGTATGTTATTCCCGCATGCGGTTGAGACAGGTCAACGGTATCAGGTTCTGTGGTGTACAGGATGGCTGGGTGGTGGTTTGGCGGTTTCCTGGCATGTCCCGGCGTCGTTTCGACAACTCGGACGCGAGAAGAGAGCGAGTCGGGCGCCGAGGACAAGACTGACTTGTCCAGGACTGAGGCGTAGACTTGGTGTGGTTCTGTCCGTGGTCGCAAGTCCCAGGTAGGCTGCAAGGCTATGTGAGGGGACAACTGAGAGGGAAGCTTTGCCTCTGGGTTGCCATCGACAGGGCAGCTGACGCGCATCACGGCATCAAGGACTGCCAAAAGCTCCTTGTCTTTGTCAGAGCGGTTGGGGTTGACGATGCTTGCGCCGTTGGGCTGCGTCACAACGTCCAGATCCCGAACCCAGCGACAAAGGGCACCCAGCTTCGGTTCTTCGCCTCGCAGTCGCATTTCAGCCAGCAAGATCTTGGCCTCGAGGTATTTTTCGTCGGCGAGCGCGGCTGTGACCCGACCGGTGAGGTTTGCGCCCTCGGCCGAGTTGACGCCCGTGGTACATGATTGCCGGAAGTCGTAGACGGCGGTTCGCAAGTTTCTGCACAGCTTCGACTTTGTGAGGCTTGGGTATTGTGCCAAGGTCGTCAAGGTCTCGATTGTGATGGCGAGCTCTTCGTCCGAGATGACGGTCTGCAAGATTTTGGGTTCAGACTGTGTGGCATCGCCATCGGGGGGTGGCGTCACAATGGTTGCGGTCTTGACATGCTTCTTGGGCAATTGGGCCTGAAGCTTTCTCTTTCGCTTGGCAGATCTGGATTGAGGCATTGGTACGGCGGTGGCAGTTGAATGGAAGTATCAAGTATCAAGAAAACTCCACGTATCGCAAAACTCGACTCCTCATCCACGGTGCGGGTTGGCGGATCCACTCAGCTTCCTTCGTCCAAGGCGAAGATGCGGCAGACATACAATCTGCAATTTTATTTTTGGAAAAGCAGCAGGAGCGAGGTGAATGATATATTACATTGTCACCGTGAAACAGAACGATATGTGCTTCTGTGCCTGCACTGATCTTCGGATCTATTGTTTCCAGCTTTGCACGGTTTGTGTCATCCTCGTCGCGTCCAACGCCTCCATACCCTACACTCGAGCGTCGTTTCCAAGTCCCTTCCTTTGATGGCGACAGTTTGGTTCCGTCTGAAAGCAGTGTGTCGGCATCAATTGCATTGGAATTCCTTCCAAGCAGTCTAGTCATTCTGTACTCCAACGTCGCTGTGAGAGCTAGCAATACGTACTTGCTTGGGTTCTCTACGAGACGAAACATAACTGGGCTGGCTTCCTGCCTTGCCTTTACTCCGTACCTTGTCACCGAATATTTCTCTTCTTTCAAAGAAACCTGGATGGCCCGTACAAAACACTCGGATTCCTTTGATGGGCCCGTGCGTCGAAGCAGCTGTGCATTTTTACAGGAGTCATCCTGTTCAACACTCGCTTCATCGACTTCGTCGCTTTGCGTACCGACGACCAGCATCCACGCGGCGCAGAACCACAATGGGATTCTTTTCCAGCCAGCTCTTCAAGCGCATTCCGTACCCTAAGGGATCCTGCTCGGACAAGACTGTCGTCATCTCCGGCGGCAATAGTGGCCTTGGCAGAGAAGCAGCGCGGCATTCTGTGCGAATGGGCGCCAGCAAATTGGTTCTCGCCGTGCGCAGCGTGACCAAAGGCGACGAGACCAAGCTCGACATTGAAAGCACGACGAAATGCGCCAAGGACGTCATTGAGGTTTGGGAAATCGACATGGCCAGCTACGTGAGCGTGCAGAAATTTGCAGACCGGCTCGACAAGCAGCTCGATCGAGTGGACATGTTTCTCGCCAACGCGGGCATCGCGCCGGGCAAATACAAGACGACCGAAGACGACGAACCGTCCATGGTGGTCAACGTCGTCTCGACCTTCCTCCTCGCCGCCCTCGTAATGCCCAAGCTCAAGGCCACGGCAGCCCGGTTCCAGACTTGGCCTACGCAAGCTCTGCCGCACACGGCCACACCACATTGCCCCAGAAGTCGGCTCCCGAGGGCCAACTCCTTGCAACGGTAAGCGACAAAGCCACTCCGCAGACGTACTGGGCCGAGATGTACGCTGTTTCGAAGCTGCTCGAGATCTTTGGCGTTCGCGCTTTTGCCGAGGAGCACCCAGCGGGAGGCTGTCCCAAGAGCTTGCGTCGCCCCGTTGCCGGATGTTGGCGTAAGACTGTGAGCACTATCGCCGACTTGCACCACACGACCGCCATGAGAAGTCCATTCCCGACGCAAATCGCGCCAGAGCAGAGGCCGGTGGATGATGCCTTTTTCCGGCGAGGCGCGGATGAGGGCTGCAACAGCTGGGTCCCAGTCAGGGGCTCTCAACAGAGCCTTGACGACTTCTTCTACCCCGTTGTCCGGGCCCCTGGTCTCCGTTGGTGCTCCCACCTCGTCTCGCGGCGTGAATCCCCATCCCACGAGGTCGTCCGAGATCCAGATACCAATGTGCATTCTGGGACCAAGCCAGTACACCCACGTTGTAGCCAAATCACCCCATCCCTCGCGGACCAACTCGTCCTTCTTGGCCATCTCTCGCGGAAACGATGTGCGATAAACAGACATGCTGCTGGACCTGGGGAACGTAGGCTCTTCTCCACAGACCTGCAACTCGGATCTCGATCTCAACCCATCTGCGGCAACAACGACGTCGGCAAGCCCGTTATCACCGTTCTCGAGCACGACACCGCCTTTGCCAGCGACGTCAAATTCAAAGTATCGAGCGACATGCTTTCCGTGACTGGCCGTGAAGCCAAGCTTGGCAACCTGCCGGAGAAACATGCGGTACAACTGCTGTCGAATCTGGGCTGCTGCTACGAACGGGCCGGTGCGGGAAGCAACATGCTCTGGCTCGTTGAAATTCGGAACCGGAGGCCCGTATATATGCTCTTCGCGGCGCTTTTTATAGCTCATACCAGCATGAACTTGCTCTTGCTCCATGTCTCGCATCAGGTCCGGCCAGTGCCGGAACACGGCCACAGTCGAAGGCTGGATGACGATGATATCGCCTACACGGCTCTCAGTATAGAACACTCACGGCGGAGGCGGACAGCTCACACCGCAGTAAACAGGGCCTTGCTGCCTTTCCAGGATGCCCACGATGTTGTGGCCTTTCTCCGGCACTCCAACGCCGACACCAGGCCGCCCATGCCGGTCTCTGGATGCCGCTCCGGCAGCCTTGGAGCATCTACATGGCCATTCCGGCCGGGAGAATGAACTGTCGTCCAGCGTTCCGGATCAAACTTGTGCTTGTCCCCGGCGACGTTGTGTCCGAAAAGCAATGGAGCCATGATGACGAGACTGGACTGGAAAACCGTGCAAGGGACGCGCTCACGGAGTAAGCTTCTATGGATATGAATAGGACGGGGTGGAGACTGCCTTTATTGCGTCTTATGCCACAGCCAGGGGGACGGTAGGCTGTAGTACCTTCGGGATGGAGATGTCGCTTTTCTCACCGCGTCTAATTGCCCGATGGCGCGCAGGCAATTCCAGCTCACACCGACGACGCCTTGTTTTTTTTCTTCCCTGGGATGGTGGGCTTCCAGGGCATATATTTTTTCGTCTCTTCGTTCTCTTTGTCAATTTTCTCCATCATCATCATCTTCGTACTCTTCGTCTTCTCCAGTATCCTTTGTGTTACATCCCCATTTTGTCTGACCGGACTTTTGTTCATATTCGCCTTTCAAAGACAATCCGTTGCCGCGGGATTCGCAGACATGGCTCCCCTGGCTCTGGACGTGGAGGATGTGCCTCTAACAAAGCACAAGGGTGATATATGCAAATCAACAAGGCTCTGGACCTCGGCTCATTTAAATACTATCTCAAGGCCCAACTGTCTCACCTGCCTGCGATAACAGACGTAGAGAGAATTATTACTTAGGTTATCCGCGTGCTGGGTCAGAACGCCGGAAAGGTCTGGCACATTCGTCTAGTACGTCACCAAGAAGAACTGGACTGACGGGGAGCAACAGTTCACGCTCCAAGGCACCAACACGTACATCGTTGAGACTGGTCGCCACAGGCTCCTCATCGACATTGGCCAGGGGATCAAAGAATGGGCCGGGTTTTTGGCCTCGGTGCTTGAGACGGAAAACGCGTGCTTATCCCATGCTCCCATCTCCCATTGGCACGGTGATAGCATGGGAGGCGTGCCCGACTTGCTTCGCCTCTACCCCTACCTACGCAACTCCATTTACACTTGCTCACCTGGCATAAATCAGCAGCCAATCGAGGATGGCCCAGTCTTCTCGGTCGAGGGCGCCACGCTTCGTGCCGTGCACTCGCCCGGCCATTATGCTATGGTGTCTTGCCATGACCATCGATTTCTAGTCCATCCAATCCCTGCTCCTGCATATTTAGCCATTCTCTTCAGTCTCATCGAATGACGCTCCACGAGACGGCAGCAAGTAAACCATGCTGTTTGCTCGAAGCCGGTAATAGTCGCTGCTGGCTACTCGGACAAGCTGTCTGTCCCCTGCCAAGGGCTTCCATTCTCTAATACCTCTGGGAACAAGTCTACGGTGCTAGTTCTTTCTGATACTTTGCACTAGGACGTGCGTGGCTTGTATGGCCTAGCAACGATACTCGGTCCCTTCCGGATAGACATTTCCCTGAGGACTAAAATTTTTCCCCTGAAAGCGAGTAATATAGTCTTTGGCCTCTTGAGATGCCCATCAGCACCAAGTGTTGTGTCCACAAGCCGCTCGACTGTTGTAACCACCCGTCGTTTGTAAGTTTAGTCTGATGTCCCGCGGTCAACCAAGCCAGAGAGACAACGATCTAAACAGGATAACTCCATGTCTAATCGAAGCTATGTTGGAACATGAGATGACACGAACTAAGCGTTGCAAACAACACTTAGTTATCACCAGTGAAATATGACCCGAAATTCGACAAAAGATCTAGCTCTAGATGAATTATTGGTGAGACCCCCGGTCTTTAGCAATTCCTCAACGCTGTGGCATGAACAGCAGGGCAAGATGCCGTATCAAACATTACTACACACGAAGTAAGGCTCGTAGCCATTCTGCCCATTTTGCTGCCAAGGATAAATACATCTTTGATTTTCCGCGCACAGAAAATGCATCTTTACAACTACACGGGGCATACATCGCCTCAGATGACTACGCAGTCTACAGTAGCCTTGAAACAGGTCGAGGCATCATCTCGGGTCTATGTACCGGCGATTCCGCAGCCAACTTGACCATAACTGCCCCTCGTGAGTCGGACCAAGTTTCACGTAAAGAAGTCTTGGCATGCGAATAAGATGAAAAGTGGCTCTCGTAAGCCCTTGATTCAATCGACAATGTTTGCGTATTGCCGCATCACTGCCTGGTTGTCAGCACGTCGGCGCCACGTATTGAGTACAAGTCTAGTTGACAAGAGATAGACTTTCCCTGCCCTTTGAGCACTGGAATTATTAGTAATGCCCTCCTCGCCATTCGCATATGGCTGGCAGCCCCAACAGTGCCGTGCTACGAGGCTGCGCCAGTTTGACGGGGGCTCCCTTCAGCTTACAACAATCCCAAGTGACCACGACAGAGTTTTGCGCAAAATGGTGTCTCTTCAGCGTCAGGTGAACAAAAAGTCTTGCCCCCTCGCTATCAGAGCGTTGTTTGTCGTTTCACGAGTGCGGATCTAGCACCATGGGTAGTTACCAGTTTGCATTCAGGGGCCCGAAAGGCCAAGATCTGCGGAAAGCAAATTACGGGAAACATGGTAACTTGACCTTGGTGATGATTCTAGGAGAATATCAGCGACCAAACTCCTCCTCACCAACATGCACCAGCGTATAGTCGAAGAAAATTGTTGACATACACGTCATGATCCTCGCGGCAACGGAGAGAAAACGAACCAAGTCCGTCAGTGTAGTTACGCACATTCGTCACATCATCATACAACCAGACCAAGTCAAGGCAAACTCGGCGTCTTGTTTCAGCACAAGCCTCTTCAAACGTTCTGGATGAGTCCATGGGTCGATGGTGACAAGGGCTTGCATAGAAGGCTTGGAGCAGTTACAACACGCTTCAGCACTCCACGTCATTAGTTGTCCACAAGGCCCTGACACTTGCGTCCAAAGCCTGTTTTGCGGCAACCTTCTGTCCTGGGTCTCGTGAATCGTGATCATCGCGCCTGTGTAACCGTCGCCCGAGGCGCAACCGCAAGCCACTTTTACAGGGAAATGAAGACTCTAGAAGCAGACTAGATGGCAGAAAAACAGCCCCTGCCTTTCGACAAAGTCAGATGCGTGATGATATGCGACACGACCATGACCTCTGGCATAAGCTACAGGGTCCGTGGAGCAAACGCTGCAGATTAAAGAGCTACGTTACCGAGAGTTTTGGTGACTCGAGCATCACGGCTACATATGCCGCTTTTGGAAAGAGTCCCCTCGTTCGCTAGCCGACAATAACAAGTGAGAGTGAGACTAACGGTGGCGACATGCCCTTTCGCCTCGAGCTCGCCCCAGGTGGCTTCGAAGCCACCGAGCCCTGTGCGTCGCAATGCCGGCAAGAGCAGCGGGAGCGGCTTGTTGGCATGGGCCAAATCTCATGCCCATATTGAGAATGTACTCTGAATAGCACTGGTGACCAATCCAGTCTGACAAAGGTACTCGTTACAGGCTAGGTCAGTTGACGTGCGGGAAGAAAGACCGGGCTGGAATTAGAGGAAGCAAATCATGACCACTCGCCTGCTCCGCAGAGGGGTGACAGGGATTCAGGAGCGAGCCCGGTACTGAAAAAAGACGAGACGCATTGCAAAGGCTCCTCTGCAAATTTCAGGGTTGGTTGGATGAGATGCCGCATCGTGGGTTCAACGTTGAGGTGCAGGTGACCGGGGAGCATGAACCGGATTAGTCTAGAAGGACGGCAGGACATAGAAACGACACTAGACCAGCACCAAAATTGGCAGAGCGCAAGTCGGTGAAACAGGCTTCTGGCGCGGCTCGCATGGTGGCACGCCCGTGACTATACTCCATGTTCCGTGGCAAAAGATTCTAGTACGGAGTAGCCTTTCAGAAAACAGTGGCTTGGCTCGGGAGAAACGCCTCCGGGCTAAGCGCAAATACACAGCAAGCTGCTTCTAAAAACAAAGCATCTGCTGGCGGGTCGTGGGCAAGGAGGGCTTGAGGAGCCACGTGGTGAGACAGCAGAGACCCCTTACAGCCCATCCAAGCCGAGGAAGCCCATACGTCAATTTGAATGATGCGGCCAGACTTGGGCAGCCCTCTTTCCAGCCAAAGACGGGCAACGTACGTGTCGAGACTCTCTGTCTGGCTGGTCAAAGCGGATATGCTGTCGCGGGCGGGACGCAGCGTACAAAGGTCGAGTATGGATAACGTTTGCCGTAGGCGGAAAAGAAGACGACGGTTGGATTTCTAAAGCAAGATACATGAATGAAACGACAGCTCCTGGTAGTGAGTTGCTACCAGGAGTCCTAGCATCATCTTGGAAACCTCGACGGGTCCTGTGTGCTCCCCAGAACCGTTTCCCGACTGCACAGCAATGGCCAACTATAGCTCGTTGAGTTTGCCAGTCAGTTACCGCTTAAGCCATGCTCGGATCTGTCTGAAGACCTTCTAGGCTGCATGACTTTTGAGCTATCAAAGAGGGCTTGCTACAATAGCCCTGGCCAAGATTCAATGAATGAGTGTTGATATGAAAGAGGAGGTAGGTTCGACCCTCTTGGCGGGACCAGCTGCCAGGATGCGAGTCAACATTGAAATCAGGGCAGAAACTAAAGAAAAACAAGCCGTCGGGGTGAAGGCTAGAAAGTAGCTTGTTGAAGAGTTCTCGGTTCGGTGCTGGATTGAATCTGACCCAGTTAGTCCTGCGACACTGGCTCAAGGGTTGTGGCTTACATTAATCGTCGTCGAACCTTTGGATAGTTCGACTCCACGGCTGGAGATGACGTCGACGGTGCATTCGCCAGAATCCCCCACGACAATCTGCAACTCGCACTCATACGTCTGGTACCGGCCGGCGAAGGGCCACGTACCCTTCTTCATTCCCGTCGGAGCACCCTTCGGAACCTGGACCTGGCAGAGCACTTCCACGCCCGCTATGGTTGCGAAGTCAGTCAGCATCTCCAGGAGGCTCGGCGGGCTCCCGGGATGATGTAGGCTTACCATCTTGCGTGGTCTGTGGCAGGTACTCCAGACTGCAGGTGGAGGAAACAATCGTCTCGGTCCAGTCATCCGGGTCGCTCTTGGTGAAAGTCCTGGTGACTTTGTGGCGAAACCTGTCGTTCGGGCGGATCATGGTGCCTTTCTTGACAACCCATTGGATTTGTCCTGGGACGGCTTTGCCACGAGAGTCCCGAGAGCCCTTGAGGCGGCTCTTGGATTTCCCGAGCGGGCACTGGTGGGCAACGACTCCATAACTAGCTCGAGTGATTCTGGGTCCAAAAGTCTCATTTCTCTTGTTCATGAGGAGACCTCTGATGACGGCCGTTTGAGGATTGCTACATGTCCAGAGTTTGGCTTCGCCGAGACATGGTCTTCGACCTTTCTGCCAGGTGAAGAACTCGTCCAGTTTCTGGAAGACGTAGTCAGAAGAGCCTAGGCCACCAGACAAGACGATGTGCTTCTAGTACCGACAGTTAACGCGGAAGGAAACCGGGACGGAAATTCGCCGACTGTTACTCACGAGACGTTTGCCTCTGGCCTTTTCGAACTCGCCGAGCGCCGCGATGACGTGAGCCTTGATTTCCTTTATTTGACAGTCAAACAGCCCATCGAGTAGTTTTCTAAATGCTTGTCAGCGTACTTGTCGGTTTTACTGGCCTAATGGTGGCTATCACTTTTCGAATATCAAGTTGTAATCGGCCGGGACACCTTGGTTGTCGAGCGCCTCAGAATTGAAAATTGTTCCAGCCATCGACTTATCCGGTGCGGTGTTTTCTTGACCGTGATTACACTTCCACCTTTGGAACTCTTCCCCCTGGGAAATTTTCGCGGCGCACTTCCTGGCCGTGTCCAGAGGCACCCCTTTGGCCGCAAGCCTAGTCTCGAGATCGTTTTTGAAGCCCATGTCGATTAGAACAGAGCCTACTCCGATTGCCGTCACGGGGAGCACTGGCTCCATCATCATCGGCTTCATTGACTGGAGCGTGACGAAAGCAAGATCGGTTGTTCCGCCGCCGGCATCGATAGATAGTACAGCGTCGCCGTTGGCGAAAGGAATATTCAGCTCGCTAGTCGCAACCACCGCTGCCACGGATTCCGTCAATCCTAGACCCATTTGGTGGTCAATCTCTTGGCCAAATCCAGCACGGCGAGCGGCGCGCGCGAAACGATGAACCGCAAGCGGGCTCCATGTACCGGGGACACTAAATGTGAACTCGACTCTCATGTGCGCCCAGCTCTTATTCCAGCTCCCCACCCCGTTCGTCCTGTCCTCCATTAGCTTTTCGACGAGATGTCCCGAAAGATAGAGGTAGATCTGGCGAAGATACACCTCCACCAGCTTGTAAGCCTCGGAGGAGTCGGCCGGCGCCCACGGAGTGTCGGCGAGCCGGGATGGGTCGCAGTCCAGGCACAGTTTGAGGAATCTCCACTTGCTGCTCTCATCCAGATCATGACAGAGGAACCCCCATTTGATATTGTTCCCGGTCGTGTCCTTGGCTAGGACCGAAGGGACCTTGGCACCCTTTTTCCCGGGCCATGTGCGAATAATGGTGGCGGCTGCGTCCCCTGGTGTCATATAAGAGACTCCTATTTCGCAGTTAGAGAATGTATATAGCGGTTCACAGAGACCAAAACGCGTTGACAACCTGTAAAGGTGGTACCGAAATCGACCCCGACATATAAATCAGGCCGACAAGATCCGCCATTCTCGTGGCACGGCATTGTAGATGCTCCAGCGAGTTGACCCAGTCAACTTTGGTGAATAGGATTTCCGAGTGAGGAAGTTGAAAACCTAGGAAGACGAACTGCGAGAGAGAGTAGACCAATTGACAATCCGTTCTAGGCAAAATTCACGTCATGTACGACGATTAAATACTTGTGCGTGGTACCCGAGTAGGAGCATTCACGCGTCCGCCAATGCCGGTGGGAATATTGCTTGTTTGCCCGGCAAACAATCAACAAGGTGCCGTCAGCCTCGTCGAGCACCCTGGTCACACCCAGGCATGCCATACTACGTACGGAGCACTCCGTAGACGATAGACAATCAGACTCAGCCATAAAGCTAACAGCGGCGTGCCGACCCTGGTCCGTCTCCCTGTTGTGCAACCACACCACAGCCACCGATGCGTTGAGGATTCCCATCACCATTTTTATCTCCCAAGTTGCCACGACTCCACGTGCGCGTTCCTGGTGACCATGACTCCGAGTCCCCCTGTGGGCACTTACATGGCACAATGTGGCGCGAATTCTGGGTGATGAGTCCTGCCACGCGTGAGCCGTGCCTCCTTTGTTCGATAGGACGAGCCCAATTCCTATAAATAGTCAGTATGCCACTCGACTTGGTGGGTTTCATGTGAAAACAGCTTTTCGCTGACTATTTATCTTCATTTGTGTCTTTCCAGAAAACTTCCACTTCTCGGACTCCTTCACCTCGCCCCTTGGAAAAAGTCGTTTTACTTTCCGTCCTGTTCTTGTCAGGGTACTTGAACCTAACCGCGAGCTTGACATCTTCAAACATGGCGCCAAGTCCTACCATGTACAGGGCAGCGGAGACACTCACCGCGACTACAATGTGTACCGCAACCGCTGGCCCAGGGACTTCGGTCCGGGACGGTGGCATAGGAGCAGCAGTAGGGGCTACCGTTGGTATACTGTTCGGTGCGGTTGCCGCTTGGTTTCATCTTGCACAGCAAAGACGACGACACGAAAACAAAAACGCAGAGACGACGCGCGACGATGCCCCCGCGCGCGACGATGCCGCAGAGAGCGACGCTGACTCGGAAATCCTTTGGTACGAAGGCCAGGACGAGATAGTCAAGTTTCCACCACGGGAGAGATGGCGAAAACGGGCGTTCAAATGTCTAATGACGAAATACGAATTACTGGATGAAGGCGAAGATGACTTGGAACTGAAGCTCGGCATGCAGTGCGCCGGCGTCGGCACGATTGTTGACGACGAGTCCAACTACCACGTCGACCATGTCTCGTCCGTCCCCGACTCCTGGCATGAATCTCTCAGGCGTCTTGGTCTGGGGGAGTCGCTCAACGACAGTCTCACGGACCTACTCATGGATCCGGTAACCCGTCGTCAAGCAATCTTTCATCTGATAGTGCGTGTGGTTTTCACGAACCTTGACTACCACACCATCGGCCCCTTTTCACTCCTTCCGGCTTACGTCAACGACTTTGTTCAGTCTCTCACCCCCGGGACCGATGACCCGTGGAACCATGGCAAGTGCTTCCTTGCATCGGCATCAAGGTTGAATTCTGCTAATGGCTCATGAACTAATCGGCAGCGATTCCGATGCAAATGTGGCGACGACTCTCCGTGTGGCTTGTGCATCCGGACAAGGCGAAAGATGCCTGGTTCACGAAGAGTCCCTTGGAAACGCCGCCCAATATCCAGCCGCAGGTGGACCGGCTCTGTGACGCCCTCCAGGACGTCTTGGGAATTTTTTACAGTGAGAATTGCAGATACACGCACAAACTTTTACTGAAGACTGCCCTTGGACCATGCATCGAAGTTGGCTACAGGGTCTTTTCTCATTATTCTGACCTGAAATACAACTGGGGACCGGACCCGTCGAGAGAAGACGGAATTGTCACCATCCCAGGCCTAGTTAGGTTCACCAGCATGGAGGGATTGCCCCTTAAGGAACCAACAAACTTGACCAGAAAATATCCACGCATCGAAACGACCATGAGGCGTTCCATGGATGTGTGGCAATGGCCGGATCGTCTATTGATCAGGGAGGTGCTATCCGGGAGGGAGCTGCCACCTTGGCGGCCTCCTCCGTCAAAGCCGAGATCGTCAACAGAGCCGAACCCGTCAACAGAGCCGAACCCGTCAACAGAGCCTCAACCACATGACTAGCTGTGATGCACAAAGGTCGTAGGCTTCGTGATGCCCTCAAAGGCCGCACGATGCTAGGCACAAAGGAGCCTACGAGGCGTCGAGGCATCAACCCCTCCATGCCACAGTCATCCGAGGCCCGTCACACGCACAGACATCTTGTTGTGATTTATAGCCCTCGTCGGGCGGGTCCTTCAGGTGGAGGAACCAAGGGTTGGTTGGAACTTGGGACGGGCGAGTCATGACCGTGGATAGCGCATGTATTTATAACTAGTGAGAGTGTCCCCCGACCCGAGCGTTGGCGGCGAGGAAGTTGCATCGATCTGGATATCATCCTTTATATCTCAACACCGAGAACCTCGGGACCATGCGATATAATATAGAAACTTGAGTCTTTTGCTCCAAGCCCTGATCTGATCCCCGTGACCAGCCCTTGTTACAGGTCCTTCAGGTTGAGGAACCCAGGCCCTTCGAGGCCATACCACGTCATCACTGAATGGGCTCTTCTGCTCCAACATTGCCTTGCTGAATCTGGTCGGCGTGGTACTCTTTCTTCAACCCTGGCCTTGGCCCGGTATCCCCTAGCCACCGTCACCACAGGTCCATCATTAGTAGTCGGTTTCCGGGCCAGGTCTCGTCGAGAGCAATGACCGGATCGAGTTGTCTACAACCGCGTTTGTGCGGTACCCCCCAGGGGCGCCGGCGACGTGACGCGTTTCAATTTCAGAATGTGAGTGGCTTTGTGCAGGATGTATGGGAGTCTAGTCAAAAGCGCCGATACTTTGCATTGATCATGGTACTACCCTAGCCGCCCATCGCCGTCCTCAAGCGCTCAAAGCCTTCCGCCTCTCTCTTGTCCGCCGTCTCCCTCTGCTGGTGAATGTCAGCTGCCCCCCCACCTGGCCTTTGGGCGCTCTCAGCCATCGTCCTCAAGACGCTGATCTCATGCAGTGCTTTGTCATTCTTGTCGAGAAGCTGTGGCAAGTGCCTTTTGAAGGTATGCTTGCCCTGGATCACCCACCGAGTCATTTTGCGGACGCTTCGTCTCCCACCTGTCGAGTCCGAAGCGCAGAGCTCTACGACTTCCTTCGCTCCTCGGAGTGCCTCTTGAAATGCCAGGATGGCGCCATCCACGGCCGACTTGACGCCGTGGTCATCCTCCACGAGGTGGTCGTGGTTACATCGCAGCTCGACCAACACTTGCATTGTCTTGTGACACTCCCGCAGGATCAGTCCCGCAGAGTCAAGCGAGTCGGCGCCGCTGGAGGCATACAAGACACACAAGCTGCTGGAATTCATGAGTTGTGCGCCAGCAACCGGGCCGTCTCGCGCACGCCTGGGACCAGCAACATGGGCCGCAGGGCTCGTGGTTTCCTCGTCGGCTCCCCCAGTACTGGTGCTCCGGAGAGTCTGAGCGCGAGTACCAAGCCATTGAGTTCCGGTGTGCGTCCCATGCGGCGTGCCTGCGGGCTCTGCTTGTGGATAGGCCGAGCATAGAGTATTGCGTTGGTTGGACTGCGCCCTCAACTCGCCAACGGCTTCTTTCATGGACCGCCAACTGTCGCTGTACACGGTCGTCAGCACTCGAAGGGGATGGAACCTAGAAAGGGAGCCACGGATGAAACCAAAGAGTGGAATCGTTCCCGTTCTGGCCCCTGGCCCCTGGGACCGAGCACAGGTCTTCTGGTCTACTTCCTTTGCGTGGCAACCACGTCGGAGGCTGGAGTCAAGACGCAAGGTCTGGGACGTCTAGGACTTACATCTCGAGCGCCTGAAGCGTCGTCTCCAAGCAGTTTCTACAGCTCCTCAGCCGATTCTGAACGGAGGCAGTCCTTTCCTCGCCGTGCCTTGCCCACTCTAGCGAGTTTGCCAGATACTCGCGCTTGAGTTTCTCCAGGTCCTCCGCAATGCTTCGGCAGCTTTCAAGCAGCGAGGGCAGGTTTTCCGCCAGCCCGGACTGAAGCTCCCTCATCTTTTGAAGGGGCTTGAGCAGAGCCTCCAGAGCGCGTACTTCCTCGCACATGGCAACCATCTCAAGACCCGCTTCTTTCATCGACGAGGCGAGTTTCTTGACCGTCCCCAGCGCACTCGCAATTCCGCCAACCACACTGACGGCGGCGGAAGCAGCGGTGATGTATTCCATTGTTGAATACTCCGCTGCCGTCGTGGGCTGTCCCAGTAGAGGGTCAAGTAGTAGAATATCACTTTAGCTTTTAGGAAAGATGCAACGAAAGGGCCTGACGACTGAGATGTAGAAATACAGAACAACAAAGTGCTCTTACTAGAGCTTCGAAACTGTGGGGGGTATTTATGGTTCGTCTAAGCCAAGAGGAAAGATGATATGAATGCGACCCCGTAGCCCGGTGAAAGTGTGTAAAGCCAGCCTCGTGAAAACGGTCGACATGTTCTCTGATACTGACGACAGGGGCATACAGAGGCTGAAACTTGCCAATGCGCAGGGGAGCTGTCAACGTCCCGGCTCCCAGCAAACGCATTTACTGCCAGTAAGCAAGGCAGCGACGGTTTCAATCTCACAGAGCGGTGCCTCGTCGCAAGGGCTCTCCAAGGCGTGCCCAAGGAACATGCAAGAGCTGACATGTCCTCACGCTCGGCGGTATCTGCTCCCCGTCTCAGCCGACAGCAAACATGAGCGCCACAGATCTGAACACCAAAGAATCTCAAACACCGATATCATCGAGGCGACATGGTTCTCTGGCAGCCACTGTAACAGTGTGCAGCAACTGACATGTCCCTTTTCCCAAAGGACCTCAATAGTCGACCACGTCAATGGTCTTTTACTGACTGGTATTTTGCAATCAATTGCTCGAGAAATAGACGTCGTCATGATGCCAGAAACTCCCTTTCCAAGACACTGCAGCTATGAAGCTTTCTAGAAACCAGCCAAATCGGACCTGTTTGCTTGGGGGAGGATGCGGAGACGTCATTTGTCTGATCGTTAGCTTCCCTGCCAGGTATCGCAAACGCGCTGCGGGAGCCTCATTTACCGTGGTCAGTTTGGACTGTCCCTGGAATCTCGAGGTGTAAAACGCCTATTCTTGTCGCTTTCGCGTTCACCTTCCCCTTGGGGAATCGTGTGTAGGGGAATCTTTTTCTGTTGCGTTCCTTTTCGCAGCACCTCCCCCCTTGACCCCATTGTGCCCGCCGTGGATGACTTCCAAGTTTGCTTTGTGCCCTGCCTGCCACGCCACCCATGATCCTGTCCGAGATGACCGATTACCTTGAGCGGAGAGGAGCACTAGGTGAAGCCCCGTGTCCTCCAACTGCTTGTCCAGGTGGTCATCGGGCTTGATCGTCGTGTCTTGAAGCAAAAGGATCCAGCAAACGGCGGCCTTTTGGCCGGATACCCCCGGTCACGGGCCAGCTCTCATGCATATCCTCCTGGCTGTCTGGCTCGTCATACTGTCACGCTGAGCCTGAAGCTTGTCAGCAAGTAGAGAAATGCATGGACTAGAACTTACGTGGTTCAAGAATCTCGGAGGTGTTCAGTAAGGGTCATTGCTCCAGGTCACCATCCCTCTTGCGAAGGGTACTTCCAGCGTGTAGGCGAATTCTTCGGCCCTGCCGAAGGATCCATTCCGTTTTTCATCCATCTTGTACAACAAGTGGTCTCTTGTTCTTATGTCAGCCCCTCAATACATGAGTGTCAAAATCTACACACCAGCTGATCTACGTGACTCGCTGCCCGCGAATGTCTCCATTGGGCATTACGACGGTCATGATGGGAGGAGATATACTTGGACAAAAAATCTGCACGTGGGTAAGTGGACTCGAATTATTACTCTGTAGACGAATGGCATGAATAAGACCTCCTTTGCCATGCCTCGGCAGCATGGAACATGCCACCGTGGTTGCGCCACCAGTGGGACAAGGTGACCAAGGGCGATTGCAATGTGCTTATGCAGTTGGTTGATTTAGCAGCTGAATGACCGAACAACAGTTCAGTGTGCATTCTGCATAGAGGAAATGGAAGACAGTAGCAAAATCTTGGGATAACTTTCCGGTCTCTCTACTTTTGCTCAGACATTCCATCTTTGGATCACGTCACAGTAATCAAAAGCCGTCGTTTTCGTCATAAACATGTCGTAGATTATGCTATAGACTCAAATGGATCCTATGCCTCTCGGCAAAACTCCTGTGCACCTTTCTCATTGGCTGTCATTTGCTTTCATGTCCCATCGTAACGCATGGCTGACTAGTTAATTCTTGGGTTCCCTTGCAATTTGCATGTCCAACACCTTCTGGAGTTGGCCGGGTGGAGCATCCTCCCTCTCCATGACGACCTCGATCATGGACAATCCCACCGTGTTATTCACCTTGTCATTGTCCAAGATCATCTTCAGCTCCGCCCAGGTCTTGGCGGAGGCTGTGTAGGTGTCTTTTGGGGCACCGAAGAAGCTTGGTGCTTCGAGGTATCGCCACCTGGCAACATCGTTGTACCCTTGCTTCCTGCCGTGGATAAATCTCTCAATCGAGTAGCCATCATTGTTGATCAACACGATGACGATGTCAAGGTCGTGCTTGATCATGGTTGACATTTCCTGCGCAGTCATCTGAAAACTACCGTCGCCAATGAACAGAATAGTCTTGGCTTTTTTCATCCCGTGCCATTTTGATGACGCGATGAGCTCCTTTTGCGCGAGTGCAGCGCCCTGAGCAGCTGGGAGCATGTAGCCAATAGACAACCATGTGACATGGCTGAAGACGCGGCAGTGTTTCTGCATTGGCATCAGGCGGACGCCAAATCCAGGTGTGCCGGTTTCTCCCATTACGATGTCGCCGGGTTGAATGAGATTCGCCAACATCTTCCATACCTTGTCTTGCTTGATGATATCATCGCCAGGGGCTGACGATGGGGCAAGAAGCTCATACTTTGGTAGCTCAGGGAAAGGGTCATAGGATTTGATCTTTGACAGATCTAGTTCCTTAAGCAGACGGGCTAGGACCAACTTGGCAGAAACATCTCGATACAGGTCGGGGCCAATCTTGATGCCAGCGGCGGTGAACTCAATTGTCTCTTTGCTTTGCGGAATGCTGTTCCACATGTAGGTATTGGTGCCGCTATAGTGAGGACCAAAGCATAGCGCCAAATCGGCCTCATTCACGAAGTCATGTGTGGGCTTGGCTCCCCATTGCCCCTGATAGACGCCGACAAAGTTGGACTCTGTCTCATCCATCAATCCCTTGCCGAAGGGGGACGTCAGGGTGGGCCATTTCGTTGTTGACACAAACTGCTGTACGGCATCGACAATGCGAAGAGGTCTGGTCTCGCCATCGACGTAAATTATGGGTTGCTTGGCGGCTTCAAGTTTGCTCGTCACCTTGGCAACGACCTCATCCAGGTCTGTGGTGGGCACCGGCTCCGGGACCAAGATTGGCGTCCGCAGTCTGTCACCGGAGACAATGGCATCAACCATGTCCATTGGGAGCTCAAGATACACGGGGCGACAATGCAGAAGACATTTGGCCAGAACGTCATCAACTTGCTGCGCACTCGTCAAGGGGTCCCACAGTCGAGTCTGGGCGATGGTAACCTGTGCATGCATCTGCGAGAACCGCCTGAACTCGCCATCATTCAACGTGTGGTGCATCAGGGTGCGCGCTTCTTGAGTTTGCCGGGCCGGCGTGCCAACAATATGGACGACAGGGGCAAACTCTGCATAGGCACCGGCAATGGCGTTGATCGCAGACAACTCTCCCACACCAAAGGTGGTGACAATAGCGCCGAGTCCCTTGATCCTGGAATAGCCATCGGCAGCGTAGGCGGCATTTAGCTCGTTGGCGTTGCCAACCCAGTTGAGTCCTGAGGGCACCACGTGGTCCAGCATGGTCAAGTTGAAGTCGCCCGGGACGCCATGGACTGACTCGACGCCAAGTTGGCGTAGCCGAGTGAAAAGATACTCTGCAAGCTTGACAGTCGCCATGGTAAGACAAAAGAAAACAAATTTTGTTGCGCTGGGCTGTGGTCGGGTTTAGGCGTCGGCAACTTGATGCTTGGTGCCAACGCGAAGTTGTAAGAGTCAAGATGGACTTGAACGCACAAATGGAGTTTGACGTGTAGAGGAGAGGATCCACTGCCCAATCGGTCTCTCTCGCTCCTTCTCTTTTTAACGTGCTTATTTGCCGGCCCGGCTTGCACCGGGCCTATTTCGGAATTTAGCCGCTGCCCATTGGCCAGATTTGCCCCCGTTGACGATCCACTTCGGCTTTAACGCAGACAAAGGAAAGCATGTACTCCGTACATGTTGCCAAAGCGAAGCAAGATGTCGTGCTTCGTAAGCGGTAGGGAGCCTCTTCCGGTTACGACTGCTAACGTCTTTTTCTGGCCGCCCCTTGTCGTCTGCCGCGCTTGGCGAAATTTCACGTCCGTGGCGGAGGCGGAGGCGGAACCAGCGTGCCGGTGCGCCTTTCTTGGCTCAGAGCGGGGTGCGACCTGATTATTCCCGTCAGTCACTTACTGACCGACGTCGGACTGTGTTTTAACTCTTCGACCTTGTTGGGCAAGTGCGTAGGTGTGCAACCCGTCTTGCACCACCGGCAAGTGCACCCCAGTCCCGAGTACTACCTACATCCGCTCCTCCACTAAAGGGCCGAACGACGGTGGGGCAACTCACGTCCGAGCCACGTGACCCGGCAACTCGGGCAAGAACCTCGGAGCCAGCCCCCGTGAATCTCTGTGCGTCTTTTGGCAGAATCTGTAGTTACTTGCTGCACATCTTGCTGATTCAGTTTAGATGTCTTTCTTGCTTCATAGCAGGACATTAGATTCTCTTAAAATCCATAATGCAGCTGTAATTCTTCCAGTAAGCCAGGTTATGTATGTGTCCTAGCTTCGGAACAATACGTCGGCTGTTTATACGCATCAGCTTCACCTAGCGACAAATACCCTGAGACATCGACAGATGCGTGAAGAATCAGGTGCCTATATTTAGACATGATCACTTGTCCTCTCTCACAGGTCGTAGCGCTTAACAAGGCCATGTGTTCTGCAACAGTTCAACACATCTCCAACACATCTCGAAACTAGGCAAAACAGACCAGGAGAATGAGGGAACCTAGTCCATATGTGCAGGGTTAGGGTTATGCAGGACTGCAACTGATGTCGTTTCGCAACCCAACATCTACCATGTACCCTGTAGCTCAGGCTCTGCTGGCATTCAAATCATTTCACGTTATGGAAAGGCGCGAGAAAAGGTTCGCATTTGCAGCAGTGTGCCGTGACTCGATGCACAGAGTCGTTGTGTATCGAGAATATTCAATATATCCGAGGACGTGCAACGAGACGGCAAGGCATCACTCGTGGCACGATAAATCAATTTTTCATCCGTTTCATAACCGCAGAGAAATAAAGTACCGAGTCTTTTGAAAACGAGGCAACAAGCAGCACAGCCGTCTTCGTGGCCCAGGTGAGCGACGCTGCAGCAGCACAAGGGAATGCTCCGCAGCTGTCACTGCAATTCCGACCTACAATTATACATGCGCCGTAATTTTCTGGTGACACAAGCAAGGCTCTGCATATTTCGACGTTCAACTTGAAGTATACCACCACTACCGATGACGCACCGGGCAATCTTCCAATGGGGAATCAGCGACGAGGTATCGGCCAAAGGGGTTCCCAGAATCATGACATTCACGAAACATCCACGCCGCGCAACTGGCCGCCCGATACAACGACCAGATGGCGTGCCTGGCTTCTCCAAGCCATCCAACCTACTCAACTCGGATGTATCTATAAGGCTTGGCCGTGTACGGACCATCCTTCCAGCCAACAGGACGCTTGTAGGCAACGCAGCCAGCACCGCCCCTGCACTCAAGCGTGTTGTACGAGCTCCTGGAAGCGTCGGCCCACGAGTGGAAAAGCGTGACGTGGCCGGCAGCACCGCCGGTCCCGGGCCCAAGCGTGCCAACCAAGTCGCCGGGCTGAAGCTCAGCCCAGGAGATGGGCTTGCAGATTTCGGGAAGGGTCACGGTGCTGTAGCCGGGAGGCGTGGCGTGGAGGGCCATGGTGACGAAGCCGGAGCAGTCGGTCCTGTAGCGCGTGCCCTGCTGGTCGGGGTAAGTCGCGTCCATGGAGTACGGGACGTGCTTGGAGACCCAGTACTGGCCGCGGGCTATGATGTCCTGACGGCTGATTTTGGCGTTGATGGCGCCGCCCGCGCCGCGGCACTGGCCGGTGACCATGCCGCTTGTGCCCGTCTTGACGTAGTAGTCGGCGACGAAGCAGCCGTCGGTGGTCTTGTCCCAGAGAGAGTCGCCGTTGATGTTTTGCCCGGCCGTCTGGCACTCGAGCTTGACTTGGTGGCCCTTGTTGTAGGTTCGCAGGACCTTGTCGCTGGTCGAAGGCCCGGCGCGACAGTTGACGCCGTCGGCCTCGATGGCGTAGGCGCTGGCTGGCGCGGCGGCGGCGGCGACGAGAAGGGCTAGTTCTGGAAACTTCATGATGGGGACTCGGGGAGGTCGGGGGAGGAAGAGATGGTGGTTGACTCGTGGTGGTCTGAGAACGGAGAATTGGGTGGTGAGATGGATGCTGTCTCTGCCCGAGCGTGTTTGCGTTGATGACGGGAGCTTTGCAAATGTGAATCCCCGGGCTTCTTTTGTACTTTTCATCTCCTCATCGGAATATTCAAATCATGATCGTCGCCACCCCTGGTAAGCCACGTTGCTCAGCTACAAGGCTGTCCCTGCATGTGCCCCGGAAGCTCAAGTTGACACCTGAGCAACGTTTGGCCATGACTCCTTGTAGACGATTCCCGGCTTCAGAGCCATCCTAATAGTACGGAGTAATACGGGGCAATTTGGGGGTGTGCTGACATGTCGTGGCGTTGTCTGATTGGGCTTATTCACACTTGACATTTCGCGAATCTGGATCTAAGAGGAAGCGGGACGGTGGTGGCTGGTCTAATTTCGACACTGCATTAGGGCAAAGCCAGACTGCCCGCACGGAGAAGCGGCATTGCTTTATTAGCTTGGCATACGACTAGAGTCCTGGGGGCACGTTTTCAGGTCAAAGAAGGACAGTCGGGCTAACGGCCTACCGCTTTCCTTATCAACCCGCAGCAACCATGGACCTTGAAGACACCGAAGCCGATTGTCGAATTTGCGCTGACTATGCGTATTCCGAGCCCAAAATCACGGCCCTAGTCACAACAGCGTACAGCACGCCTGACAATGGGTATGGAGTATTAATCGGGAGATGACGAAGTCAAAATATCGAGCTCAAGGAATGCTAAAGATATTCGAGCTATGACAAGGAGTGGGAAGTAGACCATTCATGTGGCCATGCGCACGGTTCACGTAAACAAAAACTGAAGTCATGATCGAGACACAAGTTTAGACGAACCATCTTCAGACAGAAATGACTATCCTAAAACCTGAGGGTCGACTGCGTGTGAGTACGCGACACAAAGAACTGTCATGAATGAATCATGTAGCTGAAATGGTTTCATCTTCTCATCGAGAATGCTTTGAGGCTATTCCTGCTGCTGCTAATTGCGTCTTCTCCTGTCTTACTACGCGCTTTAATGAAGTTGGTGGGACTAGAAGCATTTCGACATGTTTCAATAAACGACGGTCGAGACTCGACAAATCTAAGGAGAGAACCCGACATGTTGGCAACGTTTGGCATCTGAAAATAACCTACCTCAGGGCGGCCTAAGCCCATTCGATGGCTAATCTCGCGCGCTCCAGATGCTGCTGTGGTGCTGAAGGCCAGTTTGATTTTCCCGCTTTGGAACAGGGCAGGGCCCGGAGTCTTGCTGCGGAAATAATATTGGCCAGCTTCCACGGCCAGGTGGCTGTGGGAGCTGGCTCGAGACGCGCAGCCACGACGTTGCATATTTCTGTTGTGTCAACAGAGCTGCATTGGCTCATGTATCGTTGCAGACCCAACTAGGAAATATAAACGGGTGTCCTTCTGTTGCATCTGCTAGACTGCTGCATGTAAGCATCTGGGGTAAAAAACAGCGCTTGGAGAAGACGTCACCCTTCCTTCTACCCTCAGTCTCATGCACCGTCATGATGGCTGCTGAAAATAGACCAGTGCATGTCCGGCCGTTTCCATCACTACAGCGGACTATCTCTTGGGTCGGTATCTCCCCAATCCGCCCCCCATCGACGCGCCAAAACCGCCTTTGCACCCGCGCGCTCGAGTCGCGACGCATCCCACAGGACATGTCCCCAGCGACGAATGACGTCTTGCACGTAGTACCCGTACAGATTGCTGTAGGTTCCCTTCCAAATTAGCGTTCAAGCCAGGGGCGGTCGCAGTTCGTCCGTAACTGGATCCCTCTCGCCCGTGAAGGGTAGCAGTTCACGGTGCTCCTGCTTCTGGTCGCGGTTTGACAGCCCTTCTTGGAGCCGTTGGAACTGCGTTGTCTCGTACACTGCATCCTCAAGAAAGTCACCTGCTGGCCACACAATATGCTCTTGCATAGTCGAGACGAGATGTGCGTGGTCACTGAAAGAGATTGCACGATAGCTGAAAGCGATATAATCCTCGAACCAAGCGCTGCTCTTCCGTCGTGCTAAGCGATTCGTGGCTCAAAGCTTCTCCGGTCTCGCTTGCGAGGTTGGACAACGCCCAAGCGGAGTAGTGTCGTGCGAGGGTTTGATAGTGGATGAGAAGAATACGACCATGCTCACGGCGTCCTGCTCGGCGAGTATTTCGGCCAGGTTCAAACATTGTATAGATGAGCGCCGGCGCTGATAGGAGTTGAGGAACTCAGCGACTCTTTAACGTGTACGCGAGTTGGAGAAATCGGCAGAGCTGGACTGATAGACGGCAAAGGCGTCAACAACGGCGCCATACAAGGTCGTCTCCAAGCATTTGCAGAGCAGATACCGGCGATCTCGCAGGTACTGCCGGTGGAGGACCGAAGATGCCAAGACCAAAGCACGCAACTCTTCGAACTTGAGTGTGGAAAGGAGCTGACGCCGGATTTCAGCAGGGAGACTTTCCAGCGGCGCATTGAATTGTGACCCCTCGGGCACAGATGCCGGCACCGAGCTTCTTGGGGCGACGACAGTACGCGACGGACTCGAATTGATAGTTGTCACAGATGCAGCGGTATCTGGTGAGCGCGCTTTAGAAAGCCTGAGGTAATGCTTGAGCTTGGAGAGGGCTCGTTTCGTTCTGGAGACTTGTCGCTTGGGGAGCCAGTCTGACACGATGAGGTGAGAAGCCTTGCTTTGCTAGTGGTTGATTGTGTCAGTAAGTGGGGCCCAATACGGTCGCACATTAGCTTGCATCTGCAAACGCTGCTACTACGATTTTCCGATTTTCTGATTTTTAGATTTTTTAAAAGTATAGAGTTATATAGAAAAAATTCCTTCTACCTTAATATATAAATTAAACTTTACACTATAATTATTCTAGATTTATATTAAAACTAGTTCTATATTATTTCTAAATTATTTCTAAATTATTTCTAGATTATTTTAAAATTAATTCTGAATTAATTCTAAATTATTTTCTACTTTAATATACTAAGACTATATAAATAGCTTAAAAGTCTTAGAGAGACTATTTAATAATCTCTTTAGTATAGTATATTTTATAGAGATATTTTATCTTAAGTTAATAAGCTTCTTAATAAATAAAATAAAGATACTATTAGCCTTTAAATATTATAATACTAGCTTTTAGCTTAGAGGCTTTTAAGTATTTCTAAAGTATATATAAAAAGCTTAGAGCCTTTATATAAAGAGATTTTAAAACTATTTATATAAAAAATACTAATTAAATTAATTTACTACTTTATTAATAAAATTCTTTAGCAATATAATTAGTAACTAGTAAGCTTATATATACTAGAGATATAGCTTTCTTACTAGAGATTAATATAGCAGTAAAATATATAAATTATAAATTAACTTATTAAGTATTTATAGATTTAGTTATAAATATCTTTACTACTATATATAATAAAAAGCATAAGTACTAATCTTATAAAATTAGCTTTATAACTTCTATTAAACTATTTTCCTAGAGGAAGTTTAACGCTAAAGAGAAAGCAATATATAGTATTATACTAACTTTTAAGTACTTAGGCTAAATTTCCTATAGTGCCTAGATAGATATAAGAAACTTAAGAAATATAGCATTTAAATATATATATATATTAATATATACTTATATTATATTATTTAGTTTTACTATAGTTACTTTACTATAACTACACTAAGTATACTTAAGTAGTATTTATCTATAGTTTAATGCCTTAGAATATAGCTATTCTTTATAAAATTAAATTATAGTATTAAGACTTCTTTATAAATAGTAGTATAAGTAATACTAGTATTTACTAGAACTAGTTTAGTTTTCTATTATAATATAAATAGAAATTAGTTCTTACTTATATAAAGAGATTAAATTGCTTTATACTATATATATAGTTCTAGTAAATAAAACATTAGAATTAAAAGCTAGTAGTATTACCTCTATATAAGTGCTTCTAACTAATAGATATTTTTCTTCTATAAATTAGCTAAGTATACTTTATTTATTAAAGGCAATATTAAAGACTAAATTACTCTTTATATAGTATATATACTTTTTATTTAAGATAAGTTTACTAACTTTATTACTTTATAAAATAGCTATAAAATTTATATATAAAGAAATTATTAGTATATTAAATCTAGAATTTCTATAGACTTATATTATATATAAAATGCTCTAAACTAGAGCATTCTACTAAGTTCTAATAATAATATAGCTAATTAATAAGCTCTATATAATATACTTATACTACTTTATAGAATTAATATTAAATTATTTCTTACTAAAATTACAAATAAATAGTATATAAAATAGCTAGAAAAGCTAGGATATTTTAATTATAAGCTTAATAATTATACTTAGCTTTATATATTAGTCTACCTTTTGCTGTAAAATTAAATTTAGAATTATTTTAAAACTAGTTTAAAACTAGTTTTAGAACTAAGTCTAATTCTATATAGAGAAGCTTAAATATATATATAGTAATATTAATCTACTAATTTATATATATACTAATTATCTATAGTACTAACTTCTTTAAGATAATTTTAAGCTATATATAAAATTTAATCTTTAAGGCAATAGTAATTTACTTCTATAAGACCTCTAAAGGCAAATATAAGACTTCTAGAATAAAGAAATTAATAGTAGCTAGCGCTTTTATCTCTTCTAAATAAGTTGCTATCTCTCTAAGCTATAAGTATAACTTATAGAACCTTCTATTAAAGAAGACTCTACTTGCTCTTTAAGCTATATAGTATTATTAGCTATAAAGCTTATAAAAGGTAAATTATTAAAGCTTATTAAACTACTCTACTTAATTAAGTAAATTAGTAAAGCTAATAACTTTATATTTAGAGAGAGTATTATAGTTAAAAGTAAATTAAATATACTTAAAGTTAGTAATTATAGTAAATTAAATTAAGTCTTATTTATATTTTCTTATTATAAATATAGAAAATAGAAATATATCTAAACTAATATATAGCTATTTTTAATATTCTATTTATATACCTTTTCCTCTTATTATATACATATAGGTCTAATGTGTATTTAAAGCGTACTTAATAAGGCACCGACACAGTGCCTTGTACCTACTTAAGCCTACAGCTTGAGTTTATTACAGTAAATTAAATTAAGTCTTATTTATATCCTCTTATTGTAAATATAGAAAATAGAAATATATTTAAACTAATATATAGCTATCTTTAATATTCTATTTATGTATATTATTCTTATAAAATAAGTTAAAGACTATATATAATATAGTATATATTTAAGGAGTAAGTTGCTTATAATGCCTTATTAGCTCTAGCTTAAAAGTTCTTTCTAAAGTTGCTTATATAATTTTATTTTATTTATATAAATAGAATATAGTAAGAATATTATTAAGCTTTTATTTATCTTAATAAATTAGAACTAGACTAAGACTACTATAAATCTAGTTCTAAATTAATTTTAATTAGAACTACTTAGAAGGTGCTATAGTAGAGACAAAATTAAGTATTTAAATATTAACTTTAAATCTTATTATATATGTTAAAAAAAGTAAAGTAAAAAAAGTAAAGGAAAAAAAATAAAGGAAAAAAAAATAAAAAAAACAAAAGAAAAATAAAAAATAAAAGAAAAACAAAAAATAAAAGAAAAATAAAAAATAAAAGAAAAATAAAAAATAAAAGAAAAATAAAAAACAAAAAATAAACTAACTAAACTAATTAAACTAATAAAAATATTTCTAAACTTTATAAAACTAGTTAAAGCAAGGGGGGGGGCATTCTATAGCTATTAGTATAAATTATTTCTAATTTAATTTTAATCTTAACTAACTTACTATATAAAATAAATATATAAATATTATAAGCTATATTAAGCCTCTAGAAACCTACTATATAGCGCATCTTAGTAATTATAAAAAGGCTATCTTTATAGTATAGTAGCTATATAGTAAAGAGTATATTATTTAGTAATATACTAAGTAAATTCTATTAGCTAGAATTAGTTCTTCTTAACTAGTTTATTTATTTAGTAAGCAGTTTATACTATTTTTATATTTTTATTTTTATTCTTAACTTTATTTTTATCTTTATTCTTATCCTTGTCCTTTTTATCCTTAGAAAGAGAGAGAGAGGGGGAGGAGCTTAGGGGCGGGGGCAGGGGCGACGGCAATAACGACAATAACAACAACAATAGCGGCGGCGGCGGCAGCAACAGCGACGATAATAACGACGACGACGATTGTAGCGGCGGCGGCGGCGACAGCAACAACGACGACGACAATGGCGAGGGCGAGGGCGGGGGCGAGGGCGAGAGCAAGGGCGAGGGCGACTGGGCAGGCGGCTTGGCGGCATTCTATTAAAATTAGTTCTAATCCCTTTTCTAATTACTTTATAAGTAGTTTAAGCAGTATATATACTATTCTTAGTTAGCAGTATATAGCAGCTGCTGCTTTAGTATTAGCAGCAGCAGCTCTATTATATACAGTTTAAACTGCAGCATTAGCAGCAGCAATAGCAGCAGTAGTTAGCAGCATAAAAGCAGAAATAGAAATTGCCTTAGAAGGCATTACGCCTTGCTATATAGGCTTATATAGTATTTATAATAGCGCTTAGCTATTAATATAGTCTAGATACTATTCTATATAAAATAAATATTAATTATTATATAACTAGTTTTAAACTATTTTCTATAGCAACTTATAAGCTAAGTTATTATTTAATTACTCTTTATTATTTCTAAAGTAGTGCTTCTCTAAGTTAATTTTATAAAATTAAATATAATAGTTTTAAAGTAATAACTTAGTTATATATTACTATATTTATAAGAAATAAATAAGAATTAATTTATATATATATCTAGTTAGTATTATACTTAATTATATAGCTAATTATATAGTATAGTATTTACTTTAAAATAGCAAAATAGTTCTCTAGGGAATAAAATTAGCTAGCTATTTTAAAATTATTTCTAAGTTAGTTTTAATTATTACTTTTATTATTTCTACTAAAGAAGACTTATAATATTAAATTTTAACTTAGAGATAAGCTTATTAGTAAGTTGCTCTCTTAAGTTTAAATATTACTAGTATTATAGTAATAACTTATATTTATAAAATATTTTTTTTTTAAGTAGTATAAACTAATTTAGAAATAATTTAATAAGATAATAAAAGTAGTTTAAGTTTATAGAAGGAAAAAAAGAGATATAAAGGTTAAGAAAGATAGATCTTACTTAAATAATAAAAATATAGTAGCTAGGCATTTACTTTTATATTAATTTATATATTATAAGATAAAATTACAAAATAATATATATATTTATAGAGAGTATAAGTAAATATATAAGTTTAAGTAAGTATTTTATATAATATTAAAGTTAATAATAATTATAAAGATATATATAGCAATTAACTATAATTGTAAAGATGTATGCAGCAATTAACTATAATTGCAAAGACGTGCGCAGCGCTGCAGCAAATCGGCGGAATACAAATCAGGAAAATCGTAGTAGCAGCGTTTGCGGATGCGAGCTAATGTGCGACCGCATCGCACCTAATGCAGCACGGCAACAGAGGTGCCTGGCGACTTGTAACCAATACCAGCGCGGGCTAAAACTCTGGTACCGTGCCCCTGGGCGTATGTACCAGACCGTTCAGCTGCACTGGGCATTCTGCTCGGGAGCTACAAGCACCTGGGTACCCAACTTTAAGCAAGTACTCAAGTACATGGGAAGTATACAGGGAAGCGACCTGGCTCTGCAAACTTCTAATGGAAGTGTCAGGACGCCGCTGCTGAACGCCACTGGTGCTGGGCTGACCAAGCCATCGGTACACATTCGTCCACGCCCGAGGCCGCCTCTTATTCTTCTTCTTATTGTCAGCTTCGGGGAAGCCGAAAGGCAGACGACGAGCATGTGTCACACTCCAAACCACCATGGCTGACGCTCAATCTGCAAACGGATCGAGAGGTGAGTTTGGGTATAAATCAACATGTACATCTTTCTCCAACAGCACCGTCAGTCATTCTACCAGAAAAATAACGTCGTCTGCAACCACAGATCCAACCAAGACCTCGAAATGCCCAACCTTACTATCAAGTCAGCATTCATCGCCATGGGCATGGCGCTCAACGCTGCGGCTGTTCCTCAGTGTGCTACCCATGCCGACAGTCTTCCCGGCCACATGTACGAGTCCAACAACCATACTGGCTTGGGCAATACCGAAAATGAAGGTACCCGTCTTCGGACGAAGCATCGTCATAGGCTTCGCCCCCGGCCTGGCAATTTTAGCATCTAGAGGTACACGTTACAACGTCAACAAGAGCCGTGGAGCTCGGCGTAGTCATCATGGCTGCTTAGGTGTCACACACATAGATCGCCTCAACCACCAAAGCCGGCCAACACAGATCACGCAACATGATGACGAGGACGAGGGCCAGCTCGCAAACACAACAAAGAGGCGTCGATGCCTCAGGATACTAGGGTACAGTGCTCATGTATATACAGAGAGAGGCCTCGAAGCTCAGGTTCCCAAGATTGAGTCAACAACTTGGATAGCCCGGGAGCCGATTATCAGCTTGAATAGAGTGAATCCAAGCCGTTCCCGGCCGGCAGCAGCCCAGTCAACACCGGCCCTTTTCGCATTCGACGTGCCAGATCTTCATGACGCCAACTCAACGGCAGTTTCCCCCACCAACAGGGTTAAACTCATCGACAATGGAGACGAGTCCGTCGACCATGGCCTGCGCCGTCGCCGTGCCCATGATGTGAGTATTGCTGTTGAGCTCAAAGCATAGCCTGCGGCCCCGAGTTTGAGACACCATGTGTATTGATGTCGGCACAAGATGGGGGTTCTCAAAAAACCGCACCTGCGATGTGCCGGCCGCAGACTGAACCTGCGGATTCTCGTCAATATTCTGGTGTTGGATGGTCGACTCAAACGCCGAGCCGGGCGGCCAGTCGGTGCATTCCTTGATGATGTCCCGGTAGCCGAGGGAGTCGGCCTCCCCGACGGCAAGGAACTGTTCTTGAACGAATGACAGCAGCTCGGCTGGCGCCGGGGTCGACTGGAAACCGACTCGCACGGGAATGAAGTTGAGGCAGCACCCTACCGCCTTGTCAATGCCTGCAATTGCCGAGTTTCGCCCTGCAACCAAATGCCCGTAGACAACGTCGTGTTGCCCGGTCATGCGCGACAGAAGCAGTGCCCAGGCGGCGCTGGCCAGGGTAGCTGGAGTTGTGTTCCCCGGAAGGGGAGGGAGATTTGTCTCGGCGCGAATGTAAATTGCCGCGGGCTGCGGCGCGAGGACATCCCTCTGCGGGAAGACGCGTTTCCGCAGAGTACCGGGCCGTGATCCTTGCAGAAGTTTTGTCCAGTACTCGATGGACTTTGACCGTCTGGAGGAGGCATGCGACAGCAGCGCAGAAAAGCTTGGTGGAGGAGGAGTGGTTATGTCGGCATTGATAAACGACTCGATGATTGTGGGCAGGCAAACGCCGTCGTACTGGGCATGGGACATGCGAATTATCAGTCGCCCGCCATGGTTCTTGTGCCTGAGGAGGACGAGCGCAACCGGGGGCTCGGCGGCGGAGGCCTTGTGAGCATCCTCGAGACAAAAGTTTGCGAGGGCCACGTCGAGATCCTCACTGACGTCTTGTACGCGCAAAGGATGCTGGATTTGATGGAGCACGACTTGCCAGAACCGCCCTTGAAGCCGCATGAAGCACGCGCGAAGAATAGGAAACTTGTCAAGGGTTCGAGTGCAAGCTTTGTGCAAAGCAGAGACGTCGGGGTTGGCGTGCAGATCTACATAGACGTAATTTGCAAAGCGTCCACATGTAGTACCGCCGCCTGTCTTGTCTTGTTTGACGCACATGACGGGGTAGATACCCTCGACAAAACACCTTTCTTGGACACAGGTTGCTGGTAGAATATCGACAATGTCTTCACGATGGATGTTCAGGCCGAGGGAGTCAATCTCCGTCAAAAGGGTTTCTTTGGTATCTGCATCAACCAGCACAACCTGGCCAGGTTCTCGGCTGGATGCAGTTCCGTTTACATGACGCCCATTGACCAGCTCAGCTAGAGTTTCGCGGTGGAAAACGTCCGCTACGGTCATGTTGATGTGGGAATCTCGCGCCTCGCTCACTAGTCTCATGGACAAGATGGAGTCGCCGCCCAGGCGAAAGAAGTTGTCGTCCAAACCTATCACGTCGACACTGACGTTGAGCACCCTGGCCCAGATATCTCGCATCACCTTTTCCACCTCGGACCTTGGTTGTCGCTTGAGCTCGCATCTCGCTGTTCGAACGTTCTCCAACTGCATAACCGTGAATCGGGCCGCAATCTCTCGCAACTGTTTCCTATCGATGTTTCCAGTCGTTGTCATCGGCAGCTGTGGAAGGGAGAATAACAATGACGGCACCATGTAGGCTGGTAAATGCTTGGCCAACCTTCTTTCCACATCCGCTGTCATGGGAAGCAGCTCGAGGCAAGATTCTGGCCTAGGATCCTTGAACTGAACGAAGACACCAAGAAGAGGTCTCGAGGGCAGATCCGCGGACTGAGGTTCGATAACCTCGGCCGCCACATGGTCTGTCTCGGGCATGTAGTTCTGGACCCAATATTCGATCTCTCCCAACTCAATTGATTGCCCGTCAAGCATGGCCTGGGTGTCTTCTTTGCGACCAAAAAATACTAGGCTGCCATCTTGATCATAGCGAACCAAGTCGCCCGTCTTGTAGAGTCTGCCGTGCCGGCCATTCTGTTTGCCCGGAACACCCATGAGTAACCACGCTGGATCCTCGATGTACGCTGCGTCGCCATTCAATCTGTCGCCGAGATCATCGCAACCATCAAGTGGTCCTTCAAGAAGCAGTTCCCCAACGCAGCCAGGCGGCAGCAGAGAGTCATGGTTCCTGGGGTCAACCACCCACGTCAATACGCCTGCTCTCTTGCCTGTGGTTAAGACTTCCCCGACGCAATTTTCTTCTGTTCCTGACACGGCCGAGTTCCAAGTCCATATCCGCTCCAGGTCGTCTCGGGTAAGGAGGCTCTCGTTGCTGATTTTCTTATGGGGCTCACTTATGAGAGACGACACAGCAGCTCCCATAGCCTTGGCCACCCGACCAGCTTCGGCGTCCGAAATGAAACCTCCTTTAAAGGCAATGTCGATCGACAACTCGGTTTCACTGTCACCGATGCTCAACGAGATGGGGTACTAAGAGTGAAGCTTGTTAGTATCGCTGGCTTTATACCATTCAAGTGAGGGTACCGGACACGCCTACCTCTACTGGATCATTACAGGCTCGTTCCCGGATGGTATGTCCGTCTGGAGACGCAGTGGGCTGCTGCGAAAGTCGTTGAAAGCTCAGAATGGTGTTGAACAACCCAGACGAGCCTATTCCAAGAGTCTCGTGGATTTCCATGAGCGAGAATGTCTGATGGGGCAAGCTGTCAACAAAGTCCTTCTGTGCTTCCCGCAGTGTCTCGATGACCGAGCGATTCCCGCCTAGCCGTACGCGATATGGGACCATGGCAATGACGGGTCCGAACATGTCTTCCAATCTGTCGATGGGCACGTCTCGACAGGAGGCGAGGTTGCCAAAGCAAGGGTTCGCGCAGCCCGTGAAGTGATGTAGCACCACAGCCCATGCGGTCTGCATGACAGAAGCTGTCGTGACTTCCCATTTGGAACAGAAGTCGTGTATCTTGGATGCGTCGAGCCCAGGGACCGTGACTGTCACTTCTTTTACCGGCCCTGACCCTGTTGCCCCCTTGGAGCGCGGGAACAGGCACGGTTTCGCGTCTTCCAAGTATTTCGCCCAGAATGCTTGATTGGCATCGCGTGGTCGCCTTTCGGCGTATCTGATGAAGTCGCCGAACGAGGGGGCATCCGGCAAGAGCGTACCACTGTAGGCTTGCCAGAAATCACGAAGCATCACGCCGGTGGAGTGTCCATCCAGGATGACATGATTCACCTCAAAGCATATGCGGGCGAACTTCTCGTCCTCTTTGGATATCGACAAGTGGTGCTGGAGGTCGTATTTTCCATACCGGGAGCAAGGTCCGCCGCCGGCGAGTCCATGGTCTACGCATGTTTCGGATACACACTGATCAAATGAAATGCTGGGTTTGGGGTCTTTGAGGACGACGTGCATTGTCCTACTGCTTCCGGGCACTACGTCGACCAAAATTGAACGCAGCAGCGCGTGCCGCCGCACGACGGCTTGCCAAGCGCGCTCGATCCTGACCAAGTCAATACAATCGCCAGGAGCCTCTGTGGCTCTGATCTCGAAATCGAGCACAACTCGATAGTTGTTCGAGGACTTGAGTTGGGCGACAAGAAGACCCTCTTGTAAGCCGGTACAGGGGAAAATATCTTCAATATCTTGTGCGTCCTTGAGGCCGAGTTGGCACAGCACGACAGATTGGAACTCGTCCACGTCGGCATATGACTTGAAAGCCATGGGAAAGTCCGATAGCGTCCACTCGGGCTTTCTGTTCTCAAGTAGATTTCCCAACCTCGCCAAAGCATCCTTGTAGCTTCTCACCCAAGATGCGATCAAGTCGCCGTGCCGTGCGCTGTTTGGATATTCCAGAGACACGGCCAGCCGGCCCTTGTCCACGTGGAGGTTGAATTCAAACAGGGCAAAACGGCGCAACTGTGACCACGACTCGGGGTGGCAGTTCTCTGTTACCGAGACACTTTCAAAGAGGCTTCCACATCGCTCGAGCTGCTGGTAGGAGCCAGCAAAGTTGAGTAATACCTCGACGGGGAAGCCAGCGACATTGGCTGCCGCGTTGGACTCGTTGGCGAATCTCGACGTGAAGTAGGTCCAGCCATTCTTTGACAAGCTTCTCACCGAGTCCTTGGTCCGACGTATTGTGTCCACCAAGTCCAAGGCTGCTCCGTCGGCCACGAAGGCTGGGAAAATCGTAGTAAACCAGCCAATTGTTCGAGAAAGATCAATGCGGCCGTCCCAGGGCTCTCGGCCATGCCCTTCGCTGAATATCGCAGGCAAGGGCCTGTCAGTAAAAACAGAAGAAAACGAGAAAGCAAGAGCTGCTATCATCAACTCGACCGGGCGCGTGCCAAAGGCCTCATTGCAGGCGCCTAAAATCGCGCTGCTGTGGTCTTCGTCCAGAATGAACTCGTCCGTTACAGTCGCCCCGTGGAGATTTTGGCCAAGTCCCATCTGCCAATATGACAATGACGGTGAAGTGAGGGAGCCCTGCACTTCTTCTTGAAGATGTTTCGTGGCATACTGTGCTTGAAGGGAGCACCAAGTTTGGAAGCTTGTTGTCGGGCTCGGCGATAGTTCGTGTCTCATAAGAAGACTTTCGAGTTCTTCGAGTAGAATCCGCCACGAAACAAGGTCGATAACAAGGTGGTGGATGGCGATGAATAAGGTTTGGCCCTCTGCATCGTCAAAGAGAACCGCCGCGAGAATAGGACCATTCTCAATATCGAGCCTTTCCCGACATTGGCGCATATCGTCAGATTTTGATGGGCGGGGGGAATCGGAGACAACGACTTCAGAAAGGTGAAATGACTGGCATGCATCGTCGACTACGCGTTGCTTCCATGCGTCCTTGCCGACCTGGAAGAAGCGAGCCCGGAGCATGGGATGCCTCGTGACAATCGCCTGGACAGCCTGTGACAATTCTGCAAAGGTCACGGGCCGGCAAAGCTTCAGATGAAAGGTTTGGTCAAAACATTGATTCGGATGCGGCTGCATTGCCGCATACAGTTGCTGGATCGGGCTGAGCTGGAAAGGCTGGCCATCATCCCCCTTGGCGTCAACAGCGCCACTATCTATGAGATGATGCTTTGAGGAAGCGGCAGCTGCCGCGAGCAAGGTAATCGTCTTGCTGCGCAGGATGTCTGCCGTTGAAATGTTGAGATGAAGCCCTCGCGCCGCCGCTGATGCCTGCATGGCGGTGATGGAGTCGCCGCCAAGGCGGAAGAAACTATCGTCGCAGCCAATCTTGTCCGCGGCGATGCCGAGGACACGAGACCATATTTTCTGAAGCGTCTTTTCCATCTCGGTAGCGGGGGCACGCTTGTCGCCGACAGATTCGCTTCTTAGCTGGGCAAGTTGCTGGAGCGTGAAGCCGGCTCCCAGTTCGCGTAGACGACGTCGATCTACCTTGCCTGAGCTGTTTGTCGGGAGTTGACGAAGAGAAAAGTAGACCGTGGGAACCATGTAGGCCGGCAAACGTCTTGCAAGCTCATGCTCAACGTCGGCCGATACGCTCATGACTTGAGCAACTGGTGATGAGGCCGTTTGATCGTCGACTACAAGAAACGCTGCCAACGCGGGCCGTCCCTGACCATTTGAGTCGGTAGGTAATATGACTTCGGCTGCTACTTGCCTTGCAGCCGGAATGCTGGCATGGAGGTGGTGCTCTACGTCTCCTAGCTCGACTCTTTGCCCGCGAATCTTGACTTGGTTGGAATCTTTGCGGCCGACAAAGACCAGGCCGCCATGCGAATTATACCGTGCTAGATCGCCCGTCTTGTACAGGCGGCCCTGACGGCCGGAATGACCAGGCGCCCCGTGAAGAAGCCAGTCTGGGTCGTGGATGAAGGCTGCGGCCGTCTGCTTGGCATCACCGAGATAGCCGCCGCCAACAAGAGGCCCTTCGAGCACCAGCTCTCCGACATCTCCGATGGGAACCAGCCTGTTTTGGTTTGACGGGTGTACTATCCACGTGTTGACGCCAACGCCTCTTCCTATGTCGGATGCTACTACATTCTCCTCGTCGATGGCCGCGACAGTCGAGATGGGGGTGCATTCGCATGGGCCGTAGCCGTTCTTCAACTGAGTTAGCCCAACCCATCTCCTGGCGTACTCCGATGGCAGAGCCTCTCCCGCGAGCATGAGCGTCTCGAGGAAGCCGATAGTCTCGAGCGGGAGAAGATTGGCGGTCGACGGTGTCAATATCGCAAATGTAGCCCGTAGTCGTCGAATAGATGCCGCCAGGTCATTTCGTCGATCCGACTCCGAAGGGATGCACAGGCACGCACCACTGGCCAGAGACTGCAAGTTGTTGAACCAGCTGATATCAAAGGCATATGAAGCAAAGTCGTATACTCTGGCAGTGGGCTCGACCCTGCAGGAGCCGCAACTACGCAGGTGATGGATGGCAGAGCTGAAGTTGGAATGAGTAATGACGGCACCTTTGGGGACCCCCGTACTCCCCGATGTGAAGGCAACATAGAGCTTGCTGGATGGCGTCACGGCCGGTAGTTGACTGGTCCCAGGTAATGACTTGAGCCTCGCCAGCAGGCTGTCGTCTACCTCGACGACATGCTGGCGGCTTAGACGGCGTGCCAGGTCTGCGTTTACCCAAGAGCACAGCATCAGGGCAGACTCGGTTTGCTGGACGATTGTACGAAGCCGCTCCTCCGGTTGCGTCGCGTCCAGGGCCACGGATGCGCCTCCGGCCTTCATGACGGCGAGCATCGCAACCGGCGTCCAGCGAGACTTTTCAAAGCATAGAGGCACTATTTGCTCTGGCTCAAGCCCAAGACTGACGAGATAGTGGGCTACTGCTGTCGATGCTTCGTCGAGCTCGCTGTAAGTCCACTCTCCGTCCCAGGCGCATACGGCGCACGCTTGAGGCTGGGTTTGAGCCATGTGCTGGAACCGCTCATGGACGCATTGCTCAACCGTTTCTGGAAGTTTATGGTTCCAGTGCCAGATTTGCGTGAGCTCTTCGGGAGTCACGGTCTGGACATCTGAAAGGACAAGGTCTGCGCTGGCCTCGTCTAGCTGGGCCACCACATATCCCAAGCGGTTCAGGAGTTTATTGACTCTCCACGCTTCGATCATTCTCGAGTCGAAGTGAGCCGAGACCCTGACCGTATCTGCACCGAGCTGCACGATAAGCATAAGGCCGTGTGAATCGTATCTCTCCCCTTGGCCCAGTTCGCTCCTCCACGTGCCGAGCTCGTCCGTGTTGTCGCTCGTGTCTTCCGGCTGTATCACGAGCAGCGTCTGGAACTTGCAGGCTTGCCGTGCCCCGGAGCTCAGTTCAGCCAGTTTGCGCAAGCCAATTTGCTCATATGCCATCATTCCTGTTGCTTGACGCTGTGCCGCCTCGAGGTACTCGACGGCCCTGTCTGCCTCGTTCCATTTCATACGCACTGGGACCGTCGCAAAGGTTGGCCCAGTCATCATTTCTATGTTTTCAAGCGGTGTGTTTCGGCCAAAGAGCGTAGCACCGAAAACGATATCATCCGTGTCAGTCGTCTTTCCGACCAGCAAGGCCCACGCTGCGCGTATCATGATGGGAGGAGTAATGCCTAACCGGTTGCTCTGGGGCGGCGGGAACGAATACTCGGCGGACTCGTTGGCCATGGGCTTCTCCATGTGTGGCGGAAGACTGGGAAACGGCACACACTGGCAATCTTCCAGAGCACCAAGCCAATAGTCCCTCATCGTCTTGTCGTCCCGGCTCCTGACGTACTTTACGAAAGCCTGGAACTGGGGGCCTTGTTGAAGCTCTTCATCACGGTACACCCTTCTCACCGCGTCTAGCATGAGGGGCATAGACCACCCATCGTAGAGGGCGTGGTGTATGGTCCAGACAAACCACTTGGGGATTCCCATGGCATCTTGGATCAGGGCGTAGCGAGTCAGTGGCTGGCCCAGATCCATGGGTTGTTCAATATCGGATTTGAGATAGTCGTCCAAGCAACCTGCTTCAATCCAACGTACCGGCTCGTCTACCACTATCTGAACAAGGCCAACGCGGTCGTGATGTACCAACCTGGTCCGCAGAATTGGTAAACGACGGACCACCTGCTCCCACGCCGCACAGAGCTTCTCAACTGAAGCTCTAGGCGATAACTGTAGCACGTATTGCCCGATGTAAGATCCTGGACTTACGGACGTCAAGGACATGAGACCTTCTTGCAGCGGAGTGCATGGATAAGCGTCATGTATGAATGCATCATCCTTGGTGCCGCCGGCCTGGCTCAGGTCGTACTGGGAACATATCTCGTGAAGGAGCGACTGCAAAGAGCCCTCGTCAGACAAGAGGGAAAAGGGCGCGATGACTTCGTCTGGTTTGTCGGTCAAGGACTCCTGGTGGCTGTGGTCGACCAGTTCACGCAGCACGGGATGGCGAAAAATGTCGGCTACACTGACTTTGATGCCGATCCTCCGAGCCTCGGCGACCACCTTCATGGCCGATATCGAACTACCCCCAAGGTGGAAGAAGCTGGCATCGATGCCAATTGTACAAGCATCGAGGTTCAAGACCTGCGCCCAGACCTGGAGCATTCGTCGTTGCGCTTCCGACGCCGGTTGCTGAATGGGGCCTCGTGCTGAGGTCCTGCTTTCGAGGCCTTTGACGAGTGCTAGGCGATCAATCTTACCGTTTCGGTTGAGAGGCATTCCATCCAGAATCTCGATCACTTGGGGCACCATGTACAGTGGCAGCTGAGACTTGAGCATTCCAAAGAGCTCGTATTGAATCCGTTGCGCGGGGTGTTTTCGCAATTGTCCATTGGTGAGAGACTGCTCGATATCGTCCTGATGATTCGTCTTCAGGTTATACTTCTCGTCTCCTTGAGCCTCGCTTTCATCTCCATGCTGCATTTCTCCGGCTTTGTCGCTCGGCAGGTCGACTGCAGCGTCAACATCACGCACAGTCACGAAGCTGACGATGCGAGACTCCTGGCCGTCCTCGTGTTGCAAAGCGGCAACAGCCTCGTCCACCATGGCGTGGTTGCGAAGCGTGTGCTCAATCTCCCCGAGTTCGAGTCGCTGGCCCCGGATCTTGACCTGGGCAGCTTGCTTCCGACCAACAAATCTCAAGCATCCGTCGCTCGTGTATTGCACCAAGTCACCCGTCTTGTAGAGCCTACCATGCCGCCCAGGCCTGGTCGAGGACCCGCGGAGCAGCCACTCGGGGTCTTTTATAAAGGCGGCCGCAGTTTTGGCGTCATCATTCAGATAACCTCGTCCAACGAGCGGGCCTTCCAGGAGCAGTTCGCCAGTGCATCCTGGGGGGAGCAGTGTGTTGTCATCATCCGGATCGACGATCCACGTCACGAGTCCCACGCCCTTTCCAATATGCGCCGCCTCGTCCGGGCTCCTCATGTTGTAGTTGATTGTGCTTGTCGGTGTACATTCGCAAGGACCGTATATGTGAATGACGTTGACCTTCCCCCACCATCGTCTGACATCAGAAGGATGCAAGGCCTCGCCCCCGAAAATCACAGTCTTGACCGAGGGTATCCTCTCGGGTGACAGCACCTGGGCCATGGATGGCGTGATATCAAGTATATTTGCCTCTAGTGACGCTATGCTCCGCTCCAGGTTGTCCTTGCGATCCTCGTCGCTCGGAACACACAGGCATCCACCCGTCGTCAAGGCAGAGAGCACATTGCTGACGGAAACATCGAAGCTGTACGACGCAAAGTCGAATATCCTCGCATCCCTACTCATCCCCATACACTCTGCTTGGTGGTGCAGAGCAGAAGCGGCATTTGCGTTGGTGATCAACACCCCCTTTGGCATGCCGGTGCTTCCAGACGTGAAAACGGCATAGAGAAGAGACGACGGGCTGGGTCGTCGGCGGATTTCTTGTTGCGCAGGCTGGTCAGTACTGACAGGCCCGGTTTCGGTGAAGAGGTCCCAGCTGAGGACTATCGCTTCCCGTGCTAGTCGCGAACTCATCTCGCCGTTGGAGGACGAGGATATCATGACGCTGGCTTGGAGTTGATCGAGAATGACCTGCAGGCGCTGTTCGGGCAGGGATGGATCCAGCAGAACAAAGGCGCCTCCGGCTTTGATGACTCCGAGTACTGCCACCGTCGTCCACATGGACTTTTCAAGACATAACGGCACGAGGACATCCGGTCCGACCCCCAGGAGGCAAAGTCTAGACGCTAGCTTGGCAGCGAGGTCGTCAAGCTCGCCGTAGGTAAGCTTTCCGTCCCAGGCACAGACAGCAGGGGCACGGGGTTGTGCTTGAACTCTTGCGTCGATCAAATCACCAACGCGTCGCTCCACTGATGTCGGCGCTGTGCTATTCCACTCCCAGATTTGCTCCAGATGCTCGCCAGCCGCGGCAGCGCTTGTTGACGTTGGCTTCAACTGCTCCCCGTGCGACCGGGGCTCTCGGTCCCGGTCACTTTTTGCTCCCTGATCGAGCGAGGCCGGGTTGCCATTCCTCGTTGCGGTGGACGGGCGTTCGGGAGGCCCGTTGGCGCCGTTGATGATCTCTTCTGAGAGACTCCCTGTTCGTTCTGTGTCCTTTTGCGGCGGCATCGGGACGGATGGCGCCGGAGGAGACTGAGTTGATCCATTGGCGGGCATGGTCGGCGATGCTCAGTCAGATTCACTCTGCTGATGGCGACGATGTCTCCCCGCCGTATGCAGTCTTTGTGCTGTTGCTCGACTTTCCTTTTCCTGCGCCGTTGCCCAGGGCAGGAGGGAGAAGCCTGCTTGATCAATTCAACAGTCAATTGGCGGCTCAGTCAAGGTTACGCTCCTCCTGTCTGAGGCTCTAGGCTTATACAATCGTCGCAATGTGGCATTCTACTTGTGTGGTGGCTGAACCCCGAGACACTGATTCCCTTGCATATTCCGGAATCCGTACCCAGGAACACGTCCCCGGTAACGGAGAAGCCAGCCCGAGATTCATCGTGAGAGTACGGAGTACTCGGTACCATGAGCTCTATGCCGTTGCGGTGCTGGCGAAGCGACATTGTGACCACTGGCAAGTATTGCAACAACAGCAGCAGTACGACCGCTTCGTACTATTTGCTCACCGTACGAAAGACCCCATGAGACATGCGTCGTACGAAAGGAGCGCAGTGCAGTAGTCGGATGGAGAATCATGCCTTTAAGGATCGGTATGGCTCCGTGGAACCAGCTCCGTGGTAGCTGCGGCATAGCGTTCGCTTTCGTCGGTACCGTTTATGCGCACGGAACCCAATCTGGAAGAGATGGCTAGCATCCTGCAGCCGCCATTGGCCCGTCGAGTGTGAATCTTGCGAGCTTTGGGCTCCGGGACTCCGTACTCGCGCGTATTTCGCCATGTACGGAGTCCTCTGCGGAGTACGGAGTATGACCAAAGTTGACCTATGTGTCAACCCATGCGTAGGCCGGACATGAACGAGGGACGCAGTAGCCGCTCCCGGCCACGGTCCTGTCGTCAGCGGCTACGTGGAGTGACATCGTGGCATAAGTCGTGGACCGATGAAGCACGGAACGACACCGTGGAAATCCACACGCGCACTGTGCAAAGAGATGCAAAATCCAAGCCGGTGTCAAGCAAACACTCTTCGTCCGCTTCGTCTACACACTTGTCAAGCGCGCAACTACGAAGCTGCCACGTCGTTGTGGCTCTCTTGAACATGCTGCCTTGAGCCTCGAGCAAGACATTGCCGACCGCTGGGCCTGGTACCGACATTAAGCGGCTGAAGAGCGGTGTGTCTCATGTCTCGACTCTCGACAACGCTGCTCTTCTCCGTCCATAGCGCCCCGTCATGCAGTGCAGCACTATGCAAGAGCCGACGTGATTGAGCATGATGTCGATTCTCCCTTCCGTCGGCCACTCGGGAGACTCACACGGCATGGAGCAATTACGAAGGAATACTCCATCAGTGCCCACCCCAGATGTGACGAACCGCTTGCCCTGTGCCAGACGGGCGTGCGGTATTTTGCATCCGACTTCACGTTGCCTCGACTCGGAGCTCGACTGCTGTTCCGCACAGGGCATCTCGCGAGACCTCTGTAGCGGCGCACGACCATGGGCAGCATCTCATTCAGTATAGCCGCGAGGCAGGGTATCCTCTAGGGAGCACCGTATCTTGAGCATCTGGAACTGGCCATGCCCCTTGCAAGACATGCTGGCCGCGCCAGGGAGGGAGCGTATATGAGACAGCCCGTCAACTTGAAGGAAGATGGTGTCATTGGCACGCTTTGTATAAACCTCGGCCCAAGCCGATGAGTTGCCTACGACTGTCCCATCAGTCCATCATTGGCTCTGCAGGCATTGCAACTTATCACATCAAGGCTGGTGCAGGAGCAAGCCTCTTCCCGTTGAAGAAAGATCCTTGGGAAACTAATATTCAAAGCGATGCCCGCCCCGGCACTGACGTTAGTGCAGATATGGAACCACGTTCTACATCTTGGCCCTCTCTCGCTCCTGTTGATCTTGTCCTTGCTCGCGTCTATACGGCTGGCCTACCGTCGTTACAGACCACTCCGCCACGTTCCCGGCCCCTGCATGTCCAAGATATCGGGACTCTACCTGGCCTGGTCTGATTTTCGCTATTGCCGAAACGACAAAACTCTCGAATGGCACCGCAAGTACGGCCGCATCGTCCGCATCGCCCCCAACGAGGTCTCGGTGGCCACGCTCCAAGGCACAAGAGACGTTTACGGCACGTCGCATCGGTGGCCGAAGAGCAACTATTTTGACCACTTCATGGGGTTTGGGCGGCGGTCAGTATTCGCAACGAAGCCTTATAAAGAGCACCAGGCAAAGCGGAGGCTGATCTCGGCCTTTTACCAGCCCACGACCATATACAAGTCGCCGCACATCGAACACCACGTCCAAGAGCGTGCTCAGACGCTCCTGCGCCAAGTGCAAAAGGTTGCAGAGGTCGACGTCTACAGCCTGACGGACTGGTATGCGCTCGACATCATCACCTACCTCGTCCTGGGGCCCGACCACTGCACTCGCTCGATCGAGACCGCGTGCCCTGAGCGCAGCATCCTCGCCGGTCTGAAGAAGCAGCAGTTTGTCGGGTCGTTCCGCATCCGGTACCCGACGGCCTACGACTACATCTCTCTTCTTTGCAGAGCCCTGAGCTCGAGCCTAGGCTATCTGTCTGCAGACAATGATCTCTCGTCCTGGTGTAAGCAGCGCATTTCCCAGGCAGTCAAGGGACCTGGCATGTCTGAATCCCACTGTTTGCTGCGGCACCTCTTGGAAGCGCGTGCCCGCGAGGCGACCAAGGTCCCCATCGACCAGCAGTACATTGCGGCCGAGGTCCTCGACAATATCAATGCCGCCGAGGCCACGGTTGCCGTCACGGCAACGTACTTGATCTGGAGACTGACAGGGGCTCCGGAGTGGCAGAGGAGGATACGGGACGAGCTGAAGGCCTTGCCGCCGAAGCCAGACGGGTCGGTGCCGTTCTCCGAGCTGGACAGCCGCGTGCCCTCGCTCGAAGCGTGTCTTCGCGAAGTCTATCGTCTACACCCGGCATCTAGTGGGCGAGCCGAGCGCGTAGTCCCCGAAGGTGGCCACGTCCTGTGTGGCGTCTACGTCCCGCAGGGGACTATAGTCACGACGTCCATCACGGCTCTCCATCGGGACGAGGCTATTTTCCCGGATCCCCATCGATTCCGTCCCGAGAGGTGGCTTGACGGGGACCCCTCGACGCTCAGGACGCGCGAGGCTCATCTTATTCCGTTCGGGCACGGTGCCAGAATTTGTCTAGGCAAAGCGCTCGCCACGCTGGAAATAAAAGTGCTCATTGCACACCTGTATCTGAGGTACAACACCACCATGGGGAGGTCGACGACACCGGAGTCGATGAAGCAGTGTAGCACGCATGACGCGGTGCCCAAGGGCCTTGGATGCATGGTCAAGTTCCACGATGTTGCTGAGGACGTGTACAATACCCACGGCAGCTAGCCGCATTAGACGATGGCCGCATGGAAATATGACCAGTCCAGATCCTACTTTGCACGTGTGCCATGTGTCCCTGTGTATGCCGTGCCGATGCCAGCGCGTGGCGCGGAAAACACGGTGACAGACAGCGTTACGCCCGGCTTTTCATAAGGAGCACCCGCAGCATAACCCACGCGGCTTGCAGGGGACGCCGGCAGACTGAGGAACGGACAAGGCACAGGAAAAGGCTTGGCAATGGAGCCTCATGCAACAAAAGTCGGTAAGCGTTCGGGCTCAGCGGGACGCGTCTTTTGATTTCTCAAGACCCTCGAGACCCAGCAACCACCACCACCACCACCACAACAACAACAAAACAAAACAAAACAAGACAAGACAAGGCAAGGCAAGGCAAGACAAGACAGAATGAACTACCAGCGAATGGCCATTGAAAAGGAGGCTCCGGAGGAGGTCGGAGCCGTGATCAAATACAACCTTTCCGAGAGCGCCATATCAGACCAGACGCTCGAGTCGTTGAACATCACCATCCCCCGGGACACGGTGCTGACTTACACAGAGCACAAGGGCAGCTCCAAGATTCGCTCGCTGGTCGCCCAGGCTTCGAACGGCAGCATCAGCCCCGAGGACGTGCTCGTGACGGCGGGCGCCTCGACGGCCCTCTTCGTCGTCAACACGGCCCTCCTGGGCCCCCGGGACCACGTGGTCATCACGCGTCCCAACTACGCGACCAACCTGGAGGTGCCGCGCGCCATCGGCTGCCGTGTCACCCATGTCGATCTGGAGTTCGAGTCCCAGTACCGCGTGGACCTGGCCCAGGTCGGCGCCGCCGTCCGCCCCGGCGTCACCAAGCTCATCAGCGTGTGCTCCCCCAACAACCCCACGGGCACGATGCACTCTGGATCCGAGCTCCGGGCGCTTGCGGACCTCGCCAAAGAGAAAGGATGCTACCTCGTCGTCGACGAGACGTACTCGGAGCTCAGGTACGCCTCGGGCCGGGCAGGAGAGGAGTCGATCCCGGCCGCGGCCTCGCTGGGCAGCCACGTCATTGGCGTCTCGTCCATGTCCAAGGCCTACGGGGTTCCGGGCATCCGCGTCGGCTGGCTCACCACCACCGACGCTCGTCTGCAGGAGGCGTTTCTCGCGGCCAAGGAGCAGATCAGCATCTGCGGGAGCAGCCTTGACGAGCTCTGCGCCGAGCAGATCCTCTCCCGGCGCGGCGAGATACTCCCCGCGACCATTGCCGATATGCAGAAGCGGAGGGACCGCATTGGCCGCTGGATCGCCGAGGAGAGCGAGTGGCTGGACTGGGTCGAGCCCGAGGCCGGCGTCATGTGCTTTGTCAGGATCAAGAAGGAGCCCGTGGGGGGGTTCGCGGCATTCTACAAGACATTGCTGGAGGAGCACGGGGTCTACATCGGGCGGGGGGGTTGGTTCGAGAGAGAGGACAGCTTTTTCCGGCTGGGATATGGATGGCCGACATGGCAGGAGTTGGAACATGGACTTGTCCTTATTTCCAAGGTCCTTCGGGGATGAGGGCGAGGAGGTACCGAGTACTCCGTACCGGTTCCGAAATACGGACAGAGAAAACCCACGCCGGCATGGTTTGGATGGCGGGAAACAGGACAGGCCTTCTGTCGAGAAACGATGTACAAGGATCGCCTTCGCGCTTTGCTTCACTCTACTCCGCACTCTGTTCTGCGGGGGCCGGAAATAGCTCACGTCTTTGCAAACGAAGTCATTGGTCCGTCCCGGAGTGGCTGAGATTGCGGCCGGCTTGCGGTCAGGGCCACATGCCGCACCTACTAAGTTATATATCATATATGACGAGTGAAGACTCGGTGCGGTACTCCGTACTCCTTTCCTATCCGATGGACTGCCCAACGAGCTGCATTTCTCCGTCTCCATATTGGCCAAGTCTCCGTGGACCGCGGAGCCCGGCGGCAAAAGCATGTAGCATCGACCATCGACCATGTACTCCGTGTTCCCGTGTCTACTGGCTGTCTCGGGAGATTCTGATACGTCACATCTCGCTTGACAGCCTTGCGAGCGTGGCAGAGTGCAGAGACCTGCAGGCGCTTGCGGAAACCCCAAGTTACACAACCCCGACACGACATGACACGATCTGGAACGATGGAATCCACACACTGCATTATTGCACCAACTCGACATGGTCTCACCCGCTTCAGACACCAGCCAGCGCACGTGCAGGGCCCGGCTCGTGACACAGTCTAGTCACGATCCTCGGGATGGAAAAGCAGCGCCCTCATCTCGATGCTCTCCCTAGTCGGCTCGTGCTCCGTTGACGGATCAACAAAGGAAGAGTGAGGCGTGCGCCTCGCCCTCCCGTCCTGCTTGGAGTCGTAAAACTTGATCAAGGTCACCATGTCAGGGGGCTGCCTGTAGCGAAAGTACCACTTGGTGTCCGGGTTCGCCTTGACGTTCCACCCCTCGCCCACCTGGCTCGTGTCGACGAACTTGATGGGGAAGAGGTCGCTCTCGGGCGCCGAGTGCGCGTCCGCCAGCGCCAGCGGGTCCCTGAGGATGGTCCGGATCGGACGCCAGACGCTGATCATCTGGTACCGACCCTTGAGGAGCTCGGCCGCCTCGTCGGGGAGGTGGTGGCGGACCTTGCACTCGGCCCCGTGGTACGACGAGTCGACGTGCACGCGCTTGAGCGGGCCACGGGGCTGGCCTTGCCTGGTGAAGTCCTTTGGCGCCCTGCGGACGGTGTGGTCGAAGATGAAGACGCGCGTGGCACCCGTGCTGCGACGACGGTTGGTCTGGGCTCTGTTCACTCGGGGGCTGCACACTGCGGCTTGCTTACACGTCTTTGAGCAGTTGTTCCGTCTCCGGGTAGTACACTTGTCTGATCTCCTTGTCGTCGAGGAAGTCCTTGAGCTTGCTCTCGTGGTGGTGGAACTGGAATCCGTGGCTGTCCAGCGTGTAGTCGAGCTCGTGGCCGCTGACGTCGTGGATGGTGACGGGCATGTTGACCTCGGGCCGCTCGTAGCTCTCTGGCCTCCCAATGTATATTGGGGCCTGGGGGGAGCCGTCCTCGTTCGGTTTGACAAAGGTCAGTGTGGTGTGGACATGGTGAGGGCTTTCGGGGACGGGAGCCTCGAGTCTGTCTGCCGGCAGAGAGGCATGGGAGCCGGGCGTTTGTACCGTCGCTGAAGCCATATTTCGGGGTCGGATTCCGCGGACGGCGGTGTGAGGTGGTTGATCTCAGCTTGGATGAGGACGAGGGATAACGGAGCACTGGAATTATATAACCGCCATCGTCCGGGAGCACAGGGCCCGACGCACGCAGTGGTGGCCTGTTCGGCTCGCTATGGTGATGGCGTCGTTTCTCACTCGACGACTTCTGTTCGAGCGTGGATGGAGATTGTCCGCACCGTGAGAGTCCCATCCGTCTGGCTGAGCGGCATGTAGTACGTATGCGTTTGCAAGCGCAGGTAAATGCGACCTCGTATGCAGGGATACGTTGGTCCGCGAGTATTCACCAAGTGCCAGACGAGTTCAATGCACCAAACGACGCAAAGGCGACACACTGGGTAGAATTATCTACAGGGGTGAGAAGTTGCCGCTCTTCACAGTGGTGAGCCTCCTTGTGTAATACATACTTTGGTAATTGCCCACCCACAGCTTTTAATTGTCTAGATGAATGTGTGATGGAAAACCCAGTCTCAGTCTTCCGTCTTTGGATCGTGATTCGTGCCTCGTGGGAAAATCATCATGAACAGGAACGGAGTCACCACAGCTCTCGCTTCCTACGCCTCTTTGGTACAGTAAACTAGGTCTATAACGATATTCTTTGTGAGGCTTTTTTTATTGTTATATAGCAACTATTGTTAAAATGCAACTATTATAGGGCTTAAATCTACTAGGAAAATTACACCTAGCAAGATTTAGCTCTACTATAAGGAAATCCAGCTCTACTATAAGGAAATTTAGCTTCTATAGTAGAGCTTAATAATAATAAAATATATAGGTAACTAATAAAAAGTTAAATAATATTATTAATAATATAACTATTAATAATTTACTAGGGAAAAACCTTAGATAACTGTGAATTATTGTAAAAACCTAAATATCGCTATAACACAGGATCGTTATAGACATAGTTTACTGTATTTTCCATCAACAAAGTATTCCCATTCTCCGTCTTCTTATTGGTTCGCACCGCAGATGCCCATCCTACGCACACCCACAGGCATCTACCATCGACATGGCAGTTCCCTACCCAATGATTGGCCCCCGAATCTCGGCGTGACTAGGTAAAAAGTCTCATCTCTTGTCAACGGAGACGCCTCGTCCTTTAGGAGTCGTGGCTTTGCCACCAAAGTCTGCAAAACGCCCTCGCAGGCATGTCAAGGCGTGTTCGAACATGATTCGTAAGACAATCTCACCAAGCGGCCCAGGATACATCCTCTTCCTCGGCTATCCCTCTTCCTCGGCAAGAGCTTGACGACGGGTCTTGCTGCCGGGGTCCAGGTATGGTCTCTCGCCGATCCCCACGGCACGATGGCCAGTCCGGGCACCCAGCCCGGCATAATCAAAGATGGCGGTATGATAGACCGAACGGTTATCCCAGATCGCTGCACACTGGTCAGATTCTGCCAAAATCGTATCCATGCGAGTGCTGCAACGCTCGAGTACCCACCGATGTCGTAGGGGTTCTCCCACCGATGCCGCAATTGACAGTCGTGTTCTTCGACAATCATCTGCAGGAACCAGTCGAGCAATCTCTTGCTTTCGTCCGGCGTTACGTCGTTGATGCGCTCGACGTGATTGCCCACGGCAAAAAGACTCTTCCATCCCGTGACAGGGTTGGTGCGAACGACGGGGTGGACGGCCCTCAGAGAACTGCCAACGTTGTTGGGCGACCCGCGGGGACTGGAATATAGTTGGAATCCCTTTGCAGCAGCCACGGTCGGCAGTCTGGACTGGGAGAAGTCGGCTGTCAGGCCTTCGAGGAACCTGCGGTAGGCAGGAGAAATCTTGTCGTAGATCTCGCAAGATGAGGCCCACAACGTGTCTACACGGGCAACAAACAGTCAGTATGGTAGAGCAAAGAGCCTGGAACGGGACGAGATGAGCATCGAGCACCTCCGCCGGTCTTGGGCAGCTTGATCAGCTTCAAGATGGAGTAGTCGGCGGGGTTGGGCTCGTAGCCCGTGTCTGTATGCCAGCTGTTTCGGATATCGGCAGGTCTGTTTTTCCAAAGGTCCTCTGCAGGGTTAGCGGCCTGGTCGGTGGTGATGATGTTGAGATACGGGTCCCGTTCGGGATCGAAGTTGGCCAGTGGGTGGATGTGAAGCGTTGAGGATTCCGGCTTGCCCGTCAAGCGACCCAGGCGAAGAGCCAACTCCTTCTGAAGCTCATCCGTGAGGTCGGTCTGAGCTCGGAAAAACACGACACCCCGGCGAGAGACTGTCCGGGCTCCTCGTCAGCCAGATCCGAGAGAAGGAGCAGTTCCACGGAATATGCCCACCAGTCACTGCCAAGTCTCGCAGCATCTCATCACTGTTTGCATCCCTCATCCACTCCACCACGTTGGCGTCGGGAAACTCGGTTCCAATCACGGGTGTCACATGGTAGGACTTGTAGCCATCCAAAAGCCCTCTCGGTTTCAAAGGTTTCCTAAGAGCGGAGGACTCGGTGGCGCTCCCTCGCAGGTCATGGTCCTGGGAGATGGTCATTTCGTGCCAAGCAAGTGGGAGCAAGGTGTCGGGGTAAAATAGAAGTCTTCGCCTTGACGGACCCCAAATGCAAATCCAGCCAGTGTCCGGGCCCTATTTATGCCCGGGACTATGGTATCAAGGGCGAGGAGTGAGGGGTACGCGACGTCCGAGCTGGACGGCGTCATGTCGAGTCGCATGCTTTTGCCGCTGCACTTGCAATTCCGCAATAAGGCCTTTGCTTGCGCTGTTTGCCGACCATCAGCTTGAAACAGGACCGCGGAGCCTTTGGCAAAAGGGATCGTTGCACAATGCCTTTTCCTCTCGCTTCACTGAGCCTCTGAAAAAGGCATGTAAAATTCTCTTTGAATAGTCCCATCTTGATCTTGCGTTGCGCACCTGATCTGGCCTCTTTCCCAAGCCACTCATGCCAAACCGAGACTATAACGCTAGTCTCTGGGATTCTTTCTTCACATGTGATGCGAATCGCACGCAGCTAAAGCTTCTACATCTCGCTGCCTATCGGAAATCAAAGATGGAATACGTGTTCTCGGAACTGCACAACATGTCCGAATCAACCAGGAGTATGATTGGCTCGCCCAAGGTTCAACTGCAGTTATATTTTTGTGTGCAACGGCCATCAATTTGCACATTTGACCTAGAGCTCCAAGTAGCCCAGACAATTTTCCCAATCCTCTACTTGACGTCATGTGGACAGAGATGGGAGAGATGCCATCAGATCCTACTGTGTTGCATCTATTCGCAGCCTACTGTTCGCGAATACCGAGGCGGTAGTTTCAACTAATTCGTCTGCGGAGGTCGGTCACTGTATACTTCGCGAGCTGACCAAACCAGTCCAACAAAAAAGACCACTTATCCCATCGAGACTCTGATGAAGCTGTTCAAGTCGAGCACGACGGCCATGTTGATTATTCCTTATGATGGTTGCTGCCATCGGGTCATATCCTTGCAATCAATGTCTTAATACTAAACCAAGCACCGGGAAATCGTTGACTTCTCTCACATCTAGCCACGTCGTCGTTCTTGTCGACTAGTGTCTGAGCCACTCCAATCGGAAGGGAACGAGGGTAAGTGGACAAATCGACGCAGAGTGGTTCGAACAGATTGGTCGGTAAGCTAGGCCGCAGCCGTATTCTTTCACCCATCTTTCTATTTTTCTTTTTCTTCTTCACACTTCTATGCGGTACGGATGGTAATGTAACGTCACGTCACAAGGAAGGAATAACTGACCCCCCAGCGGTTCATGATTTTATCTTCTCAAAGTATGCACTACCTCATCGAGCTTTTTCGTGAATAATTTCATCTCCTCCACGGTGTTGTAATGCAGCAAGCTTGTTCGAATAATGCCGTCATCTGTTAATCCAAGAACATCGTGGACTGTACGAGGAGACCAACAGTCGCCTGTGAGTAGCCGAAATTTTGATGTTTCATGTATCTCGTTGCCGACCCTGGCAGACGCAACTCCGTTCACGGAGAAGCTTATCAGGGAAACTCGAGTTTTGGGGTCCGAGGTCCGCGATCCATAGATAGTGTAAAGGTCCGGGTTGGCTGTCAAGTAATCGAGAATATACCTTGTGATGACCTCCTCGTGCGCAATTATGGGGCCCCAACCAACTTCGTCGGCCAAGTAACTGATGATGGGTACTAAAGCATGTTCCAGCTCGATGCAGCTGTTGCCTAGGCCCAGCTTTGCGGATAATGTGGAGGAATCAAAAAAGTAGTGGTTGAGACTGGTCAAGTAGCGCTGCTGAACATTCCGCCTGGCATAGATCTGGGCAATGTGAGGGCCAAATACTTTATACCAGCTGAAGACGTACAAGTCGACATCCAGTTGTTTGACGTCGATAGGCCGATGAGGAGCCCAGGCTACTCCGTCCACACATACCATAGCGCCCGGTATGCTATGGACGAGCTCTGCAATCTCTTTAATGGGTTCAATGGTTCCTGTGATATTTGACACGTGTCCACAGCATACAAGTCGGGTCTTGGATGACAAAAGTGGTCGGAGCGATTCCAGGGTAAGTTTCGGGTCGTTGTTATTTCCTACCCCTCTGGCCGGTGTCCACCACTTGATGGATATACCCAAACTTTTGGCCAGGGCAACCCACGCAGTTATGCCAGCCTCGTGGCAAAGAATGGATACGATGATTTCCGAGTCCGCATTGAGATTTGGGCCGAGAGAGTTGGTCAGAGTTCGCAAAAGCCCAGTCGTGGAAGGTCCAAAGGCTTGATTCCCAACTTTGATTAGCAAAAACCCAGCAGCTCAGGAGTCAGATGACGTCAAGCGAATACCGCAAGTATACCTTTAGCAAATTAATCAAAATAGTGTCCAAGGCCGGGTTTCTCTTACCAATTTCGTCAGGGTCAGCATTCATGAATGACGCAAGTTTGGCGTATTGGAGAGCACGCTCCTTGACGTCGATCTGGCTTTTGGAGTCCATTCCGCGCAAGTTCATGTGAGGGGATGACATTGTCCGTGCGATACTGCGTAGAGCCTTTTCTTAATCGAAAGGTTTCTGTCACAGCATTTCATAAGGCTCAGACAACTCACCTCTCCATGACTCCTCTATGAGCCACAGCACCGGAGCCATTGTTCAGACAGATTAAACCTTTGTTGAGACCTGGGAATTGTTTTCGAACAGTCTCGATGACAAGATTGGGGATGCGCGTCCGGATATTCATTGGCGAAAGAGTGTCGAAAGAAAGTTACGAACGGCCTAGTAAAGAGTATTATTCTAAGGCGCCGAAAGTTGTTGCGGCGGTATGTGTGACTATGGCTCGTCTCCTGACAGGTTCAATTAGACCCGAGGAGGGTTTTAAGCAAGAGCCAGCAGGTTCCACGTTAAAATACCAGGCAAGCCTCCGCTTGCCATGCCTCTTGCAAACATGACTGTGGGACTCGTCGTACGGGGTATAAGAAGACTGATATCTTGACCTGCGACCTGCGCATGTTGACCACTTTGTGATCAAATTGTGGCTTCGACCACCTTCAGCCGGCCTCGAAGTGGTAGCGCGGACACGGTGCTCGCTCCTGGTAGCAAAGAGCAACACAAACGTCAACTGTTAGCGGGGTAACGTCGGCACCGGTATCCGCCCCTTTGTGCTGCTTCTCGTCACCGCTTTAACGGGTTGCCAACGAAGCGGATTCTGATTCCGACGATGGATGGATAGGACGAGACATGGAACGAAAGTTCGAGCTCCACATGTCGCTGAAATTCCCAGAGATTCATGCCTAAGTGGGTCCGAATCGTCTTGTGCCGTGAAGATGGCAACTGAGACCGACGTTTGGATCCAATGTTGTGGCTGGCTGAGAGATACCGCGCGGCAACAAGACATTTCAGGACAGTCTCTTCAGGACTTTCCGGAGCACTCCGGACTCCTTACTCCGTACCCCAGACCCCGTATCCTCCCCCGATCGCTTTTAGCGGCAGCAGGTCCGAACAATGTTCATTGTTGAGTCTGATTGCGTCCAGGCCGGACTCCTCTTCCCCCAAATCCTGCTTCCTCCTGGATGCGCATGGAGCCGAAGTCGAAACCGCAGTTACAAGACTTGCTTGCCCAGCTTGCTCGTTTCTTGAGGGCAAACGAGTCGAGAATCTCGGCCGAGCAGGTGTCGAAGTGCTTGCAGCAGCTGTCCGCAATGGAACTGTCTGCCTTGAATCGCCTGTTTTGCCTATTGTGTCGAACCAAGGTTGGTTGGCTCATGCGGACCACGATTGCTCTCAATCCCGACGTCGACGCTGATGGTGGCCTCAGGCCCTGCAATCCAAACTCGGCAACAACAAGAGGGACGCACCTTCCCGCACGAGTGCGAGTGGGACCTTGAGCCCACCACCACCTCCCCTCACCCCGGCTGATGTCATCAACATCGGCACCAACAACCACCTACTTCAGGTCAGCAAGCCCAGGTCATCCAGGCTAGGCGATGCCTCGTCCACGGCCGGGGCCACTCTTCAGGATGACGTCTGTGCAAGGTCACCGTCGTCCACAGACCGACCTCGCGGCACTCGTCATTCTCAAGAAGGCCATCCTTGTCGCGGTCCTGACCAGGACCCAGACCGAAGAGGAGTCGTCCTCGCCTCCCACCAGGCCTCAGCCACCACTCTCCACGTCGGGGCCGATGATGACGCCTTTTGTCGAACCGGGTTGGCCACGTGCAACGAAATAAAACTTTCCCCGAGTACTAAACGACTCTTGGAGGACTGTAAGAACGATTGCGGGCAGTTCCTGCGTGCAATCAAGGAAGCTAAAGCGGCCCTCCCAACTGGGCATGGCTGGGAGGCTGCCATTGCCACCAAGAAAGAAAACGCTGATATCCGTGATCTGATGAGGATTTACCATAGGTTTGAATGCCACAATATCTACTCGCACGTCGTCGAGGCAGGATTTCATACCGGCACACATTGGATCCGGGAAATGCGCACTGTCTTGGTTAATAAGCTATGCCGGGACTTCCCCGACCGGTTTCAGAACCAAAAAATGGCTAATAAATGTTTAAACTGGGTTGATCAGGGCTGCAGGTACCGTGAGTGGACTGAAATGCTCAGTGAAACTTCGAATCTCGGATATCTCATCGCGTTGCCCGCAGAGGTGCCGCATTCAGCGTATGCCTTCTTCCAGCCACAAACATCTCAACCGGCAACTTGAGCTCACAAACATGTCACAGGTACACTTCAAGATGTACCAAAGAGCAAATGACCGCCGCGACTCTCAGATTCAAGAGCTTGGGCATCGATGAGCTTGTGGAGGATCTGGAACTTTCAAAACTGGGCAGCCACATTGCAACAAAGTTGAGGGAAATGACGGGTAAGAAGCGCAAGGACGCTGATGGTGAGTTCGCTCGCAGTGCCCTAGCATTCGTCAGTTACAATTCTTATACTGTTGGATTAGAAGAGCCAAGCCAGAACTCCCGCAAATCGCCGCGATTAACTTCAGCCTCGGGCGAATTGGCCTTCGCACCACCACCGGGCCACTTGACGACACCGCCCGAATCAACGGCACCTGGTAATGAGACTATACTGTACATGAAGTCCATTTAGCTGTCTTAACACATCTATAGGTATTAGTGATCTCTTGGATCATCCCACTCACTCTTTGGCACCACCTTTGCCGCAAGAATATTCCAGTGATCAGGACCAGGGTGTAGAGGATCACAACATGAGCGATACGATAGCGGATGGTCCTTTGGCGACATATGATCCCTTCAACAACTGTACGATCACGCCTAGTAACACGGAATTATATATGCTGACTGTGAGATTAGTCGACCTGAGCTTGCATGCGTATTCGGAGGTATTCATGAGTCAGTTCTCCGTTTTCTCGTCATGCGGCGATAAGTAGTACTAGCATGAAAACTATACGGAAAAGTTGGAGATTATATGGAGTACCTAGATGAAGTAAATGACGGATCTTTTCCCTCATTACGGTTCTTTTCGCTATTGACTATGCACTCTTGAGCGAGAAGTGCTCGGATGTTCCCCTGGTCCCATCATGCCATGTCCCACTGTCATCTGATTCTGGAGCTCGACCGGCGAGAGGCCGAGAACTTCGGCGGATATGCAGACTATTTTTATATGTTGATGTGTAAGTTTTCAGGGGTACGGTCGCAATTTGAACGGATAGTTGGAAATACTCGGCTGATTTATTGATATCGAAAGACAAAATAACACACAAACGTCAATCAACAAAGATACAATCAAGAACTCGCCGACAGTCACTAGTTGGTGGAGCCGAGATACTCCTTGCGCCCAGTGAGCATGGCACCGTGCTGCTTGGCGTCAAGACTCGCTTCTCTGAACAGAGCGTACTTTTGATTATGCCACTCCACACTATTCATCTGCTTTCCGTCATGGGTTGTAAATTTGGCATCAAACTCTGGCCGTAGGAAGTAAATGACGGAGAACTTGTCCTGGCCACTCGACTCGGGTGGAGGCACCACGCGGTGCAGAGATGAAGCCAACACACCGTCCGACAGGAAACGTAACGAATCTCCGACGTTAACAACGGCGTGTCCAGGTCTGGGCGGAATGAAAGACCATTCCTTGTCTCCGGGCAGCATGGCCTGCAGGCCATCGGACTGGGAGAAAACCACTGTCAGAGTTCCCATATCGGTATGTGCCATGTTCCCAACTTGGTCGTCGCTGCTGCCCCAGGCGAGGTACTTCAGCATAGCCATGTTTGCAGACGATGGCTTGTCCTTCCGGTGACAGTCCTTCAAGTCATGCGGAAGCCCCAAGGCTTTTGACAGGGTTGACAGGATGCAATCAGTATACTCATGAACTTGGCTCATGAATGTCTCAAACAGTGGCAAGTTTTCGTCGATAGCTTGAGGAGCGTTCATGGTATCCTCTCCAAAGATGGCATTGTTGTGAATCTGCATGGGTCGAATTAGTTCAGCTCGACCAAGGTTGCCAGACGACAAAGAGATGGCCTTTTCGTTTTCCATCCGCCACACTGAGAAGAATGGGAACACACCGAGAAACTCTCATAACCGTCCTTCTTGCCGGCGAACGGCCCGACGGAGCAGCCGACTCGTTTGTAACTGAAAAATTAAAATCTCAGTCGTATAGTCCGAGCAAAATGTAATCGGAGTGAGATTCTCAACACAGCAAAACTTACCCGAAAAGCCTTGATGGCAGATATTTCTCGGTGCTGTATTTCTCTTTTTCTTCCAGTGGTAGCCGGAATACTGATTTCCCAATAACAGCGAGATCATCGACATGTTTCAAGATGTCGCATGTGGACTCGTGGCGGAAATCAAGATAAAAGAATCCATTTTCTTTACAGGCGGACACGAGGTCGTTTGCAACGTCGACGTCGCCAGCAAGAAGCGCTGCCAGCGAGACCGATTTAAGATGTGCCTGCTTGGACGATTCGACAGAACCCATGCTCAAGAATTGTGTTGAGACGAGGTTCGTGTTGGATGTGAAGATTTCAACAAGGGGTTTCGGCTCGAAATTTCCAACATGAATCCTTTTCACCATTGTCATGAATAACAGGCCAGGTCTGGAATGCGACATGAGGTAACTTATATTGTTGGAACGGCTTTGGTGACGAGGACCAGCACACGTGAAGCACCTCCCGCAATTCGTTGCGTGTCATGCTCGTCAATTTCGGCGGCAGAAATGTGCCCACCAAAAGGGCTACCACCTCATTTGGTCATGGCTATCGGGATTGACTGCCACGTGGTTGTCGTTACTTTGTTGATAGGAGTACTGAGTCTTGCAAAACGGATTGGAAGGAAGATGCAAAAGTTCTCCCTTGCCCCTGTTTCAATTTGACCTGCTCGCCTCAATATTTTCTTTTTTCCTACATCATGTCCTTTTGGACCTGAAAGAGAAGTGGCTATATGATGCTCGTACAACCGGAAGGGGTTCAAAATTGCATGGGCTGCGGATGTAATCAATCTGTCGTTTTCAGGGGATGCTTTCACTGTCACCGCCACTCCTCTCTCGGAAAGATGTAGTCGGAGGTTTGGTATTGGACGAAGTTCTGGGTTTGCGTCATCCAAGATCCTACTTGTCAAGCTGGGCTACCTAGTTGTTGATGACGGATTATGAAACGAGCACACGAGCCACCTGAGTCGTAACAATGGCTGCAAGTAAGCTGGAAGGTTGCAAGGCACAGCACGGCTAAAGAGACCCTTGAATGGCTATATATATATATATATGTATATATATATATATATATATTCACAACTCGCATACGGGATCGCCCGTTGAGGCAGGATGAGCTGCGAGTCAACTACTCGGCTTGGCAAATACCATGTTGAAGCCCGCGATGCCGCTTCTGTGAACAAACCGGGCGTGCGAAAAAGCGAGGAAAGAAAAGCCGTCTCACCCATACAGGTTTCATGCCCAGTACAGCGAGAAGACTCGCCAATGGACGCATGATACAGCACCAAGGATCGACGATACCAATTAAAGGCAATTCAGTTCCGAGCTTGGCCTTGTTTCTCTGCAAACCCTCGGCAAGACGAGCGTCATCGGGGCAGCATAGTCGCTATACATCCTAGGCGTCCCGGTGACCAGATAAAAGACAGAATATGCCCGTTGCAACCACAGTCCAGAGCTCGATCGAGACCCTTTTCACCAGCGGCTATAGTACCCGATGAAACCCGCGATGCACGAGAAAGTGGAAATGCTCGACACAAATCACTACAACGCCTTGAGCTTGGCTCAGCCCACGAATTTCAAATCCATGTTACAGTCGGGCAAGCTCCTCTGGGGCACGGGATGCCGAATCCCTCACGAAGAGGCGGCGCGAATCGTAGCTTCGACTCCGTATCACTTTTGTTTCATAGACGCGGTAAGTTGACACTGCCTGCAACGACGTGTATCGTGAGCAAGGGGGAATAAGGACCTAACGAGCGGGAACATGTAGGAGCACACCCCCATAAACGCAACGCTTCTTGTCAACCTCATTCGAACGATCCAATACCACTCCAATGGCTCCATGGTGCCATTTGTCCGGATCCCAGGCTGCTCACCCGAACTGATAAATTACGCCCTGAACGCTGGCGCAGGGGGCGTCATGATGCCTCACATACAAAATGCCAAGCAAGCAGAGGAGTTGGTCCGTCTGGCTCGATTTCCGCCCATGGGAGACCGGAGCTTCCCCCCGGCGGCCCTGATCAACGAGAAGCAAAGTCGAACGCCCGGGTCCCAGAGCGTGTACGATGTCTGGAACAGCCACACGGCTTTACTTTGCCAAATCGAAGACCTGCAAGGCTTGGAGAACATTGAAGAGATTTGCAGAGTCCCAGGAGGTGCGTTCTTGCCGGCCGCCCTCTCCTCGCGCCCAGTACTGAAAGGCGGCAAAACAAAACGACGACTGTATTACTGTGTTGCACTCAAGCTGACCGTTTTCGTCCACAGTCGACGGTCTCTTCATCGGGACGGGCGATTTGCGCATGTGTATGGGATTGGCTGTGGGAAGCCTCGATGGCGATGAGCCTGTGTTTGTCTCTGCCCTCAGGAAGATCCGGGACGCTGCAAAGGCCAACAACCTCCCGATCATGGGGTTCGGCATCTCGCCTTCTACTCTTGAGCGCAGGATCGAGATGGGCTGGAATGCTTTCATCGTACACGGTGACATTGATGCCATTTGCACCTCGGCCATTCAATCCCTGGACTCTTACAGCAGTGCCGCCGACCGCTACCTATCCGCCGGAAGAAGGGATAAGGGCAACGGCGCTACAAATGGCTTACCTCGGGAAGTAGAAAAGAGAACGAGAAAGGAGGAGGAAGCCAGTTTTCCGGCCGATTCAGCGGGGTGCGCTCGTCAACAGGACGGGTAGCCGTGTTTGTTGATGACCCTTGTACCATACGTCTTAATACAGCCGTCGAATTCGTCCTTTGTCCCGCTCTTGTGTTCCCTAGGTCTTCATCTCGTGGTAAAGTTGTCGAGATCTTCTCAGACCCTCTGTTGCTAATCTGAATGGCCCTCATGCCGCGGACCGAACCCTCGTCCTAATTTGCTTCGGTATTTTTAGCCCGAGTCGTATGTCCCTTACGCAATTTCCTTGAAAAGCCGTTTCAATGTCTCGACAGTCACGGAAAGTGGGACAAGGTTGGGGAGGCGAGCATTGGAGTGAAGGTTTCTCCGCTGATTAGGGACAGTATCTCTCAAGTGATATAATTTCACGATATAACAATGTAGCTCGAGAGACAGGACAATCGCGCAGCAGTAGAGTGCGACAACGCATGTATATGGCCGACCTTGTAACAGTAATTGCTGCATATTCGCGCATCCAACAAGCACTCGAGTTGAACGTGATAGGGGCATGCAGTGGCGAGACCAGCTTGGAAGGGGAGTCTCGGCCGAAAAGCCGCTCTGATGAATGAAAAAAGACCGCAAGGATCGGCTTCCCCGGTGATCCACGTGCGCCAGGAGTTACGGCAGACTGACGGCCGAGAATAAGACTCTGTCCAGCCCCCCCACGTGTCTGGGCGGCCAGATATTATATCAGAAACTTCCCCAAGCCCAAGCCCAGGAAAACCCCCCCGGGCCCTGGTCCCTCTGAGCTCTCGCACCCAGATGCTGACCAAATAGCCGATGGAAACATGATGATTCCACACACTGCTCTTCCCGACGACCCCATCTTCTCCAGACTCCTCCAACTAGCCACTCGTCGAGATGGTCAAGTCATTGTCAACGACTGCAGCCGAGGCACGCAGTTTGGCTACGGCCACATTCTCCACGGCACGCTAAGTCTCATACAAAAGCTTCAAAGACTGCTCAACAGGTCCACCTTGGACAATCGGGGCGGGTTCTACATCGCCGTCTTGGCTCCAAACGGCTATGAGTTCATCGTTGCAGTTCTTGCTGCTCTGGCCCTCGGCGGCGTAGCCGTGCCAATGCGTAAGTCCGATCCCCGAATCCTTCGCGAGATGCGTGCCCGGCAACTCCGTTGCTTATACAGAAACAACAGCAACAGGCGCGCTTCCAGCCGAGGCAGCACATCTCCTGAGGCAATGCGGTGCATGCTGCGTCCTTGTTGGCCCCGAGCACGTGGACCTTCTTACACAGATCCAAAACGAGGTGGAAATTGCTTCGCTCATCATCAGCGGTCAGGTCAACGACGTCAACAAGCTGCTGCCGGTCAGGTCCTACACTCTGGACCCGGGACTCGCCGTCCCCGAGGACTGCCCCAGCATATTGTTCTACACCTCGGGGACGAGCGGTCCTCCAAAGGGCGTCCTGCACGCCCGTCGGACAGTCAACAAGTACGCCCGGCTGGAAGAGATGGGGCCCAATGACGACATCTGCATCATACCGCGGGGGGCGTTCTGGTCCGTCTACTTTACGAAACTGTTTCAGATGCTTCTCACGGGGGTCCGCGTCGAGATTCACAACTTCGGCCGAAACTACGACCTGATATGGGAGAAGCTCCGCGAGCGAACCGGCACTGGAATTGTCCTGTCGCCGACGTTTTGGTACGGCATGATGCAGTTCTTCCAGAAACATATTTCGAAACTGCCAGAGTCCGTCGTCAACCAGTACGTCGAGGGGGCTCGGTACCTCCGCGATGCCAGCGCCACGGGAGCCATGCCTTCGAGCCATGTCAAGCAGTTTTGGAAGGACTTGCGTGGTGGACGGCCGCTCAAGGTGCAATACGGGTCTACCGAGACGCAGGAGATTTCTCTTTGCCACGAAGACTCGGGCAGTGTAGAGGTGAGGCATGCCGCAGGCTGTGTGTGTGCTGTGCTGTGCTTTGCTTTGCTGACGCAGGTGCGAGCCAGGGCGACCTGGGAACGCCTTTTCCAAACGTCACCATGAAGCTGTCGCAGGGCGAAGAGGGAGAGGTGCTTGTGAAATCTCCATCCTTGTTTCTTGGGTATTCATGCCCCCGCTCCGCTGCCCTTGAATGATCGGCACAAGCTGAGGAATGACTGGTGATTTCAGATATTTGAATTCCCCGGGCTCGACGGCAAGTTCTCTAGACTCGGACGGCTTCTTCAAGACTGGTGACCTTGCCATCCGCCAGAACGGCCGTTACATCTTCAAGGGAAGGGCAAACATGGACTGTCAGCACTTGGGCCCTCCTCCACACACTCGTTTCTGACCAGCACGCGAGCCTAACCTTTGCCCTTTGACGCAGTGTTCAAGTTCTACACCTACAAGGTCCCTCGGATGGAAGTCGAGTCCCGCCTCCTCGCGCTTCCCTACGTCGCCGAGGGCTATATCATGCCAGTTGCAGATCCGCAGTGCGACACGCGCGTGGCTGCCCTTGTGCGCCCTCGAGGCCGACATGGCAAGATTGATCTCGGTACTGTCAGGGGCCATCTTTCAAGGCATCTGCCTGCCTATCAGCTCCCAACCGTGCTTCGGGTTCTGAGAGCAGACGAAGCGGTTCCGCGGACGTGGTCAGACAAGACTGCAATGAGGCAGGCGGTTGAGATGTTTTTTCCACGGGATGCAGAAGAACGGCTCTGCGGAGAGGCCACAGAAGTCATGGATGTCAGTGGATTCATGAAGATGGAGACGGAGAAGCTCTGGGACCTGTCGGGAATGCGGTAGACTGTAGCTGTCTGCTTGCAAGGAGTCGTCAAGCCCATTTGACACGGACGCGGTGATGCGCCCCGGGAGGAGGAAGATGAAGATTACGCCCTTTTGTCAAGCGTGAAGGAGCACTGTCGAGCTGGCATCTAGCCTAGCGGTACATTGGTGGTCCAATGAAACCGTCATCAGGGAACTAAATACAGTCGACATCTGTCACGGTCCAAAGGACGGGTTTCAAAATGCTCCATCAACGCTCATTCAAATGTGTCCTGAGCCAGTACCCCTGACCGATATTTGTCTGCACTATCCAATGTCTACTCTCGTGGCACGGCTCCAGAGAATGTATCGTATTACATGATGACATGACCCTGGATTTTCGATCTGAGCAAAAACCAGCCAGCCAGCCTCGGAACAATCCGCGCCGGTAAATCCTTCTCCCTCTACGTGGAACTCGTACTTGGTGACTGACAAACTAGGCCTCTTACACGGCGCTAGGGAGATTTGGAAGCTCTTCGATGCACTCCTTCACGATATCGAGTCCTCGCTCAAGTTGCTCCTCGGTCACGACGAGGGGGGGTGCTATGCGAATGACACCAGAGCGGCTGGATTTGAGCTGGGAAGCATTACCAACAGGCCACGTCGAGCAAGCGGACCAACAAGCGAGGGAGTGCTCACCAAGAGTCCCTTCTTTCGCATCTGCTCGCACAGCTCTATGCCAGAGTGCCCATTGGTCTTGGACTGGTCGATGACGATTGCGTTGAGGAGCCCTCTACCGCGCACGGTTTGGATAACAGGATTCTGGGCCTGGAGAGACCTCAACCTCTCGCGGAGGGCGTTTCCCAGGCGCTCGGCCCGCTCGACCAAGTTCTCCTCGTCGATGACCTCGAGCGCGCGCATGGCGACGGCCGCCCCGAGCGGGTTGCCGCCGTAGGTCGACCCGTGCGTGCCGGGCTCGACCGTGAGGATGACCCGGTCGCTGCCCAGGACACACGAGACGGGATACATGCCGCCCGTCATGGTCTTGCCGAGGAGAACCAGGTCGGGCCTGATTCCGCTCCAGTAGTGGCCGAGCAGCCTTCCGGTCCGCGCGATGCCCGTCTGGATCTCGTCGCAAATCAGCAGGACGTTGTGCTCGTCGCAGAGCCTCCGCGCCTCGCGGAGGTAGTCGTCGTCGGCGACGATGACGCCCGCGTCGCCCTGGATCGGCTCGACCACAAAGGCAGCCAGGTTGAAGCCTGCGCTCTCAAAGGCCTCCCGCAGCGCAGCCCTGTCGTTGTACGTGATGGGCTTTGCGGTCCCCGGAATATGGCAGCTTATGTTGGCGACTAGCGGGCCGTAGTTCTCACGCGACTGGGCGTCCGAGGCGAGAGAAATGGTGGCCAGCTGCGTGGGAGAGATGTCGGCCTCTGTCAACGCCTCCTCACCCTCCAAAGGTCGCCTCGTCACACGCCGGGTGACTACTTACCGTCCGTCCGTGGTGGTTTCCCGCGGCACCGAGAACAATGGCTCCGTCCTCGGGAACGCCCTTCACCTTGTAAGCCCACTTGCGAGCGACCTTGATGGCAGTCTCGGCCGCCTCGGCGCCGGTGCTCGAGGGCAGAACTCTGTCGTAGCCAAACGTCTTGGTCACCATCTCGGCAAACTGGGGGTACACGTCGTTGTGGAAGGCGCGCGAGGTCAGCGTCAGCCGCGAGGCCTGGTCGACAAGCGCAGCCACGAGCTTCGGATGGCAATGGCCATGGTTGAGGGCGGTAGAGGCCGAGTGGAAGTCGAGATAATGACGGCCCTCGGGGTCCCAGACAGACGCCCCCTGAGCACGGGAGAACACAATGGGAAGGGATTGATAGTTGTGGGCGGAGAAGTCCCTTTCAGCTCCCAGGGCAATGTCGGTCGTGGCAGCGTGGTGGGCGATTGCGAGTTTGCTCGCGTGCCCGTCCTTGCTCCCGTTGGACGGCATCATCAGGAACGGCAAAAGAGGACTTGGAGGAGGGGGGCAAACGACCGGGCTTGAGGAAAGAGAGATGAGAGGAACGGCAGGGCATCTTTGGGGGCGGACCGGGCTGAGGCCATTGTATATCAGACGACGCTGGAGCTGGGCAGTTTGGACCCTGCATCAAGGGACGGGTAAATAAGCACGCAACAGGACGGCATGAAGAATGGCAACAGACGCAGCGGCCTCTGTATTCTCGGCGCACAGTGACGTATCATACGAGCGACAAGGTGGTGCTCGACACCCGGCAAGCCAGGCTCCGCTACGACGGAGACGAGACTCGAGAGCTCGTGATGATATTGAGCCCCGTGGCCGCTATACCTGGCGTCTCATTCAACGCCGCCGTACAGTTTCCACGGCTGTTTTTCCTGCAAATGCCGGCTGTCCTGGCAAACAAACCCACCCGACCGACGAGAGAGACGGAGCAGAATGCGACCCTGTCCGACGAATTGGAAGAGAAAACCAGCCATGGAGACGCACGACTTGCGCGTCGAGACTGACAAGTCACGCGGTAACTTGGTAGGACAATATTGATCACTGCTTTGTGCAACAATTGGCCAGAATCGCAAGCTATGTTCTGCATTAGTCTTGTCTGTATCGCCTTGATCAGACGCTCGGGTCCGACGGTGTGACTACGTATTGCCGCCCGAATCTCAGCTTAGAGTCTATTGTGAATGGTATTCGGTCCTGCCGCTGCACTTTGCTCACTCTGGGAGCTAATGAAAGGTTGACACGGATACCATTTCGTCGAGGAATGTTATGGTATCACGGGTGTCTCGGCAAAGTCCAGATACTTCAGAACATCAAAGGCAAAATTTCTAATAACGAGAACAAGAAAAAAAGCAGGCCCCTCTGAGCAAGTCCACGGGCAACTGCCAGACGACTTCTTCGTCCGCGACATGCCTGGGATGATGATTGAAATACCACAACGAGGGGGGTCTTGGCAAAATGCCCAGCTCAACGACTGAGCCACGCTCATATAGCACGTAGACGGCAACTCCTTTCCCAAGTGAAACTAGTCCACATCCGCCTCCTGCTCTCCTGTGTTGCCGAGTGCCGTCCAAGGCGGAATAATGATGGAATCGCGCAAGCAAGGCGAGCGAGTCCCAGAGGAGCGGCTCGAGATGGCCACACGCCTGGCAATTCCGCCCTTCCAAGCCATCCCACGACACGGCATGGTTTCCATTCGCCAGACGGCGCAGCGCAGGACTGCCTGACCGGGGCCTCGCCAGGTCCCAGGCAAAGCCCAAAGCCGTTCGTTCGTCTCGATGCAAATGTTCAACACTCCAGACACCGCGAGGTCCTCGGCCATCCGCCACCAAGAGCAGCAACATCACACGGCTCCTGGGGAAAAAAAAAACAAAAAAAGTTCATCCCAACATGAGCGGCAGACACGGCGGCACCACGACGGGCCAAGCGCAGCGGCCGAAACGCTTCCTCCCGTCCATCGCAACCATGTCCCTCGGCTCGGCCAAGCTGCACGCGCTCGACACCAAGCTCAAGGTGGCAGCGTCCAAGGGCTTCCTCGGCATCGAGATGTATTGGGACGACCTGTTCCAGTACTCGGTGCAGTTCCGCAACAAGGCGAGCCCGTACGCGGCGGCGCAAGAGCAGCAGCGCGGCGCAACGAGCAGCCTCGCCGTGCTCCTGGCGGCCGCGGACATTGCCGAGCTCGCGGCGAGGCTCGGCCTGAAAATCACATGCCTCCAGCCGTTCCGCAACTTCGACGGCCTGACGGACCCGGGCCTCCGGGCGCGGCGGCTGGACGAGTTCCGGCTGTGGCTGGCGACGGCGCGCCGGCTCGGCACCGACATCATCGGCGTGCCGAGCGCCCTGCCCACGGTCCGCCCGGACGACTACACCGGCAGTCGCCGCGCCGTCGCCGCCGACCTCGCCGGCCTGGCGCGGCTCGCGCGTCCGCACGGCATCCGCGTGGCCTACGAGAACCTCTGCTTCGCCGCCCACGTCAGGGACTGGCACCAGGCCTGGGACGCCATCCAGCTCGCCGACGAGCCCGACAACCTGCTCTTCCTCCCCGACACGTTCAACCTCTGCGGCCGGACCTACATGGACCCCGAGCACGCGAGCGGCAAGACGCCCAACGCGGCCGCCGACCTGGAGGCGTCCCTGCAGAGGCTGGTCGAGGCCGTCCCCGTGCGCAGGATGCCCCTGCTGCAGGTCGCCGACGCGGAACTGCCCGACCGCCCGCTGACCCGTGCGCACCCCTGGCGCGGCGAGGCCGGCCTGCCGGCCCTCATGGCCCTCAGCCGGAATGCCAGGCTGTTCCCGTTCGAGGAGAGGGGGTATCTGCCCGTCCTGGACGTCATACAGACCCTCGTCGCTGCCGGCTGGGAGGGATGGCTCAGCTTGGAGGTGTTCTCGAGGACCACGGCGGCCGAGGGAGACGAGACGATACGGCAGCACGCCGACCGGGCCTGGGACAGCTGGGAGAAGTTGGCCCGTCTGATGGGCTGGCAGGCTCGGCCGCTCCTCGACGGCAGCGGGCCGAGCGCCTGAGCCACGACCCGGCATCCGGACCGAGTATCGACGTGGCCGGTGCCGGTGCTGTGACCCGTAGTCGCTGGTGTTTGTATCCAAGCATTGTAGACAATATAGACCCGAAACCTTGTGCTTTGTCTTGTTTCCTCGCCGCCGGCCATTGTTGCCCCGTATTTGTCGCGGCGGAGCATTTGTCTTTCATCTTTGTCGACGCGATGACAGGCGGCATGCCTGCTGCGTCACAAGGGCGAGCGTGTCCATCTCCGTCGACGTGGTGACGTTACCAGCAACACCCACGCCGCTCCAGACAATCCAAGGGCCCTCACAGGCCCTTGCCTGGCAGCAAATACAGCCAAGTCCGCCTTTATAGCTCACAGAAAAAGGTGACCGCTCCCGAGTAGCATTCTTCGCAGACGCATAGGCACACCTCGAGAGTGCTGCCCCTCCTGCCCGCAGACGCGCCGTTTGCGTAGAGCATCACATACCCCGGCCTGACTCAAGAGTCATGGATGGCCAAGGCTGGATTGTATCACGACGAGCGTCAGTCTTGGCATCAACAAGACAGGCATCCAGGAACCGTGTCCAGGAACCATGGCAGCTGTGCATATAACCCGTCACAAACCTTCCCGCTGTCTACCGCAATATCCTTGCAGCTCGTGGACATTCTTCCATAATTCGAGACTGGAGCATGGCCTTCCATTGCCGACTCTTTGAAAAACGCATCTTCTCATTAGGCGCTTGTTGTGAAAACACATCTACATACGTATACATCGCTCGCTGCCTTAACATGGCACAGTAAACTGCAAGTTCCTTGATTCCCAAGCATCGCTCAGCAAAACCCCCCCAGAAAAACACGCCAATAATCAATCGACGCAAACCAAGACAGAACCCACAGACAGGCTGCCAGAGATATTGATTTTGACATCTGGCGGAAATGTGCAATCAGCCATATGCAATGAAAAATGGATCCAACCCCCTGCGCCAAAGCATAAATCAAACGATCAACAGGTCGGCAAGAGCTGTGTTCCGAGAGCTCCGAGCATTTTGAACCCAGTGCAACGTGCAGCTCCTCAAGAAATAGTTGCATGACGGCGTCACACCTGCCAAAAATAGTCGGGGTTTACGCTCTCTCCCATCAAAAGCTGACGCAAGCGCGAGGGCAAAGGAGCAACAGGCAGTCCGACCTGTCGGCGCATGTTAGCCGTGCTGGCAACCCACCTGGCGTAGTCTCTGAGATCTGAATCCTCCAGCGGTTCACTTGTGGCGATCCGAGTTGCAAATTCAGCCAGATTGAAATATTTCAATGTTCGCCCCCTGCTTCGAATTTCAAAAACGCCGACTCTTTCGTAGAATGGCCTCCCCAGCTCTTCGTAGCGGTAATCGAGGCCCGTCAGTATCCTGAGCCCGAACACCATGTACAAGACAAGCAGTGTGTGGGCAACTACGCCTTCGTTGCCACTATGGACGCTGGGGCCGAAGAAGACGTGCGGAGGATACGTACTCAACCGTGTAAACATTCGAGATTCCTCCAAAGAGAGCAGATGCTCCAGTGGCAAAATACCAGACTCGGTAGGTCGCTTGATACTGATGACGATTTTGTCAATTAACATTCCGGGAAAAAGTACCCCGTGGTACCGACGAAAAGAGGCGGGAAAGGGTCCCCTTGTCAGAAAGGTGTGGAGCAGCAGATAGAATATACACAAAAAGGAAGGCGGACGGTTTTGGAAATCTCCAAAGAGGGTAGTATGACTGTTCCTGAGGGTGGCACCCAGCCAACCTGGGCATCTGAATAGTCGAAAGGTGATGCGTAGCGTATTCACATGATGAGCAACAAACGGAAGTCGGGTCCAAGTTGTCCACATGCTGCCGTCCGTCAGATACATGATGTCTAAATCGTAGTCCGGCGGGTGTGTAAATTGGCGACGCATAACCTCCCTGACCTCGTCGTAAAGCTGCCAATTGACAAGCTGCAAGGCGACAAACGTCCTGAATTTTGCCTGATGTTCGAAGCGGAAACGGCATCTCCATCCATTGTCGAGGTATATGTCTGACAGGAATTCACGACTGGCTTGACTAAATTCTACTGGAGAGGCCGGCGGATCTAGCTTCATCCGCAGAGCATATGACAAGACATCATCCCGGACATCCCGCGGGAGGTCGAGGAGGGAGGGCATCGTGGGAGAACGCCAGTCTAAGGTCGAGGTGCCAGAGTCAGACAACCGCGATGCCACGCAGTGAATCGATCTGTTGCGTCTGCTTACCAGTGGCCCGTTACGGCTTTTCACGGCCGTCTCTTCTCTTCCAAGCGTTGCCAGGTTGACAGGTTTGCTTTCACGAGGACATTCCGTCACGTCACGAGAACGGAAACGACGCGACCATCCCGCTCTGACATGAAGCAGTCCAAGTAGGTAGTAGATGAGGGGTAATTCTATCGATAGGTGTCGAAATAATAATTCCAAGTAAAGTAGATGGTTGACTGATGCCGGTTGTGCGCCAGCCCGGGAGAAGAAAAACTGACATATGGATGTAAAGGCGACGCCCAGAGAAAGAGGGAAGCAGCTATCACCGTTCTCCTGCTGTGTCTCGTGCGAGTGCGCGTCAAGCTTTCCTCCGCCACTGCATCCGCTTCTCTGCTTCTTCATGGCCATCAAGTATACTTTGAATGTCTTCTCCTAATATCGACAGCAGCCTGCGACGCAAACGGCCCGAGTCCGGACTCCGGAGCCTGTTCGGCAGAGAATGCCGAGGCAGTTTACTCCAAGAACAAAATCAAGCTGGAAGCAGGGCTGGACGGGTGCAAAACAAAAAACACATTTTGGCGCATGAAACGTCGGTGAGGTACTTTATCCTCACCTTGGTGCCTGCATGTCCATGCCGGTTGCCAACTTCGGATGGCGCCGCATCGACGGGTCTCCCTCAACTCGGTGGTTCTTTGCAACATCAGCCCTGTGGCTTAGAAGTCACACGGCAACCGCTCAGCAAGCTTCGTGATCCTCGTTTCCCGATTTCAATCAGGGTCTCCGTATCCAGCATACCAGCGTTCCTTGCGCATCTCGACCAGACGCCATGCCGACCATCGCGGCTCGTTCGTACGCCGTTGCCCGATTGCAGGCCGGGCAGGCTATCAGAATCATCAACACCAGCGGCAGCCAAGTCGTCGATACGTGGGCTCTCCCCATCCCACCCAGGGCGAATTTCCCGCCTACATGTCCATGGTACATACGCGGTCGACGGCGGCCAATGCTCACAATGCTGGAGGACACATCGCCCGGTGAGCATGACGTCATGTTCGCCGCCTGCTCCAGGGAGCGTTACGTCCAGCTCGGCGCGTCGCCGGACCATGACAGTTGTGCAAATAACTTGTACTCGGCCGTAAAGGCGTGCGACGACGCGGCGTTTGACAAGCTGGTCGAGTTTCTGGAATGCGGATGGATGCCCGACCCGCTCAACTTGTTTATGAAGGTCGTCGTCAGAGGCAGCAAAGTTGGTCAATTCGAGACCCCGGAGCCGGGCGGGGGATTATGTCGTCTTGCAGGCCGGGCAGGATTGCCTTGTGTTTATGAGTGCTTGTCCCATGGACCTTACTGACTGCAATGCCGGCAAACCAAGTAGTGCCGAGTACGAAGTGCTTGGGAAACCTGCGCGAGAATACGACGGAGGCGAGTTATGGCCCGGCTCGTTGATGGCACCCGTCTGGCCTCAGTCATGTCGAATGGTGACTTCTTCAAATCGGTAGGTCGGCGATGTTGGCTTCGCCGTCTCGCTGCGCTGTCTCCGTCATTGATGCTGCTATTAGTGCCAGGAATACATGAAAGTGCGTGCCGTGCAATCCGCTCAAGTCTGTCTGATTGTCAAACACGATGCTCTGCCGCGTCTCATATATAGCGCCGGCATCTGCATAGTAGCAACTCGAGTCACGCGGGTCCCCCCCCCCCTGTCGTAGATGTGCCACCGCACTGCGAAATGGACAAGGGCCGCGGTCGACCATGGACACGACGGGCAGCCTAAGGATAAGCCGCCGTTGCCTGTTTGATTCCAAATCCCAAGTGGCCAAACACCAAATACGCTCGTATGATCTGTCGTCCTCGTCACTCCCGTTTAGCCCGACACAAAACGCCGTCCATCCTCCTTCGGAAACCTCCCGTGCAACGGAACGGACGTCACCATGAACTGCACACTACATGCCAAAAATCAAAGAATCAGCAAGGATAGGGGAAACGAAAATCCTCACCGCTGTCTCCATCGCCGCCACGGCAAGTTCCTTCAACACCCGTCAGCCATCACGCCGTGAGTTGGGGTGGTGACGGCGACGACACAAGGCGTCAGATTTCCTCGAGGGGCATGCCATCGAGCTGCGCGTCTTGCTGCCCAGCTCGAATCTTGACAAATCTCGCGTGCCCTTGCTTCCGCCGTTGCGAATCGTCCAGTACCAGTGCCATTTTGCGCGTCAGACCGAGGGGAGCGGGACTGTCCTCCCTGCCTCCCTTCTTCCCTGCCTCCCTGCCTGCCTCACCGACAGATTACTACGTACGGAGTAGACTTGATGCATTCAATGGCCCGTCGACACGTCTGTGGATAGCGACCCCTCTCGCCATATTGCAGTATCTCGTGGTGAGGAGGTGTGGCAGGCAAGCAAGAAGGCTGCCTGCGCATGTACGTGCTGTACGGAGGACGCGGGCAGCAAGCATTCCCAGTGGATGGCTTCAAATGATTTCTTTTCATTTTTTCTTCATCCATGTATAGATGCTCTAATCCCGAAGCTACGCGGCAGGCAGCCCCACCGAAGGCCGGCGCAGTGTCGGCTCAACTTCAAACTGGGAACTGGGAACAGGGCCGAATGGAATTGGATTGAAAAGAATAGGAGTGAGTACCCGTACTCCGTAGGCATGGAAAATAAAAACAAAATCGCCTGGCCAGACCCCCCGGCGTAACGCATCACTAGCCAACCGGCTTGCGCTTACTCTGGACCGTGCCCCATGCCTGCTGGGTGGATTCTCGGCTTTCGGGAATGGGGCGGCAGGCGGCAGGCGGCAGGCGGCTGTGCGGATGGCGGATGGCGGATGGCGGATGGGGGCTGAAGACGGATGAGGAACGCCATGGGCGGGAGCAGCAGAGGTCAAGCCCAACTCGTCCCTTTCTGCCGTGCAACTTTAAACTTGCGTGTATGTACGTACGTACTCCGTTACATACGCGCATGTCGCCAGGGGCCAGAAGCCAAAGCCGAAACCGCGAAGTTTGACACCAGAATACGACGGTAGGTAGGCAGGTGGTACCCACCGGCGGGCTCGCCGAGGAGCGCAAGGACCGTGGTGTCAGGTAGGTACTTGGGTAGTCAGTAAATTAACAACAGCCGAGGGAAGGAACTGCAGGTTCCTAGTGTTGGTTGGCGGACGTGGATGGGTGGGTGGTTTCCGAGCCCCCTTGTCACATTTTATTTCCGCGCGTGGCATGTTGGAACTTTCCCGACAGCTCTTTTCCGCGCCCACCGACATGACAGGGCGCGCTTTGCATGCATGTACTCCGTATGTAGTACTTATATGTGTGTACAGAGTGCGTGGGCGCTATTGTAAGCCGCCTTTGGCTCGGCTCATTCCGAGGCGAGAGTGAGCCTGGCTGCTGCAGCCCGGTGGTCATGGGACCACGTTCCCCGGCGTCGTGCGCCTGGTGAATAACACGTGAGATGTGGTAATGCCAGCTGTCCAGTTTTCTGTCCGCAAGCGCCCTCGCTGCCAGCAGGAGCAAGCAGTGACTGCTTGCCAACATGCAGGACTTGACTTGTGAAGAACAAAATCATGACCCGACCCGGCGGTCGCCGATTCCCACGGGCCAGGCCGTATATTGCAACAAGAAGCGTGGCACGGCCAAAATATGGCCTAAACGCGGGGAACGAGTCCGCCCATCACAACCAATGGGTCCGATGATGGAGCCGATAACGCAAAACCTCAACGCCATTGTCAATGTATACGTGAATACAGTAGTTCTTAACACTATCACGAGTCGTGACGTATTGCTGTGGACGGCGCCTCGTGGTCGGGGAGGGAACCGTGAAATGAGGCGAGCGGGAAGAGGCTCAGCCTGATCACGGAGCTCGACCATGAAGCCCATTTGCTGCTATATCGGGCGTTCAATGGCGTGCTACAGGAGAAAACGTCAGGTGACTTGCAGATGAAGGATTAAGCTTTTTTGAAAAGGCCTTTTTTTTGGAAGTGGATGGCGACATGAGAGCAGCTTGTAAATGAAACAAAGCAACGATATACCAGGATGTGTACCGCCCTTTGCACATACCTAGGTATGAATCATGGAACAAAAGGTGGACAAGGTTGCTCTGTGTCGTTGCCATGGACTCTTGGATGCGACACAAGGCTGTGCCGCTGGCTGGCTGGCGAATCATTGAGTTTTGGGACAACCATGCTGTGATTCTGCTGCAGAGCAAGCTGCAAGACCGGTTTCTTGCCCAAGAAACGCCGGATTTGGCTTCCGATGCGATCAATTCAAGGACTATGTATTGTGCCGTGAGATCATGACATCCAGAGCACTTTATGACTTGTCCGGTGTGCTGTAGTTGATAGAAATAGAACTGGTGGGCTGGTGGGTTGAAAATTCAGGGAGGGGAGAGGGGAAGCGGGTGCGTACTTTCTTGGCCACGAGGAATCGGCAACGTTGGCCACTCCACTTGTCGACGGGTAAGACAGGTCGAGTGTCGCCCAGGAACCAGACTCTGTCTGTGCGGTGCTGTAGATGAAATGAATGGATTTGCAAGCTTGACATGTGGTGCAGTGGTGAATCTGTATTGTTGGCATGTTGGGTTTGGGAAGCGAGGCAAAAAGTGGATCCGGAATTGGCTGGCTGGCTGGCTGGATGCGTCCCAGGTCCCAGGTCCCAGGTCCCAGGTCTCAGGTCCCATGTCACCTGATGTGATGCTATTGGCTGTCCGACATGGGCGCCATCTAAAAACCAAAGCAGCTGTGCGCCGTAGATTTTTTTTTTGGATTCGACGAGATTCCACACATTCACATCATCGACATTGTGCAAAAGCAAAACGGGCTCCTGGCACAACGCCTGCAATCCGGAGGTCAGTCATTCTGGATCTGATGCTCTGAGGATGCCCCCCGGCCCGCCTAATGTCACGTCCACGTCGTGAATGGGCCGCCCCTCGATCACGATTTGTACTCGGTGATGGGTCACGCAAGGCGAAGTACGCCCTTCGGCCTTGGTGGTGAAAACGTGGGAGTCATAATCAGCCACGTTTGAAAACTGGGAGAGAGGCAATGGCTGCGAGGTGCCGATGCACGCAAGGCAGGTACCCTTGAAGTATTGCTTTTGCTCGCATGGCGCAATTCTTGGCGAGGAGTGGTCGCTGGCGACTGACGACGTGCTGTGGCCATGTTATGGCGTTGGAGACTGTCCGAGTCAGCTGGTTGGTTGGTGTTTGGTGATGGTGGTCCTGCTGCTGCTGCTTTTTCCGTCCAAGTCCCAGCGCCACGGGGGGCCCCTTGCGGGCATGTGGATCAGACACAGCACGCCTGCCATTGGAGACCACCACATGCAGCATGGAACCGCAAACATAACACTATATAACTATTCAAGTCTGGCATGTTATGTCCGTGCATGGGCTCCATGGCACGACGACTCCAAAGTCAAAAGACCTATCATGGAGGGCATAAGAAAAGAAAGGCGGAAATACCACCCTGCAAGGCTGAGCACCTGTGCGTGGGTGCGTGTGTGCATATCATGATTATTATAATCAAAAAAAATCTTTCTCTCAGGGTCGCCAAATAGCGACACGCCCTACTACCCGAATAGACTGGATTCCGGTTTGCCTGCACAAGGCTCCAGACGTGCAGGCAGGCAGAGCCGAGTCATTGCATCGAACCTTCTGCCCAGAGCCAGGCATGCACCGAGCTAGGTACTTGGGTACGTGGTTACTAGGTAGGTACTTGAGCAGGTACCTACTTGAGTACGTATTCGAGCATGTATTGACTTGAGTAAACATGGCGCCCGTTCTTTTACACTTTTATAGGGATCCAATGTCAAGGGGCATCACACAACCCACTGTGGTCCATGCATTAGAGCCAGGGAGGGCCGCTGAAGACGGATCAGACTGCTCCCTGTACTCCGTACTCCGTACACCCACTGGTATATGCGGCTTGCGGCGCCTGGTGGGCAGCACATCCACCCGGTGGGGCTGCGCCGGCCCATTGCAGCCTGGCACTGGGAAGGGAGAGAGTGCAGAGTTCCGGTGCGCGGGCAACAGCAAGCCACGTCGTCTCCAGCCAAGACGGACGAACCTGGCATGTATTTTGTACGGAGCAGAAAGTTTCAGGGAAAAACAAAAAAAGTCCGAAAAAAAATCAAGTCACAAAACAAAAATCAAAAATTAAATATCCAGTCGCCAGGGCCAGTCTCGCCAGAACCAGCCATCAGTGGGACACGGGGCCCAGCACCAGGTACAACCAAGGTACTTGGTTGCAGTGCAGTGCGACTCTGCATTGCACGCCTTTCGACCATGACACATTGGTTCCGTACTAGGTGGGTACGCAAGCAGGCGCGTGGATGGGCTTTGAAGCTGCTCTTTTTTCTTTCTTTTTTTTTTCCTTGTCCCAGTTTGGCTTTGTAACGGCCCAGTTCCGGCCGTTTCGTCGGCGCCACCTCGCACCTCGTACCGACGACGCCGCTTCTTATATAAAGTACAGTCGGCATGTCCTATCACCTTGAAGAGACCTCCAAAACACCCCGTCCTCGCGCCCGCCCACAGTCCAGCCCTTTGAAACTCACAAACCACCCCTATTGGGCATCTTGTTGCTCTTGAGCCTCGACACAAGAGCGAGCGCGTATGCGTTGACGACATCTTGGACCAAGACGGAAGACATTGGCATCGAGACGACGAATCCTCACCAAACATCACGACGACACCGCCACCACACGGCACAGCACAGCGCAGCACAGCGCAGCACAGCGCAGCACAGCGCAGCACAGCGCAGCACAGCGCAGCACAGCGCAGCACAGCGCAGCACAGC